CTCAAGAGACCTGGCACAGAGAAACTGGGGGATCACTCACCCTTGAACCCATCAAAACCCACTTCAGACACATCTACTCGTTGTACTTTCTGTACTTTTCTCCCGATGGAAAAATTCCGACATGATGAAGCTGTAGAACACCAAAGCCTGGGAGCTATAAGGAAACCAATCAAGTGTGTCAGTTCTGTCAACTGCGTTTAGTATTCGCTGTCTGGAGAGCCATCACAAGGAACACCAATAGTCACATCATATGACCCGTCGCTTGCGTGGCTCTACTTCCAACCCTACCCTACGCGAATGGGATACATTGACCTGCACGTTAGGTTTCTCTTTTTTCTCCTTCCCTCCATCACATCATACCATCTACCCATTTCTCATCACTAGGCTTTTTCTCTTGATTACTTCGAGGGATTACGACTCAGGAGTCAACTCCCACTCGATCATGATCAAAACGTGTTCATCATCTTCCTCTCGTCGCGAGTGTTTCAAGCCAACCAGATCATCGTCACCTGCAAGAGAAGAAAAATCAAAATATGGTCGGATCAACTTTTTGCTCATATTTACGATACGGTCAGCTTATTTATTGATTCTAATAGTCGACCATCTTTACCACCTTCGCGAGCGTTGTTATTCGATGATTAACAGAATCATGTATACTCGTCCATCAGGGAGCTTGGCGCCGAAATGCGTCATTGAGGGTCATTTCAAAATCATTTGGAGCCTTGCCTGCTTGGGCACCAGTTTGGCAGTATCTCCGGATGAGACGATGGCTGTGAGCGGAAGTCTGGACGGCCAACTATGGCTGTGGAACATAAAGAAGGGCAGGATGATTGGCGATCTGTGGGAGGGCCATAATGGTCAAGGGAGGTGCCTCGATTGGTCTCCTAATGTCCTAGAGATAGCAAGTGGATCGACCGACAGCACCATATGACGCTGGAACTCGGATACTGGTCGACAAATAGCACCACCAATAGAGACCGGCCAAGGGAGGGTTTGCGCTGTCAGATATTCTCCACAAGGGGATGAATTCACAAGCGGCGGGAAGGACAAAGTAATCTACGTGTGGTCAAAGGATGGCGAGCTGCTCATGAAGATCGAGGCCCACGACAGCGATGTGACGTCATTGTGTTGGTCCAGGGACGGCATTCTTCGTGTCAGTCGATCGCACCATCCGAAAATGGCGGTCGATTGATGGGAAGGAGCTCTTTGTCTTTCAGGGTCATGACCATACTATCACCTCCCTGTCTTTCCCCTGATGAAAATTATCTGGTTAGCGCATCACTTGACTACTCGATTTGCATCTGGGACCTCAAGACGAATCAGCTAGTCGGCAACCCACTCTTGCATGACGACGAACTCTATACTGTTGTCATGTCTCCTGACGGAAAATATATCACCAGTACTGGACCAGATGCAAAAGTTTATCTGCGGAGTCTCGAGGCAGCTCTGAAGCGGCGAGGCAATGATGATGTGAGTGTTTGTAATGTATTGTCAGCATCTTTTCTAAGTGGGTTTGGTTGTCGTTCAGAATGTGGATGAGGACAATGCAAAGCTCAAAGCAAGTCATCTATGCTTTCCTTGTGCACTCACTGTAACTTACTTCTTTACTAGGGACGTGCAGCCCGACCGAGAGATGTGCGTCAATCAGCTGTGAACAAATCATTTGCTCATTTGTATCGTCAGATCATGCACACTAGTCTATTTTTCAAGCAGCAGCCCAACAACAGAGGCTTGGCAAAATATGTCAGTATAATCTTTCGTTTCTCGGATCATGCAAGTCTAATATTCGTACAGGGCAAAGACTTCTAGGACACTGACACCAACCCCACGCCTCGTCCCGCAACTCCTGCTAGCCAATCGTTTGACCTTCGCTGGCGTAATGCACTCGACCTGCACATGCACCACAATCAGTGCCGTTCGAGCCCCGGCATTGGAATTTCAGGTCATTTCCTGTAGGAGTCTCTAGATACATTGTCGTAGCTCCCTGTCGCGATGAAGATGTGAGTGCTCGACATTGGCAATATCCAATCCTCTTTAACAAATTTACAGAGGTATGGGAGATTGACGCCGAAGCGGCCGCAGCTATGCCTCGTACAAACAATGAGGCTGGCAGTTCAACGCAACCGGGCCAACCTCAAGCTATGCTGTGGACACTTGTGTCTCAAGGGCAACCAACAGGAATGCAAGGGTCAAATGGTAGGACGGGAACTGTTTCTTATGAAGTTAGGTGTTGCGGATTATTCTGTAGTTGTGGTCGTGCTCCCTCGCATGAGTCGTGAAGCTAAATTGAACTCTCACTGAGACTCGATAATTTACCCTATTCCGCCTGGTGTGCTTTTGCAGGCTGTTTTGCTGCTTGTGCTACACACACTTGCTGCGACCCCATTTATTGTGTACATATCAGGTTACCTACCTCAAAAGTATCTGAATTGCAATGTTTCTCACCGACTCGGACGTTCTTCATGCCAGCATAAGCAAGTTTTTGTGACTTGTTATACATCCGAGTCGATGTCATGTGGTGCACAAGGTCATCTCCCTGACCGGATATGAGATGTAGGCCGCATGCGCGTGTGTTTGTAAGTTATTTTGAAGCGTTCAAGTTAATGACGCGGAGCAGGAACACGCCGTAATAATTATTGTCTGTTGTTGCACGGAGTTTGAATACTTACTTTTTCCTGGCCACTCGGAGGCATCACTCAGTCTACAACCTAAAATACCTATGGCCTAAGGCCTGACGCCTGAGGTCCAGGCTACCGTAGTATCGATCTAATATTGGGACTTGGACTAGATTCATAATACCTTCAAGCTATCAATTGCGAGGTCATTTCATGATTGGGACCCAGGGAAAGGCAATCCCCTTCATCGGAGTCCCAGACTCAACATTACTAGCAATCGTTCTACTCAGTGTGCAGCCATGAGCAACTCGACTTGCGGCATACCAGTAGAGGTACCAGCAGACCTCCACTTCGACGTGCAACGTTCTATATTTCAGGGCTGACTTCAACGTTGGCTAGCATTCTGAAATTTCTACTCGGCAAGTTTGGCACTGGTGAGTTACTGGTACTGTCATTCAAAATTACTCCCTGAAACCAGATGACGAGAATGACCTCAGGCTCCACTTGTGACACAAGGCGTAATCAAATTTACATGTCCCTCGGCGGCATAGAGCGGTGGGTCCAGGGTTACTGACAGACTTTGAAACGTAGCTGTGGAGTACTGCCGTAGATTCGTTTCGGCATGAGCTCGCTTCCATTTAGAACCTTCTCTTCGAAGGAAATCGAATCTCGCGCTCCGTGGGGAACCTGACTCCAAACCCCACACTCTGTAAAGCACGCGCATAAAGGTTACGTTCTCACTCATGTGTGACATCACTCGAAGTGCTCTTTTCAAAGCGAACACGAGCGTCAAATCCGTTCATTTTACACTTCACTGTTTCGTTTCAGTCCGATTTCACGGTTCTTGTAAAGTTGTCAGCTGGAAGATCCCATTGATTCTTCCCATACTCACAACAGGGCCTCGATGCAGACCTGCATGGGATCACGTATATAACTTGAAAGAAGACTGGCGCCTCTTTGAAAATTCATCTCAAATCTAGATCCGCAGCTTTCTCACTCTTTGCTTGCCTCACATATAGTGACGTCAGTAATTCTGCTCTCACTCTTCAAAAACTTCAAAAAGTCTTATCATGGGGGAAACATCCACGGCACTGCGCGAGTACTCTCGCAATATCGCTGCGCACACTTTGAGGCAGCTCGTAGAATGGCAAGCTTCGCTGGAACGCCTGTCAAAGGAATGCGAGCGGGAGAGAGAGCAGGACAGCGCCGACAAGTATGGTCCTAAAGGTAGCCGGCTGATTCTTCCTGTGAGTGTATGGGAATTAAACTATATTCCAGAGCACGCTCGACTCCCACAAAAGACTGCGTTGAGTGGGTAGAATGTCATTTCGGTGTGCAAAACCTGCGCTGTCTATATGTATGTGCCATGCAACACCATTGTCGTTCCCAGCTGAACTTAACTGAGTGCACGCCAGGCAAGATAACACTACTCTTCGTTTTCTCTTCCCACCCTCAAGCCCAATACTGCGGCGTGTATATCATGTCCCTTTGTCATGTTGTATCATTTAGTTCAAGTTGTCACATATTTCAATATGCTACGTAGAGTATCATGACAAAACAATTATAAAAGCGTTATGCTCGTGTCATTCTTATCAGATGTCAAATATTGGTGGTGGTTCTAACCGATAGGTTTTTCGATCTCATGGGCGTGTGCTCATGTACATGTACATGTATAAAAACCGGAAACTCATGGTTGTCATCGATAAGGTATGCCTAGGCCCCGTACACGATGCGTCCCTTTTCGTTTACTTGTTGCTTCCATTATGGCCACCCCTCGTTCTTCAAAATTTCTCCGACTATGAACTCAAAAAGAGGTGCTTCGTTTGACATCCAGTGCGCCTTGATATCGATCTATAACGCTTGAACTTCGAAGCTGGAGGCGCGGGCTGATGCATCGATGGCCCGAGGTTGATTCACGAACGGTGGCACGTTGCAGATTCCTTCGCAGGAGACCGTCGGCTCCTCTGACTTAGTCCCTACTGGTCTTCGATGTATCGCAGCCTGAATAGTTACCAGAGCATTGTCTTAGCTCTGCGCTCAGCCTCAGAACATTTCGTCTTCAAGTTGGGTGTCGCGAAGCTCCAGCTTTAGGTGTTTGAAGAAGTGGCGTTAATAGGAACTGTCATAGAATTGTTTAAACCTCGATTATCCATCCTCCGCGGCCGTTATATATCTATGTGCATGTAGTGAAAATACAGCAGTACGTAGTGCAGCGAAGGAACACACAAATATTTAATACGCATAAGGAAGACCACGAGCTCAGGAGACTCATGTGAAATACATTATTACATAGGCATGACTAGATATTTGAGCCTTCAACAAAGGGCGTCAGGTCGACGTAGGTAAACGGATGGCGGCGGACACACCTGCCGAGATTGAGGCATGTTAGGATCGCGACTTTGTATTGTTGCTCTGTGATGCCCTCGCTGTATGTTCGACCTTTGTCAGTTTTGTCATAGAATTGAGTTTATCACACCCACCGGCTCGCTCCTTCTCCTCTTGTTCCTTGGCCTTGCGCTCTAGCGCAGCGCGCCATTGGATAAGCTGCTCTAGCGTGTACGCAGTCATGTCCTCGGAGTATTGGCACAACTCGACATCAGGATTGATTTCTTGTGACATGATAGTGAGGATGATTTGAGTAGAGAAATTGAGCTCGATGTATTGCTTTACTCTGCAATATCGAAACATGGGGTTTTATACCCCAGCGGGCCGTGAGAGTGCTGCTGCAAGCCCCAGGGTTGTCGGGAGTTGCAGCTATAGACCGGTGGTGTGTTCAGACACGTCGAAGGCACCCTCATGACAGTATAAAGCGATGTCGTACGCAGTCCCTTTCTTCATGAACACATCCAGGATCAAAGAGGCTGTTTTAGTGCCTGGTGCCTCATGTTTTAGGTATAGCGGTAGGCTTATTGGAAGATTAATGAATGCTGGTGAGACAGCGATCACTTCATGTTTGCGAGAGAATCGTGGGTTTGCAGTGTGCACCGATACCGCACCGCTCGCCAGACATGCCGGATGGTAAGCACGTGACTAACTTGAGTACTTACATACAGTCTTCAAGCTGGCTGATCAATGTCTTCCACCTGAAAAAATACCAGTGGCGTCGGAGATTAACTGTCAGCTGAGGTCCTGGTGTGATATATGAGAACTCGGTTGAGACACTATCCGTTCATTTAAAAGAAATAAGTGACCGAGAAAATCAATCGAATAGTCGGAATGCGTACCTTGGCTATTAATATATGTAATAGCCTCGACGCACCTAAGACTAACTAAGACCGTCGCTTCAATGGTACCTGACACAGGAAATACTCGATTTAGAAGAAAAATAACGCACATGCCTTACAACATGCGCAAAAAAATCGGAAGCGGAACAAGACCGGGGGTCCCTTGAAATACATTGATCAGCGCTGACAGTCACACTTCAAGTGGCACTTCGGTTCCCTTCCTTAGGAACTTGTGCACGAAGTTAGGGATAGGCGGTTTCCTTTGGCAGCGGACGTCACGTCAGTCCCTGGTACCTTCACACTCCTCGCGGTGCACACTGGAAGCAGTTTCACAGAGACGTCCTTGCGGACCGCCTCGGATCTCTTGCACACATGTTCCGCCTTTCATAGAATGGTCCTCAACAGACTAATGCATGCATGGCTTGCGAGAAGAGCCCAAGACCCGACCAATAGTACGTCTTCTTGCCCATGGGGCGAGAAAACTCATGCCTGAAGGAAGTTCAGTATTGAATAACAAAATTTTTGAAAGTGTACGTCACGTCAAGGGAATAATTGCCAAGTGAATACTTATCTGTGAGCTGTGTAACACCATGATGTTCGTGTAACGATTTTGAACCTAGCACGCAGCCACATCGGCTGGAGAGTTTCACACCTTCAAGTTGACCCTGTGGGCGCCTGCTTTCCATTACGCATACCGAGCATATGGTAGACGTCATGCCAAGTAAATGAAAGGTTCCTGTGCAGGGATTCTTGCCCATTAAAAAAGATAAAACTTGAGCATTAATGCGATGGATGTCACGAACGCAGAACAACGGTACTAAGTAGCTGATTTAGGAAGTGCCGATGTATTTTTGTTGTATGTTGTTTGTTCAATGTCATTGACAGGCTTAGCCACTGCCTGAGGAAGCGCTTACACCTGAAATTTGGAATATAGACATATTTATGAGTTCTGGGCTCTTATTATTTGGCGTGTCAGCCTGAATAATAAGCGATTTTAATTGGTTCATAAATATTATGTAATCAAAAAATTTAAGTTACTACGTGGAGAACAAAGCTTGAGTTGAACCAACATGTAGGGTCCAGATTAACGTTATCATCCTTGTTCCAAGTAAAGTTGGGTCAATAGTAACATCGCTATGGTCCACGCAGAACCCCCAGCCTAACCTTCTCACTGACTCGGATAAGAGGTAATTCCGAATCACAAATATTCGGCGTCCTTACCAAATAACCGTGGCATCGTGTTGGAGAGTGATCAGCGATTCGACTCTGCCATAGTCCATGTTTCAAGAACTCACTCCCAGCTTGACATTCTCACTAGCAAGAGGTGATTCCAAACTACATTCGTCTATACCGAATAACAGAGGCACTGTTGAACAGTAATGTGGCTAATGATTCTCCTCCTCTACCGTAATCTGCATTACGAAGTCCGGCTCCCCTTCCCAGCCAGAGCGACCTTAATCCCGGTTATACTTCCGCGTCGAATAAGATAAGTAGTGCTATTGAATTTTTCACTCAAATCTTTTTCCAGCCCACTCAACACCATGATCCCAGAAAACTCCATCATGAGTGTCAATATATCATATACCGCTAGTATCGTCGCAATCGTGGTGGTCTTTGCCAAGTTATACCAGAAGTCCTCATTAGCCTCCGGAAAGAACAGCATTCCGCTTCCGCCTGGACCTCCCGCCCGTTGGTTCTGGAGCAACGCTTTACCTACTGTGAAGTGAGCTTTGATGATGTTCAAATCCACGATATTAGAAGCTGATGAAGATCGTCCACTCAGCATTGCCCATGCGCTGACCGACTTGGTCCGGGAGTATGGCTCGATCGTGTCGTTGCGACAAGGTAGCCAAGTGATAGTTGTCATTGGCAGCGTTGAGGTAACCCATTTCACAGCATAAGCTTCCTCTAATAATGACCCACATCGACCGCTTTACCAGGCAGCCACGGACATCATGGAGAAAGAGGGGGGATCACTGGTTGATCGACCGGGGTCCGTTGCTGTGGGTGAGATGCTCTCAAAGGGAATGCGGATTCTCATGGCTCGTTCCGGAGATCGTTTTCGGCGCCTCCGGAAAGCAGTACATACCCATTTACAACCGAAGGTGGCAGAGACATACCAAAATATGCAACGCGAGAATGCGATGATTTTCGTATTGGATATGCTGAATGATCCAAAGAACCCCCAGAAGCACGCACAGAGGTCCGTCATTACCATGACTTTTTGCGATCCTTTCATAGATATGTACCTCAAGATTTGCAGCATCAGTCATTCTTCGGGTGACTTATGGGAAGTCTGTGCCCACTGCCAACACCGATCCTGAAGTTGTCCGTATCCGCAGAGTCATGGAGCATTTTCAGGTCGCGATGCGCCCAGGAGCTTATCTCGTCGATCGTGTGCCCCTTTTGCGCTACTGGCCTAGTTACGGAAAACAACTTGCTGAGTGGCATCATGAGGAGCTAGAGCTATACAAGCATCAACTACAGCGCGTCGAGAGTGAAATTGCAAGTGGCTTTCCATTTTGATGAACGCATTCATTTATATCTTGTCATACTTAGGATCAAAACACAGCCGGCCCCTCTTTTACTAAGACACTATTGGAGCACGCCAATGAATATCAACTTTCCACAGATGAAATGGCATATCTTGCCGGATCACTCTTTGGGGCGGGATCTGATACGGCAAGTCATGCAACCAGTTTATCTCCGCGAAGGTACTTATTTGTAGTTCAGACCGCTGTTGCAATGACCGTTGCTATTATGGCTGCAGCATGTTACCCAGCGGCCCAGGCAAAGGTCCACGAGGAGCTTAATATGATCATCGGGTCAGACAGAGGTACTGCTAAAGGATACGAAGTATTTGATTTCTCGACTAATTTCTCGTGGTAGCGCCAACATTTGAAGACTCAAGCTCCCTCCCCCAATTGCATGCGTTCTTGTTGGAAAGCTTGAGATGGAGACCTGTCATCCGCATAGGTCAGTTTCAAATTCTGCACGCTCCTGCACAATGCTGATATGTGCCTCAGGATTTCCACACCGTGCAACAAAGGATATTTTCTGGGTTAGTATCTTAGATTGATCGTAACTTACATTCTCATTCTAGTCTGTGTGAGATCAGCAAGGATACTACATTCCTGAGGGTGCAATAGTTTATGGGTGCCAATGGTAAGGTGTCACTTCTCGATGTACACCGCTTCATTAAGTGCATGTTTCCAGGGCTATTTCTCGCGATCCTATTGCCTTCCCAGATCCTGAAACGTTCGATCCCCAGCGCTGGATTGACTCCGAAGGCCGCCTCAAAGACAACGTCAGGTTCATCACATACGGCTTTGGTAGACGGTAAGCCGTGCCGACATCGTTTTTTGACACTGTCGTTGAAGTTCACTTGTCATCAAAAGTGTATGTCCCGGTCTGCACCTCGCAAACCACTCGTTGTACATCAGCCTCGCAATTCTGTTGTGGTCTTTCCGCATCGTTCAACGACCTGACGCCCCGATCAACACGCATGCTTTCTTGGATGCTGTTATTGCCCACGCAAGGCCATTTGAAATCGATGTCATTCCCCGGATCGAAGTTGCGAAACTGAAAGAGCTTATGACTGACGGTGTATAGATTAAAGAAGCTTATATCCGCCGGAGAGATATTAGACTACATAGGAGAGCTGGTCCAGCATATGCATGTAGACAGGCAAGACGAGCATGTCATTTATTTGAGTTCAATCAGCAGAGGAAGAAAGGCACCCGGGAAAACTCATCACAACGGACTCATCAACACCTGATAAAGTTGTGGGACAATACATGCAGGCCGTAAGGGCTTAAGGTCATCTGTACTTGGCTCAAATCGTATGAAGGGTATGAGGATATATCAATAGTGGTAGGCAGGCATGGGGAATCCACGAGGCTTTGTCCTAGACCGCTTCTGAGAAGCGGGAAGTAAACGAAATATGAGAAAGTGTCCGAGGTCAGGTACTCCGAAAGCAGATGAAGTGAATATAGATCCTAGTTTTGTGAAGAAAACGGATTGCTAGTCAGTCACAGCCAGAGCCAGGTCCTTTTCGCCTTGCAGAACACTTGAGGGCATAGTTGAATTGGCATCGGTCGAGCCCAGAATTATACTGGAAGCTTCTCGGCGTCCTGCAGACTAGTCATGGCATGGGTGAGCGCCACCGGTAGCTGTTAGGCTATAGTTTATCCACAACTTCTTCACCCACTACTTCGTAGATGCCCTTCCCTGCCGTCTCCACGCAACATGTAGTGTTGGTGTTTGATCTCTTCAAAAACGATACTGTTAATGACAGCTTCGTGTCAGATGCTATAGATGTCCTGAACACATGCCCTGACTACAAGCAGAAGGCGCCCGACATCTACTGCACGAGACGACAAGCCTGTAGCTAGGGAACATGTCGATGAAATAAAGATCGCAAGCCTGAGGTAATCGAGAGCTCCGTGCCAGTGACGATAGGGTTAAAATGCCGTAGATCGAACAGGGAAGGCATAGATTTTGCTCTCGTGGACATTAGGGTTTCGCACACGACCGCAGTCACGATTCTTCTGGTAACTTGATGCCATGAGGTCGTTCACGAATTCCGTTACATCAGTTCCATTATCCAAGTTGAGATAGGCGAAATGGAACGCTTCGGCGTAGGCAGCTGGATGATGTCGGAAGTATGTTTCACTTGCTCTGCTGTAGTAGCCGAGGAAGGGCCGGGTGCAGGCTGAGCAGAAGAAGTGACCTTCACCGTGTTCTTGTGCGGCAAATTGATAACTACGTGTGAAGCACAGGCACCAGACTGAGTCAACGTCGGCCCCAGCGACGTTGGAGCTGCCGACTGATCCTCGGTGGGTGAGAAGTATTTTGCAGAGACGTGCACACGGTGTCCTGCGAATGCATATCAAAGTCAACAAGTTGTGGTTCCATTAAACCATGAGAAACATACCTATGTTCTTAGAAATAGCACCAGCAGGCCACTCGCACTTCTGATGGTCTACAATGCAGCGCATGCAGGAATTTGATAGTTCGTACTCGTCAGTCTGCGAACACAGACGAAGTACGGTGAGGCAGAGCCTCGTCGCCGATGGTTGTTTTTTTTCACATCTCTTGCATTCAAGCACCACCTATGGCGGCCGGAAAAGAGCTTAGTATGAAAGAGGTTCAACAGAAACAAGAAACTCACTACGCGAGGGTCTCGCAGGTTGTTGTCTTGCATTAGCTCGTTGAAAGAGCGGGGTTTGGATGGAGGCATGCGCCGGAGTGGTTTCTTTACGGAGGGTGGGAGTCTGGGCCGATTGGAAGGACGGTCCGCGAATGAAGAAGGCTATAGATGGAGTCTAACGTTAGTCACTACAAGATGCGAACCTAGGGGAGACGTACCGTTTGGACATCAGAACTTATGTCGCCTTGCAGCGCTTCCTCTCGAGGGCGTTTAGCCTGAGAAGTGCGAGTGTGATGCGTAGACTTCTCGTCAGTTATCTCATCGCCCGCGCCAGCGCGGTTACCACCTTTGCCCTCGTTAGAAGGGTCGGGGAGAGCGATGATAGCAAGCGAAGACAACTGGGTGCTAGCGAGAGGGTCCCTGATCACGGGACTCCCCATTAAAGCTTGCATTTTTGCTTCCCAAGCCTCAGCAGTAAGAGGAAGCCACTGGCGACCCCAAGATCGCCAAGGGTAATGCAGGCGCGCATCCACCTGCTCTTGGAAGGTTGTGTAGAGTTGAGAGACCGCCGTGAGCGTGAGTAACACCTTGCGTTCCTCGGTGTCGAGCCAAGTCTAGGAAAGGAATTATAGTTGACGAGGGAAAGGGTTTGAAGAACCATGAAGCTCACCAGAAATCGCACGACTTCGCGTCCCCAGTCCCCTAGCACGTCTAAAGGAGCGTCCGTGCCGGGAGCTTGCAGAACGAGTGCGCTGGCCATTTCCGTGATTTCGCTCAAGGTAGGCATGTTGGAAAGGGACGTAGTAAAGACAGATGATGGGAGTGGATAGAAGAGATAAGACAAACTATCAAACAGATTATTGATAGAAGTTCAATCGAATTACATGCGAATTGGTCACTCACGATCATTTGCGGTCACTCGCATCAACTTGCGATGAGCCAGGCAGTCCAGAAACAAGGATCCAGGACCTACATAGCTTTTATTGTGACTTCCAAACCCCCTCGCTTGACGGACAACCTTTTACTATTGCTCAATCTGAAGTTAACCACCATCCTCCCTGGGCTACTTCAATCACCGTGTCTGTAGCCTGATCGGCCGAACACCCGAGCCGAGATTGGACCTCGCTGCACAGCCCCCCCAATGAGCCTGATTGTCCTGATCCCGATAAAAAGTTTCATAGCTCGGGAAGAATATGAATTTGGATGGTATGGAAAATATGCAGAAGAAAATCCAGTAAACAACATTCTAACAACAGTGGAACAACTGTTATATCGGTCTGCCTAAAAACAGTACAACGCGTGCAGCAGGCATTAATTACGCGCTGAGAATGATACTGGCCCAGGACAGTGGTAGCCATCAGGCCATCATTTGGGCGCGGAGTACTGCAGACGTAGCCGCCAAACACAGCAAAGGGAAATTCGCCCTGGAGCGTCTAGTATGCTCGCATATCGGCCATGCATTTACGCAGTGACCATTCCTCCCTCGCTAAATTACCTCGGCCAAGAGCAAGCCAAGAGGAGTTCCACTTGAGACAGATTGGGTCAAAGCATTAGACACTACAGGTGTGACGAAGAAGATGCCACGAAATTTACACCAACAATTGTCATACCCGAATCCAGGGACAGAGAATGTCGTAGCGACACTTCACCGTCGTGGCCTTGCTCACCAACCAACACTTGGCCTCTGACGCCAGTTTAACCACGGGCGTGTCTTTGTATTTCTGCGACAAGTTGGATACAGGATATCATGCTAACCATGTCTGCAGAGGTTGATGGTATAGTAACACCAGGTGTGGAAACGCACGGGCGGGCAAGCGAAAGCTTATAATGCAGGGTGAGTGTGCACCCTGTAAGGAGAAATGGGGAGAAGCGGGCGAACCACGAGAAAGTATTTGAGGTCGTGTACTCTGAAGGCAGAGGAAGCAGATGGATCTCGGATTCGACGGTAGCGGAATGGTATCTTGGCGGAATGTTAGTAAGAGGAGACGTGAAGTTGGCATCGAACCGATGGAGTGATCAGAATAAGGCTTCAATTTCTTTCTTTTTGGATCCTAGCGCCTATCAGCATGCCACGAGGCTTGTAGTAGACGTGTCGCACTCCAGGAGCGCAGCTTAAACATAGACAGGGTAGGTAGCCTGAGGTTACCCGAAGGACATGGCCAGGACACTTCAGGCGGTCTCCAAACGGAGTGTGAAAGTCGTGTCCGTCACTGTTTCTCACGCTTGCAACAGTGCCAAAGGACTTACTTCCATAACGTTGGGAGCCAGTTTCTCCTAGTATTGCATTCTTTAGCGCCTCTGACTTCTTGTTAGGCATACAACGCGAATAACCTAATTCATAGCACCTTTATCTGTGGAACAGCCCACTATGATCATGAAACAGTCTGACAAGATTGAAGATGCTCGAGGGTCAATTGAAGTATTCTGGAATGCGAAGCGGATACAGACCTGGTCAAGACGCTGATCTGCGAAAACGCTCAACTATATACCCAAACTCAATCAGAGTGTAAATGGCTGTACATGGTCACCATGTTTTTTTCTTGAAACACACTCTCGGACGGAGGTTCTCAACACATCTGACAGCCATGATGCACCTTCTGGCTACGGCCGCATCAGAGAACCTGTGAGAAGAAGATATCGTCATATATCATTATATATCGTAATATATAGGAAAGGTTTTCGTCACATTGGAATATAAAGTGATATAAAGCAATATATGACTATGTAAAAGCACCATAATCAGCATAATCCCCAGCAAGAACTCACCGGTTTACTGATGACGCAGTAATGATGCATATTATGAGTCTAAAGATCATTTGTGAAATGTGCAACATCTAAGGCTTCAGAAGCACTTTGAATTATACCAGAAGATCCATGCCGTCGTCTCACGCGTTCGTGAGCCACTCGTCGTCGAGTAGCTGTAAGGCTGTAGGTCGTACGTGGGGATCAATAGTTAAACACTTCCGAATAAAGGCAGCGGCAGGAGCTATGTCCTTCTCGTCCATAACTTTATATGCTCTAAGACAGCTTTCCATTGCTTGAGGAATCAGATTGTGAACGCGCAGTGATCCTTAAAACGAGTTTTAAATCTACTCGCTGATAAAGTACGATACCTTACCTTGTTCATCAAAGAAAGCACTCCGGCGTTGACATCGTTCCAAAAAGCTAGGTGGGAAAGGACCAATATGTTCGAGGATTTGTTGGAGACAAAGATTTTCAACGCTGATGGAGGACTCCGAGAGTTGAAACATAGCTGCACCAGTCAGGTATTCGAAAACCTAGATGACTTTCAGTTGATGACAGCAAGCAAAAATAAACTATATCTTACTAAACATCCCATGGACCATACGTCAATGGGCGCAGACCACCCATGTCCCAAAGTAACTTCTGGTGCGCGGAGGAGAAGAGGTTGAGCCAGCTCTACTCGGCGCTCTTTGGCGGGTGTTGCTGTTGACAACAGGGCAGGTGAGATACCGACGTTCAAATGTAAGGTCCCTTGACCATAATCAATCAAACAAACCTTGAGGTTGCTCGCATCCTCCCGAAGACCAAAATTAGGGAGCGGCTGTGACTTTACTGTGATGATAGGTTCAGGAGATAAAATGGGCTCAAAACGAGGTTCGTATGTCGCGGATGGCGTTTCTTCGAGGAGACGAGTTATAGCTTCATCTTCGTAGTCCACACAGATAAGAACATTGTCGGGTTTCACATCTTAAGAACTACGTTGTCAGTTACGAACTTTGGTATTAAATAGAGCTGGAATACATACCTGTATGTACAAAGTCGCACTCGCGGTGAAGATAGTCCAAAGCAAGAAGTGTTTGTTTGACTATACGTTTAGTGACAGCGACAGGGAAAGCATGCCCTTGGGTTGCAGCCTGCGGAGACTGATCATGTTCGCCCCCAGAATGTTGGTCACGATGCAAATGTGAGGACCATGGCGACTCTTTTCGACGATTACGTCGTAGAGATGAAGACAGTGTTGGTGGCCGGGGTGATTAGGATTAGCTGTTTTGATGGTCCCAAGAGAGTCCACCTCACGTAGAAATCCTTTCACCACACCTGCGGTCGCGTTGACAGTAAGAACCTTGACAGCAACATATTTCGCTGGATACGCGTTTCTAAAATACCGTGATCCTGAGCAGGCTCGATTGGAACCAAAGGAATGCACTTACCCCAGGGTGCGCGCGAGCCACACGTTGGAGTTACCTGCCCATCCAAGTTTTCTCACAATCTGGAGCTTGCCCTCTCCGAAATACTGTCTCAAGGTAATGGGGTAATATCCAAACCCTTGCTCAAGGAGAGCACAAGTGGCTCTTCGTCGCACATAAATTCTTCCCCGTCGTCCTTGTCGTTGATTTGCACATGGACGAATGGATCCTTCAAAGGTCTTTTAATATCGTGAGCCACTGGTGAGGATGTGGAAGTAAAGCGAGGAAGTGTGCGACCTAGGGTCCTCCATAGAGTACCACGAAGTGAGTTGGCTACGACGAACATTATTTGAAGTCGAGGAGGTTTTCTTTCATACTTAAAAATATGGGCGTCGATACTCGAGTGCTATAATAAATGATAATCAAGGGTCCGCATACTTACGTTACGACTTGTATCCAATCATACCAATCAAACGTGTTCTTGTTCCACCGGACTTATGATTTAGCGCAATTTGCAAAATGAATGAAAGCTGTAGTATCCAAAACCAGCTCCAAAGCACATTCGAGGTCCATGAAGCATGAGGACTTATATGTGCAGTTTCGTCTTTCTGCGCTCCAACATCGTGAGCGGTTTGTCACATCTGAGGGCCCGGGAGGGCTCAGCCTGAAGAGTCTTTGAAGGTGTATGGCAAAACTTGAAGCTTGAAGTACATTTAATGTAAACAGGAAATGGAGCAAAGAACGAACAACCACCAGAAGACTAAGCTATGTTGACGGCCCATGACGGGTACTTGAGTTGGGATTTGCCCTGAACACATAACATTCTGGTCGGTGCTAAATCTCGTTCTCGCAGTGACTGTCGTTGATCTGTACATGGACCGACATATCGCCTTTAGGCGAGCCAGTAAGGTAGTAGGGGCCATCAGTGCTAGCAAGGAATCGTACGATGCTGCAGTGTGGTTTCTTGTGGAGCGCAACGAAGGTTTGCTTTCATACTTACTAAATCGGAATATACTAATCTGAAAATTGTTGTTGTTTGGACTCAAAAAGGCTTGCAATGCCAAACAAACTTGCCAGCATCCCTCACTGAGTCGATTTGAAAGTTACCCTGAGCAGCCCTGAGCCTGCCAGACTGCCGCGGTACCGGTAAGACCTTCCTGGGTCATATCCAGCGTACCGGTCTCCCGTATGCGTGTTAGGGAAGAAATGTGAGAATCTGTTTTGCTTTTAGACTCGGGCGAGCGTTATTAACATGCATTTGAGCGTGAGTAACCGACAATCACAAGTCTAGTCTCCGTTCCCAGTCGACTTCATTCATCCATTTTCACGGGTCCCCTGTATGGCCCGACATGGTCAACTTCAAGTCTCGAATCTTCGGACATGCACAGGAAATATCAGACGTTGAGTTTGAACTGCATTCTTAGTGGAAGTTGTTGTAAAGCCTATGGTCGAGAAAAGGTCTAAACTGTGGAGTTACAGTGAATGATTCTTGTTCCTTGGGATTCAGCGTATGTCGTGCTCGTCTCTCATTTCTCTCCTTAAAGTTTAGCCCATGAAGCCTTGCGGCCGACGAAGGAATTTCACACTTGCCTTCGCAATTCAGTTTACTATTCAGTAGAATCGGTACCACATATCCCCGCGCAATGCCTCAAGTGCGTTTGCTCTCATCTGCATATCTTTATGATCCGATCACTTTTTGAATCAGATCTCACCACCGATGATATAGTAATATCGTCCAGTAGCAAGTAATACCAAGACTTCGAACTTGACTAGCAAGACATTTCAAGACCTCATGACACGGGTATTGGACCTTCTATTCATCGCACCTAACCGACCTTAGGCAAGCTAGTTCTTGGCATTGCATTCGCATGCGTTTCTTACATATCTCCACTCCAGCATCCGAGTTCGTTCTCAGACTAATGCCTAATCCGGCGTCTCTTCGGGTTTTGTCTCGACACATTGAGCAATGTCCGCCTCAGCGTGGCTACAGAACGATAGTGCCATTATCCCCGTACAAGGAGAATCCCTGTTTCATTCCTTCCAATCAGCGGCAACCCTTCTCGCCTCCGTCTCAGATAATGCGATCGTAGTCGTGGGTCTGGCTAATCAGAAGAACTGAAAGCGCAAACAGACCAACTCGATTCTAAAGTATCCGCACCAATCGGAGATCGGGAAGATGCGGGTAAGAAGATGCTGATTATGCAACAGCGCCGAACTTTTTGATATGACGAAATCCGGCCCGCAACTATATACGAGGAAGAAACACACAAGAAAGACGCACAGGGTACGTGCTCGATGTTTTTTTATACTTTCCTTTGTCCCAATAGTCCAGTGTCCCACAATCTTTTACTGCATTGGCAGACTATCATTTATCTCCATTCTCTTCCCGCGGAAATGATGTATGTTTACGTGACTAGTAGCAGCTGCCTCGAAGTCATGCTTAGAGTATGGCAATTTTACGATCGTAAGATACATGCTAGGTTTAAAGCGATAACAAAACTCATGCGTTTAGATGATGGTTCAATCTATCCGAATAACCTTATGTCCGGAAGGCTTCGCCTTCCCATCCTGACAAGCGTTGATATGCTATATCGCTCCTATGTGTGGTCTGTATCTGTTCGTTGTAGGTGGGTACCAGACTGAAGTCTTCGAATAGGGGTTATTCTTGTCCTGTTGGACTCGATTTGAAGCTTGAAAGTTGGGACCAATGTCACAAAGCTGACATAAAGTGTAGCCGGCGATGCTCGAGCATGGCAGAAGGAGTAAATGTATACATCCTTCGGAATCCAAAACAGATTCGCCAGTAATCCTGTCGGACTAATCTCCGATGGCTTGGCTAGCCAGGCTAGGACTATCATCACGCAATGGTGCGTACACGTACTCGGTACATACCGGTATCGTAATATCTTTCAGAGTGTAGGATCACATTGTAAGCTCTCCCTTTGACTGTATAAGAAGCAATAGATTATGAGTCAGATAATCAAAATTTTGCTGCTTCGTCTTTTTCAATTTGCGACTCATGGCTACTTTAACCGTTGCAGAAGCGCCTTCTGGGTCTGAACACAAGACGCCACGTCAAAAATCGGACGTCAAGGTGTTCACAAGCGCAAATGATACAATTGACATAGAACATGCTCCAGTCAATGACGACCCCCGTCAGTGGAGTCGTACCAGAAAGGTGTGTGTATGACACTTGCATTATGTGATCCACCTGACGCTGTACCACCTGTAGACGATGACTTTGTGCATCGTGTCACTGGCTACAGTGGTGTCCGCATTAGCCTCTAATATTCAAAATCGTTCGTCACGTTACTTTCCTCACGAGCAATTTTTTTAACACCGTCTCACAGCCTCGAACCTTCTGATAGAGGAGGATTTACATGCCACAAGTAGCCAGATTAGCTGGACATTAGCGGCGTTCCAACTCATACAAGGGAACTTTCCGCTGTTGTGGAGCGCCGCAAGTGAGATCAAAGGCCGTAAGGTGGGTCTAAGTGTACCTTTCTCGATCTGCTTGATGAGCGCAAATCTCGTTTCTCACAGCCCGTCTATTTGGTGGCTTCAGCTATATTCGTGACAGGAAATGCTGCCTTGGCGCTCTCAAAGACCATCAATGTGATGATTGGTATGCGAGCACTTCAAGCTGTGGGGTGAGCATCCATCCAAAAAAATTGATCAATGGTTGACTCCCCTCCTAAAGTTCCTGCGCTGTTATTTCTATTTCGGCTGCAACCCTGGCCGATATCTATGAGCCTCACGAGCGCGGTACTATGATGGGCATATTCTATGCTGCACCTCTCGTAGGACCCGCACTCGGCCCCATACTTGGCGGATCATTGTCACAAGCCTTCGGCTGGCGTGCGAGTTTCTACTTTCTAGTAATTTGTGGAGGGATCATCTTCTTGTCCTTCCTCATCCTTTTCAAGGACACGCACCGACGTGAACGAAGTCTCACATATCGCTTCGCTTTACGACGACTTCATACATCCAGAGAACCCGTTCAGAGCTCCAGCAAGTCTACCATCACTGCGCATGAGTCCAGCAAGGGCAAAACATCGGTCAAGGACACCGAGAAGCAGCTCCAACGACTGAATGTTCCAGACGATACATTAGTGGCAACTTCAGCACTTGGGCTGGACGATGTCAGGCTATCAATAAAGGACATCGACCCCTTCCGACCATACTTTCGAATTCTGTCACGAAAGAACAATGTTTTAATTCTTATCGCTAATGGTGAGTGAACAGTTATTTTGTACACTTTATTGGTGATTTCATTTTGGGATAAGGACTCGTATTCGGTTTCACCTCTTGCCTTTCATACACGTGTGCCCGCACTCTGGCAAACTCATATAACTATGATGCATTGAGTGTCGGCGTGGTCTTGCTTTGCTTAGGCATAGGTGAGACCTTCGTCACTTGGATTGTGGCAGAGAACTAACTTACTGTGAAGGAAGCATCGCTGGGAGTGTGATTGGTGGGCGTTGGTCCGACCGGGTGCTTGCAAAGATGATGGAAGCGAATGGAGGAAAGTGGTGTGCAGAAGTGACCCCTTTTTATACTCCCGCACTGGAGCTCTTGATTGACATCTTCCGAAGATACGCTTGGAGAGCTCGTTATTGGGGATGCCGTGGCTACCCCCGGCTGTTATCGGTTATGCTTGGGTGTGTGAAAAGCATGTCAATGTTGCTGTCATTTGCGTCATGCTCATTCTGATTGGATTTTCCTCCACGTCAGTACACCACTTATTCATTATCGTTGTTGCTCTGACATCTACTTCCAGATGGATGTCTACTAGTTTGTTGGCATACCTTGTTGATGCCAACCCTGGTCGTTCGTGTACGGCAGTGGCTACAAACAGCTCGTTCCGAGGATCTCTGGCTTTTGTTTCAGTGATCACTGCTGTACCGCTTCAAGTGAGTTCTCTTGATATCTGCTGTATCTCACAAATTCTGACATTAGCCCACTCTCTTTGTAGAATACTTTAGGAGATGGGGGGTTATATACTGTGTGGGCTGGCATCCTGATTGTGACGGAGTTATTGGTTATATTGGTACTGCGCAAGGGAGAATCGTGGCGCAAGGAAGGTGAGGAGCATGAGCTAAAATGCTAAGTGAATGAATCTCTTGTGTTACAACTGATAGGATACAACCTGAAGTGATTGCTGCTGCATGGCTCGTGTTGTAAAAAGGAAATCATGTACGAGTTTGTATCTATATAGAAGATTTCTTTTGTGACATAGACATGACGGCGAAATTATTTGAACTGGCGGGAAAGTAAAAGGATCATTGACGTTTGAGCTATGGACTGGGTACAGATTGCAAGGGAAATCCAAGGCCAGACCTCTATAGCGGGAGGCTGCGGATCTATCTATCGAGGATCGACTGCTGTAACACAGCGCAAGACTATCGACCGCGAGCCAGGACTCCTACCACTGAGCCAGACCACCCTACTACAACAAACGCCCTATCACTTACATGGCGTAATGGCATGCTCTTGCTGACCGACTGATTAAGACGTGACTAGGATAGGTGGGTCCACGTATGTAGGATCACGGTAACGTGCAATAGACGCAGTGGGCAGAAGAGGCGCCCGTCACTCAAACCAACATCAAAAATTGGCTGCAAATATCGTCACCTGTCAATCGGGGATCAGCGCAACCCCATGGAATTCATATTAAATCACTCGCCCACCGAGTCAGTTGCCACCACGCGAGATATAACAATCAACCGGTGAGCATTGGCGAACTGTTGCGCCTATAATTGATCGCTGACTGTGTCAGCCAGATTGATTCACCAAACACCTTACGATAGCAACTTCTGATTTTGATCTGACGCTGCCGGTGGAGAGTGGGTGTAAGTCAGATAAAGCAGGACCTTTTCAGATTGAAATCACCAGTGTGTCGAACATTATGCCACTGGATATCAGGCCATCAGTGAATGAAATAGAGGTTCAAAATTCAAAAACTCAATGCAGCGTCACAACAGAGCTCATAAACGTTGATCTGGCGCCTAAAGAAAAGCATCATTGTTTTAATGAGCACCCTATGGCAGGCAATACGGCTGAAGCAGATCCAGAGAGGAGAGATGGATCAGCATACGTATGCAGACATGACATATACTCGGTGGAATGGTATGAGCAGTGAGAGGAAGAACGACACCCATCAATCTCATTAGATTGAACATCAACATCTGTATTCATTCACACTCCTTTCAATTGGAGAAATGACCTGTAGCCACCACTATGAAGCACGTCAATAAAACTCTCAAGCTATGTAACCGAGAAGCGCGCAATCAGTGTTCTATGCATCCGGCACCAGATTAACATATAAGAAAAACACCAAAAGCACGATGTACTCACCTGGCGTGCCCAAATTCCCTGCACGGTCTCTCGCACCACACCCATACCATCCCGTGTATGTGATGATAGTTCATCCTGACGTCAGCAAGCACTACATCGTGTTCTGGGCGAAAGTAGAGCTTTGAACGAGCGAGAAATGGACGGAGTTCGGAGTACATATGAACAACATTAGCTCTGAAGCAAACCATAGATAGACGCGAGAAGCTGTGTTTACTTACTGGTAATGCATTGTCTTGAATACATGAATCAAGACATGAATGGAATTCGATGGTCGGCAATCGTTGTTTGCAAACATCAAACCGATGCGACAAAAACCTGTGAATGGACGATTAGCGCCGCCTCGCGGAAATCATGCCTTCCACATACAGGATATAAAAACTCGCCTGTCTTGCCAGCTTGCCTCCAAGCAACAGACCAGTAGACCAACCAGTGAGTGCTGGTCAACTTGTTCGCTTTCATCATTAATCACCTGCGTGTGGAGTCTTGCATATTCGCCTTCAGGTGAGAGAATTGCATCAGGCGGGTTCAAATCGATTTGCATCTGGAACACGAAAACCGGCAAGCTTGTCATTGGCCCCATCAAATTTGGCCTGAAGGGTTCTGTGACATCGTTGGTGTGGTCGTCAGATAGTACTAAATTGTACTCAGCATCTGACGAATTCGCACGTGTTTTCGACAACAAATCAGGCCAATTACCTTCCATCGTACTTTCACCTAAAGACAATGTCCTGGTGTGCGTGGGCGACAATAGCTTTGCACAGCTATGGGATACAGAGTCCGGCCGGCCACTCGGTAAATCAATCCACCAGAATCACGACACCCTATACCAGGTGTCGTTCTCTCGAGATGGGAAATACGTAGCCTATGGCGGAGAGGACGGGAAACTCACTCTATGCATGGTCAAAGACATAGCTCCTCAGCTTCCGAAACCCACAGTACCACATAAAAATGATGGACAAAGTATACGAGAGGAAACTCAGCCCAACTTCCCATCATTATCATTATCATGCCTCGACGTCAGTACTTTCACGTTTGACTGCTTGTGCTCTTTGCTTATATTGTTGTTGGCAGGCTGATGCTACGGGAGGTGGTGATTTTATCGAGGAGGGGCACGACGATCCGTCCAAATTCTTCCAGGTAAAACTCCTGTTTTCATCCAAGGGCACTAACGCTGAGAACAAGTACTTGTAGTTTTCGCAGCAATCTCTTCCATTGCCATCGTCTGGCTTCCATTTTCCCTCCTTATTGTCTGTTCGCCGCTTCTTGAGTGTCATCTCTCGACGTCGCCAATTGCCAGACCAGTCCATTCCACAAGAACTCTCCAAAGGTGGTTTATTCAGTCATGCTCGCTCAAACTCGTCTGTGGAGCTTGCTACCACAAACCCAAAACCAGGACCAGAAGCTAAAGTGGGAGAAGGTGAAGGTGAAGGCGAAAATATTGATGATGTAAATGCCATTCCGACTCTCGCATACCATTATCTCAACGCGACGGCTGTCAGCGCGGTTCCGCACATGATTCGCTCAGTGCCAGTAATAATAAAGGCAAACAGCGAGTTGATCCACCCGCCAACGCTCAGAGCCCACCGTTGTATGATCGCACCTCCACAGTCTACCTCGATAGCAAAGATCATCGAACACTCTGGAAACGGCTAGTGGTACGGCAGCCTCGAGGAAAAAAATCCATGTCTAGTTTCCTACATTCCAGCACTCGACCTACATGTGCGCCCCAACAAATACTGCGCAATCCCTGGCACTGGAATTCCAGTTCATTTCCAGCAGGATCTTCCAGATGTCTTGCCGATGTTGCTGCTTGCCGCGATGAAGATGTGAGTAACTTGTCATCACTCCCCTTTCACATCATTGAAAACAGTCTGCAGAGATACGGTATTGTCCCTGAGTCCGATGCGGAAGCGGCTGCAGCTATGCTACGCACGGGTGACGATGTGCCCGGCGATTCAACACAACCTGGTCAACCTGCAGGGGTGGTTCAAGTGTCTCAAGGACTGTCTGCACAAATACAAGCCTCGACAAGCGGGCCAGAAGGAATCGTATATGAAGGAGTAAGCTGCTGCGGATTTTTCTTTGGTCGTGTTCGTGATTCCAACTCACGTCGACCATGAATTCGTTTGCCGAGACGCTCTGTCATTCAATGACTTATTTATTTTTGTTCGTTGTATATGGGTTATCTGGGCTATCTCATATCCAGATCTGCGCCCTCCTGTCCATACATGCGGTATTATATTTGCCTACTGGCTGCATGCTATCATAAGATCCGCAGGTCGTCCCGCTACCTAATCAACTGACTCATTGTGCAGGGATGCACTATGAATCACGTTTGAAAGGAGCCACACAGGCCTGGGATGCTATCTTGGTATCGCAGTGCCATCTTAACTCGATAAAAATCTGGGACCCAGAATTTATAAGCCATTGCTCAAACTTCACTTTGTAAATGTGCTCAATCAACCTCGCCCATACACCCCGCAACTAGTACCACACCCAACCAGCCGATGCCAAAAGCATACATCGGAAGAAGACGAGCAAATCGACCAGAATGTCGATGCCATAATGAATTTATCAGTTTTTGTGTCCACTACTTATCATTTCAAATGCATGGACATCAATGTTCTGGGAATACTCCGCTTGGCAACAAAAAGGATAGCAAAGATAGCGCATACAAAGCTATATAGTGTCCATATTACAATACCAATCGCACATACTTCTTCTGATTTGACTACAGATCAAGGGTTTTGGTCGCGGATGAGTGGGGGAAAATATAGTAAAATCTGGTGCAGTGCAACCAATCATTCATACCGACGGATTCTCAAAGGCACTCCAGTACCATCTTCTCCAACAACCCGTGGACGAGGTAAAATCCCCCTCGCAACTTCGACTGGGGTATCTGGTCCATCCCGCATCTCAAACACGAAGTTCTTCACCAGAACCGATAAAACCGTCTGTATCACAGTGAATAACGTCCAAAGTTACTGATTCGCATCACTCACTTTGAACTCCATGATCGCAAAATCTTTTCCAAGGCACGTCCTCGGGCCATCAATAAATGTCAGCAGATGCCTATGACCTTGGACTTCTTTGGCCTTCCCACCGATGCCGTCTTCAGTCAGCCAACGGTCAGGCTTGAATTCCTTTGCGTGAGGTCCCCAGATGGTCGAAGAGCGATTGATTGCCCCGATTGGTATCGTGATCAATGTCCCTTTCGCTATAGATATACTATCTGTCATGTTGCCAGACATCGTGCGCACAGGTACGCTCAAGGGAATAACGTCATCTGCTGCTGCCTGTGGACTTAAAGTTGTCGTGTCTATTCACATGTAGACATACACACTCACAAGACGAGTGGATTCTGGCACTGGAGGATGAAGTCGTAGGGTTTCATGCACAACCGCATCCAGGTAGGGGAGGTTGGCCTTTAATTGATCATATGTCGGATCAGGGCCAAAGGCAAGCAGTTCCCCTCTGAGCCTGGTTTGAACATCGGGGTGTCGTGATAGCTCGATCAGCGCCCACTGATCAATGCATGAATGAAGTGCGCAGAAGTAATTATGCAGTAAACTTACCGTAAGACTGGCTGTAGACGAAGAGTCAGCAAGTGTGATAGCAACGGACAAGAAACTGACTCACTGGATGTCGTCTCATAACCCGCGAGAAGTAGGACCTTCATCTGAGGGATGTGAGTTCGTAAATCATGACTGTGATACATCGTCTTCACCTGAGCCACTACTTCCTCCTCCGACATATACAACTCGGCATCTTGACCTTCGGATTTAACTGATCGCCGCATTAATTAGTAAGAGACTACGATGAATCTCTCAAACAGCGTACTCAACAATCCGATAACAGAACTTTCCTGGCCTCTCTCGCCTATGTTGACATCCTTTTCCCGGCGGCTGCGAATCAACAATTCGTTAGATATTTGTCCCATGGTGATGCTCAGTTTCTTGAACAGATTCCGCCGCTCAGTGGGGATCTTGAGAATGATAGGAAATACTGATGCGAGTAGGATAAAAATTTCGTTCGCTGCTGAAGGTTTGTTGCTTCCAAATGCATCAAACACTTCGGTCACGCTGACGCGCTTTCCATCGAGCGAGCCAAAATCATGGGAGAAACCAGCAATGCCAATCGTGTCCAAACTGATGTTCCGTCAGTTCAAGGCGTCAATGACAAAATATTTTCGCGTACGATATATGATTCATCCTTTGAGTCGTTTCGATTAGGAACGACACTTGCAAGTCAGAAAAGCTACGCACCAGTTCTGGACCTCAATTACAGCGTCACCATCTTTGCTCGATTCAAGGACAGTATCCCATTTTCCTTTGGCCTGTAAGGTATCAAGTTCACAGATGCTGCATTTCCCGCATCGCAAATCCTTACCTTGTATGCTGAGTCATAAAACACCGATGTGAGCTTCCGAATGGCTGCATTACTGAATGCTGGCGTGAGGGCCTTCCGCTGCCTAATTCGCGGGTGGTAGGTAAGTCGCTCGCGCAAGGACAAGAACTGAACAGTACCTTTTGTGGGTTTCGCCCTGAGCCCATAGTAGCCCTTTGCCAACCTGACAGGAGATATGAAACAAACGAGGTAAGATGATGATGTTAACATACTGATGCCTTCAGAAGCGCCAACGAAAGGGGCGTCTGCACATATGTCCGAGTCTCGCGGGCGTAGAAATGTGCAATAGCTCTTGGGTCACACAGCACGACTCTAGTCTGCCCGAGGACGCTCGGAATCATATACACTACCCCATATTCCGTTGCCCAACGTTCATAGATTGCACCACTATCTTGAGATATGGCGAGGTCGCGCGAAACGCCATATAGGAGGCTGGTACGAGGCGGACCCAGCAGTTGAGTCGTCTTCACTCTCCAGCGAAGCATCCTTAGGACTTTGACAAAAGCCCATAATGTAGCAAATGAACAAGCAACGTGAAATGCGCCACCCGAACGTACGGTTGTCCAGAGACTTGATGGAGAGGGGATGGTAAATAAGTTCATCGTTATGTTTGGTTCGAAGTGGGATCTATTGGGAGATCATTTATAGGTTGGCATTTCTACGGATGCTGAGAACGGCGTGGGCTACGAAGTTGAACGGCTTGTACAGGCACAGGACTATGCCCAACTGCGCTCGGAGCCGGCGCCGTTGTTTTTCGTCAGCAGGATTATTTATAGAAGCCGAAACCTGTGTATGACCTGTGAGCACTACTTGGACCTGAGTACCTGAATGGGCGGGAGTGAATGATAGAACACCGTCGTGATGGTGCAAATATCAAGCGGAATCCTATTCAGACTTGAAGCTTGAATTAAGCTTGAATGTACGTGATGCTACTATGTGCCGCCGCAAGGACTAGCACGCACTTATTCGTGCCGCAGGGGCGTAGCTATTTTGACGCGGTCCTGCCGCGGTCGCGACGCGGCGTGACGCGGGATGTGCTATGGTTGACGCGGCACTGATAGTAGGTCTTGGCGCGGCATAGAGTGTGGATGTTGATGTTAGTACAGAGACTGCGAAGATGTTTGGGAGAACTTGTCGTGGTATGAGTGGTGCTTCACCCAGCCTAAACGAGGCTTTTAACATGCCATGGTTGGGGCCTTGTGAGCACGATCATGGACTTATCGTTTGCAGCCGAAATGCTGTGACTCTGAAGAGAACCTGTCGTTGTTAACGCTCTTGATGTCAAAAAATCAAAATTTCACTGTTGGCTGAAGCTTGAAGTTCAGACGTCTCCATGCCAGCGTGATGGGGGCTGAAGTCATGGAACACCAACACCTAGAAAGCATCAATCAATAAGCATAGCATGGGCATTATGCGATGAAACATCCCCACACTATTGATAACTCTTGATGTCTTCAGCGGATCCTTGTATTATCATCAAGGGAAAGTTCTAGGACTATATAATATCAGCACAAACACAAAAAAGGTGGAGCTCGTATATCTAGATAAGCGATGGGACCGTTCTTCTTTGAGGAAATGTTCTCGGACGACTATGCAAGTCCTGCAACGAGTACAGATCTTAATTGGCTGAACGCCTCGGGACAGCGAACGCGCACAGTGAACGTGACAGTATCTTGACTCTGGGGTGAATTTATATTCAGTTCTGTGCCAGACTCCGACAATGGCATCAGGCAGGGACACATCATTATTTAAAGTAGATTCAGCGCATTCGACATCACATGGTCATCAAAGTCACCTCAGAAGCACCCGGAAAGCGGAAGAACGAAGGTGATGTATTTGTAGCTCCTCGATGATACTTGTGTAATCTGCAATGTCACGCCTCAAGAAGGCGCTTGGAGACACATAATACCTAGATGAGGACGGGTTCTCCATACTGCAAAATAGCAATTAGAATGGCACGACGGAAGTGTGGCGTTCGGATGGGAACTCACATACAGAAGAGTCGACGGACACGTTGTAAGGAGAAGTTGCACAGACCCGATATATCAAAACTTCCACGCATGAAAGAGGGAGAGTCGATGGAGGCAAATATTGTGAGGAGACGTTGCACAGGCCCGACGAGTTGGAGCTTCCCAGTAAGCGAGTCATATTTGACACAACCACTTGGAAAGCACCAACTAACCGGCAGAGTTCCGTGGGTATGCGGGGAGTAAAAGGATTATGCTGATCGTAGAAAATTTGATATTGATCCACCAAATATTAGGCCGATCACCACGAACGAATTTGGCCATCCATGTGCATGGACCATGTTTCGTGGTGGGATGCTCATGATAAGCAGAAACGGGGGGCAGGTGGATCGTTGAGTCAGCAGTGTGCGAGGCGCCGCTTCAAAAATCAAAATAGCCACTACTAGCTAGTTGGCTTCGAGCTTCTGCTAATCGCAAGTGCCAACAATCCCATGTCTTATCCTTTCTCCGAGTATAGTCCCAGCGCTAACAAGAACAAGTATAAAATCAACGCGATTGAATTAAAAAGGTGGCCGTTCCCTTCCTCACTTCCACTTGCAATTGCCTTTCCAATTCCTTTCTGCCCACGACACTATAAACGACTCTACTAAGTGTCGTAACTTGCTCGGATCCCAAGTGAACGCGAACTTTGAGAATTGAGCAGCCCTTTTGAGTCCCATTAGTAACTAAGTGGCCACTTATACAGGCAGGATATATCACCTTGCAGTATGTCGCGTATGGAAAGCAAGAGTGATCAGCTCGAACAACAACGATCAGCTTTGATAAAAAAGGCAATTGTTTGGCTTTCCCCCTGCCAGACCCCCGACCACACCTGAGTGCGACATTCATTACCTGACCGACAGCAGTGTATGTAGTAGATTTTTTTCGTGCCTTACAAATTTGTCAAAGTGATGGCTGAATTTCTTGTGCCTTACAATGTTGCGAAGGTGAACAATTGTCTTAGTCCAAGCCTGGCTTGGTGTGACCTACTAATACTCTCTACTCTACTCATGGCTGATGCCAGTCTTCGACGAGCAAATCAACATAAGCCCTGCCGTTAGTTTTGGGTACATATTTATCTTCAAGTCACCGACTAATATATAGTACCAATAGCGCCAGCTCAAGACATTCAAGAATATGCAGTGTTTTATTTTAATATTGGGATGAATGATGTGAAAATTGTGCACCACCTCCAGGATCACTATGATGATGAGAAGTATGGGCTGAGGTAGGTTCATTACTGAGTACTAGACGAAGCAAACTCACAAGTTACTACATCAATGTGGTCAGTTTCCGGCGGATGCGTAATGCATGGGGCTGGAAACGAGGCAGACAGCAGAAACATACCCTGGAGTCCATTGAGCAGCATGTCATGGAAATTCGCCAGCGCTTTCCTCACAGAGGAGCTGAATCAATCCGCAGGAACCTTCGAGAGCAATTTGGTTTTCATGTACCTTGGTATCTTTTTTATTTTTTTCTGATAGCACTAGTACCTGACAAATTGCAAAAGACCACTGATCGTGAGGCTGCTCAAAATTGTTGAACCCACTGCTGTCCAAGCCCGACGTCGTGGCCGCCTGAGGCATAGACGCTTTTGGTGTGCAGGTGTCAATGATGTGTGGACACAAGACCAGCACGACAAATGGCAACGCTTTGGCTTATTCCTGCATGTCAGCCTTGATCTGTTTACAGGCTGGATTAACTGGCTCAAAATCTGGTGGACAAACAAGAATCCTCGTCTTGTTGCTCGATACTATATTGATGCTTGTAGAGATCTCGGCGGTATGTAACATTCAACTTCTATTAGTATATATCTAGTCTGACAGCCACTATTCATGAGCTAGCAGTTCCTTTGATCATCCAAAGTGACCCCGGATCTGAGAACTTCTCTGTTGCCAATGCACAGACCATGATGCGTCACCGCCTTGATCCTAATCTCAATGGCACACTGCAGCACCGTTGGATGCGGAAGCACCAAAACATCAAGCCCGAGATCTTGTGGTCAGTCCTACGCAAAGACTTTGCACCTGGCTTCGAAAATATATTAGAAGAGGGCGTTGTAAAGGGCTTGTATGATTCTCACAATACATTGCAAAAGTACGTTGACTGGCACTTCACCCTCAGATGCTTATACTAATAATTCATCATTCAGCTATATTTTCCATTGGCTCGCAATTCCCTGGCTCCAGGCTGAGCTGGATGCATGGGTCCATTTCAGGAACTACAATCCTCCCCACAGGGACAAACACAAAATTCTCCCCCATGGCATTCCTGCCACCATTCGTGCAAAGCCCCATCAATTCAACTCACTTGATTTCAAGGTACGTTAAAATGGTTTGCGAATGACTATGTACTTGATGAGTGCGCATCATTTTCAAGGTTCCTGTACCTGGTGACCTCCTTGACGAGGTAGAAGGAATTTATGCACCTCCCGATCATCCTGTATTTGAGCTCGTGCCACCGATGTTCGAGAGGCATGCGCAGAATCTCTATGCTTCACTCGGCAAGCCTCGTGTCTCATCTGAATCATTCTGGGATGTATACCAGCTTATGCGACAACAGTTCGAGGCTCTTGAAGATGATCATGATTTGACAGTGGAGCTTTCACAGCCATTCCACCTCGAAGATGGCCAGGTTTCACTGATTCCGGACCTACAAGATCTACCTCACAACACCAGCTTGTTGGGACCCGCAGGATACCTCTACATGGGAGGCATATTCAACCCACCGACTCATGCTCTTCATGGAGTTTGTGACTGGGAACCACAAGGAGAGAAACACGATAATGAGGATGGACCTGAGTATGTGGAGTTCACTGATTCTGATTCTGACGGAGACCAGGAAGAGGGCACAAATAGCTAATATTCCACCATGCTATTATGGGTAATACTACAGAAAGCTCTATTTGTACAAAACCTATCAAACTGAGATCATCCATCCGACATAAGCGACCTTGCGTGACGTTACGACAACGAGGAGACCGGGTAAACCAAGGACGATAGCAAGCAGTACGAGAGGGATGGTAGTGTTGGCACCGCCGGGCCAGGTGAAATTGACGTGGCCCTGCCGCACCTGCCGCGGTCGTGACGTGCCTGTGACGCGGCACTGTAACAAATTCCTATGTACAGATCATGTTTACACAACTTCATATCGCATTCCAAACACTTTGAATCATCGTTAATGATCAACATATGAGTGTCTGCCTGCGTACAGGCTCTATAGTGCTGTATTCACCTCTCACTAAATTTACAGTGCTTGTCCTCTGCGTTCATACTACTAGTATGCATCTTGCACGTCAGTCCTATATTGTTGCATTACCTCTAATTCGTTCATCTATGTTGGTTTTCAGATGCAGTGTCAAATGTTGTCTCACTGCGTCAAGCTTCAACCTTACCCTGCTAAGTTTGATCCACTCTCTATACCCTGCACCAACACATCGAGCCCCAACCATGGCATGTCAGAAGCCTCGTTTAGGCCGCGTCAAGCACTACTCACACCACGACAAGTTCTCCCAAATATCTTCGCAGTCTCTGTACTAATATCAACATCTACACTCTATGCCGTGTCAAGGCCTACTACAGTGCCGCGTCAACCATAGCACATACCGTCAGTTGCCGCATCACATGCGCGTCAGTGCCGCGTCAAACAAGTTGTGCCGCGTCAAACCTCCTCCATGCCGCGTCAGTGCCGCGTCACAGGCGCATCACGCCGCGTCAAACCCTGTCACTGCCGCATCAAACCCTGTCACTGCTGCGTCAAACCTCGTCACTGCCGCGTCACCCGCGCGTCACGCTGCATCAAACTTCATTCATGCCGCATCAGACCTCACCACCTCCATATGCCACGTCAAACCTCACCACCTCAACTGTCACACTGTCCGTATAACTTAGGTATATTTTACTTTACATCTGTCATAATAATTGATATTCTAACAGTGTTCCTTTTCATCCTGACAGAATTAGATGTCGTACACTGTAATTGTCCATAGGCAGTAATAAATTTATTTTACTAAGCATTCTTTCATTGTCTCGCTCGAGAAACAACCCTTATTATCGCGCTTTTGTGAATCATATCATGGCCTTTGTGAGTTCTTTAAAATACGGAGTAAACTTGTTATAATCATCTTTTAGCAATTAATCAAACATATATTCGACTTTTTCTATCCCAATGAGACAGAGAATCAAAATGATCCAGATCGGCCGGGTCCGCTGCTGAGTTTTGGGGACCTCATACCCTGCTATGACCGTTCAGGTGCGTCATCCAACATATTCTCCTTGTGAACTCGGATTTGACAAATAGACCACCAACCCGCAAGTAAGTTTAAACAACTGTGCCTCTCACATAAACTGACATCCGTGACTCAGGAGCAGCAGGAAAGCCACAACAAAGAAGAAAATGACTCCACTTTACACACGTTATTCAGTGATAACTCTGATGCTACATCTTTGGAGTCTGCAGACGAGCTATCCGAAGCTGTAGTTCCTTCTCTGCTGGCCGAAGAATGTCCGCCCGTTAAACGTTGATGTGCTCCACAGGCTCGAAGGGTCCAGAGAGGGAGGAAAAGAAAATAGTCATTGACTTATGTATACCTAGTTGTACATGGCTCTGAGGCAAGTAAAATAACAAAAGAATGGTCGTGAACTCATCCAACTTGATCTGGAAGTTGAATGTAGAATATAGGAATGGCGCGTCAGTGGCCGCATCAAGGATCGTTAGTGCCGCGTCAAGGCTCGTCAGTGCCGCGTTACATGCGCGTCACGTGACCATGTTGCAATCGGCGCGTAGTAGGAAGGAAGGGCGATGTGTACGCCTGAGCTTGCGTGCACGATGCAGGAGGAGGACTCGAGAGTGTGTGAAAGCACGGTAGGTCTCGAAGCTGCCGCTTGTGCCGTTCTTGAACTTGATTTTGCGTTAATCGGCTGAATGCATTGAAGTGAGATAATACGCACAGATACCGGGTTGAATGCAATCCGCTGAAGAGAGTTCAAGATCGTGTGAAGTATCGTGCGGCCGTGAAAGAAGTTGTCCTCAGGGCCGGGAAGGAGATGCCGAGACAAGTTGCGCCAGCGCACGCAGGAGGAGGACTCGAGAGCGTGTCAGATGATAGACTATGGAAGTTTAGGACTGTCACATACCAGCATGCATGACACCATGCGAGTCAACGAATCCGGGAACACCTGATCGTCATAGGACAATTGTCCTAGAGACACATGCATGAAGGTATGAATAAGACCGAGGACAGGGACAAAAACAAAAATGTAGTTAAAGTGCTTCGCCAGTTCAGGGTTCAGAGCAACTCTGGATGCCCTGGCCGGGTCTGCATTTACACTGGGATCAGCACAGGGTTCGAAGCAACTTTGGACTGCCCTGGCCAGCCCAGGTAAAAAGAGAAAGTGCGGGCAGAATGAGTACTCACTTCCATGAAGTGTCTTCTTTTGTTTGGGGAGATTGATTAATTCCCACAGGTTCGGAAACTTCCACCTCAGCCTGGCCAACGGTTCGCCCTGAGCAACTTGTGCCGATCAGACTTGAGTTCGATGTGGAGCATCATAAGATGCGCGAGACCTGTGTATGGAATCTGAAGATCTGAATGGTACCGGTAAGCCTCTTGTCTAGAGTAGCTTTCGTTGACGTCATTTAGATCCTGTCATCACTCCCGAGCATTTTGCGCAACGCTCATCGAGGATTATGCGCTACCCCAGAGTTATCACGGCATCATCACGCCACGTTGACGGCAACTGGAGACCTAGTGCGTTGTTTTTGTATTGCCGTCATTTATCTACTGACTACTGCTATCCTTGCTCTGACCTCCTGCACTCACTTCGTGGGTTCCTAGATCCATACTTTGTGCGCCAAAGTCATCATACCCGCTACCATCACTATCTGAGTCAGCTTTAGCGAAGAGATAATCTGGGCCCAAGTGAGGAGGTGATGCGGGAGGGGGTAAGGGTTTATTGTAGGCCATCTGCAAGTTTGCGCATGTTGTTACGAGTCTCTCAAGTTGAAAAAATTTACAAAATTCATTGCATGCATGCTTCTCCTCGAACAAAGCAAAGGCGTCTGTCAAGTTGCCATCTGCAAATAAGCTGCCGGAAAGATCACTAGTAAAAATTGTCAATAACACACGTGAGATCCAGTAGCAAACACAAACTGATGGCGAAGTGATGATTTGAGGATCAGTCAAAAGGGTTGCTCCTCCTGAAACAAACTTAGATCAGATAAAGTGAAGAGGAGACCCCACGAAAATGAACAAACCCTGAAAATCAGCAACATATGCAAGTTTTTTTGTTTTGATATACTGGACATGTTGCGCAAATGATAGATACCTGGCAATGTTGCTTGATTTGTTGTCGAGATTGAGTATTGGGGAAGGTGAGTCGTTGGAGATATATTTGGTGAAGCTGCCTTCCATGGACTCGTCAATATACTCCTCAACGAGATAGGTTTTGGTGATGCCTGCATCTTCGATGCTGGCAAGAGCAACATGGACAAAGCGAATGTCAGGAATGTGAAATGGTGGGGCACTGCGTGTGGAAAGCTCAGCGATGACAAATTGTTGGACATGGTCCATTAAAGCACTGGCCCATATGCTGCACTTTATCTCGGGTTGCAATAGCTGTGATTGTCATGGATCGGCATAAGGGAACCTCTTGGACTTGTCATTTCGGTAGTAACATTGTTTGAGACAGATACGTGTTGAGTTGGAGCTTAAGGGCCCCAGAATGGCTTTATCGAGGAAACTGAATTGGGCAGCCTTGAATGCGCCATATTTTGGCTTGCCTTGTGGATTAAAAAAAAGTGTCGCCTGCGTCGGAGCAATGGTACTGATGATGTCGGAGGTGTTGGGATCAAGGATGAGAGATGATAATGAAAGGCGTGGAACAATGCGCAGCACTGCAGTAAATGGACGCAGAGTAACTGCAACATTTTCCACAATAAGTACTACAGGGTGTAGAAAGTTAGGCTATCACTTACGGAAAGGATCTGGAAGTGATTTTCCACTGATTGTGTTTCCTTGTGCTTGAAGTGCACGACGAAGTTCACCTGCATCTGGAGAGATGGTTGCCGTGTTTGAAGTTCGAAGCTTCTGGGGAGGGGTTGCTGGAGGAGACGGCTAGTTGTATAATCTTGTTGAGTATGGTTAAGTATACAAAGATCCTAAATATAACTCACTGAGGACAATTTGTGCTTTGTCTGCTGGAACTGTTTGGTACAATTTTGGATGAGGGTGCCATTTGAAGATGAGGACCCAATTGCTGACTGTGATGAGACAAGCCGATGAAGGCCACCCACAGTTGTCTTGTCAACCTGAGAATGATTAGGTTGTGGGTCTATTACTGATAGCATGGTATCAGACGTTCCCTGGTGTAAAAACAGTGGGTTAGTAGGGATGATTTGAAGACTCGGAGTGACTGGTGCACATGGACCTTGGACTCAGTACCTTCCTCAACTCTTTCACGCCTTTTCTCTGCCTCCTGAAACTTTTCGAGCGGGATCAGGAGATGGACTTCGATACCCTTGCCAGCATGGAACTGTTGCTTGCCACATTTTGTCTTGATAAAGTGGAAGGAAATTGCATTGGTGTCTTCACCTGCTGGACGGGGGAGAATCTCCTCGAAATTATTGGCTAAGCGCAGACGAGCCTCTTCAAAAGAGAATGCGAGACCATGAGACCATTTGAGGAACAAAGGAAGCAAGGTGAGGTAGACGGAGACTTTGAGATCTTTGGCACCAATGCGATAAGGCACATGGCTGATTGACTCAACGATATCCTGTGATAGATGTGCTTATTGTTAGCCTTACTTGAACTTGAACTAACAGTAAAGGTACAAACAGATATCTGAGCAGGCTTCTTAGCGCGCGGCATCATCACAGCCAGATATGCCTTAACACATACTACTTCAGGAACACTCATTGAGCATGCCAATTTTGCAAGTGATGTCCACATTTCTTCATAGACTTTGTGAGCCTCTTGATAGCCTGGCTGGAGTGACAATGTTTGAAGTAGGTCTGAGTAGACAACAGTTTGGGTATCCCGCCCATAAATAGAGATCTTAGGTCCAGAAGTGATTGGACAACGAATGTTTGAACCTGCCAAGCGGGGACCTGGAATAGATCCAGGAGGGAGTGTGCTGGAATTTCCTGCCTGTGGGCTAGCTATGTGCTGCTGAACTACAAGTCCAAGTGCACGAACAGGGAGATTTGATTCTAAGGAGTCATCGTGTCAATACTACTAAAGGAAGTCACTATTCACACTCACTACCACGCTGAGCCTCTGCAATTCGTTTATGGACCACAGCACCATCATATGCTGAATGGAGTTGATGCTGCACCGGCACTGCAAAATTCACAAGTACATAAACTAGTACTAGGGACACAAATTCTAAGTCTAACACTCACATGAATCAGTGATCCACCTAGTTGTTGTTTTCAAGCGTTGGTAGCGACTGCAGCCCTCACAAAGCCATTTCCCCTGTTTTTGTGGATCCATGTGTTCAATATATGTCACTGCAATGACAGTACCAGCAGGGCCACTGAAACACTTTGCATACTCGCAATAATGTTGATCAGCTTCTGTAGTGAAATTAGCAGCATACATGATGCACACACTTGCAAGTCCAACTCAGAAGGAGCCACCAAGTCAGAGTTAGAACCGTGAATTGCACTAATTTTTTCTTCATTATTCACTTGATGCCACTTAAATGAGAACGCACAATTTTCTGACACAGTTGATATATCATAAAAACTTCTTGTTCAACCATGTCTCGAGCTCACTAAGGCTCCTCAGTGAGATTTGACCTCATGGTAAGTAACTATACATCTACACACCGATTATCGGGCTAGTACTACATAAACTTTGAGGGGGAGGATCCTTTTGTTCAGCAAACAGCTGTGTGACGAAGTCAAATGAAATGATCGCTATTTCAGATGTAATCAAGAACTTGACATATCTACATGTTCCAATGTCATGCGTCATACATTGTTAATTTGATGTGTTAGTTCAGATATATACATATTATATGTTATTTGAAGCTGCCGGTGATTGGGGGTCTGGTGCCAAACAAATGTGTTTGACGAGCTGATCACTCTTGCTTTCCATAGTCGCGTTCTGTATTTGCCTCTAGTAGCACTAACGGTGATCCAGTGAACATTGGCCAACCAGCCTGAGACGCTTGGATACTATCACGTGTGGTTCACCATTATTCGCGTGTCAAGCCTTGTCCCCGCTGTATCGAGCCTCATTCATGTCATATCCATTCCCTCTCATACCTCAGCAAAACTGCATAAAGCTTTGGCTATGCCACGTCATTTTCACTCGATGATATGCCAAGGCCGCGTCAAACCACACGGAGACAGGAAGAGTAGGCGATATTATCGGGAATTAATATTGTAGGCTAGTCGGGTACGCTGCTAATAGCTCTGACGTGGCATCTTTGCCTCATCACAACCGCGTCACTGGTGAATCATGACAAAGGCAGAACTCCGTGGCAGCCGGAATCGCTACACCCACGAAATGACTAGAAGGGATAGGTTCTCCCGAGTCCCACAGTATCGTCCGCTGGGCATAACCATTTTGCCAAACCTTGTTGATGATATAAAAGTGAGTCATCTTCCTACTGTCACCAGCGTCCACCCATCTCAGACTCAAAGAGATCATTCGAGTACCTCAGCAGATCATACCACCCTAAACAGACAATGCGTTTCTTCTTCCCCGCCATTATTATTGCGTTGACAGCATCTATAATGTCTGTTACAGCAAGGCGAGTCCCAGCCTGTAGTCCTGAAGGCGAGAGGTGCAACACGGCTAGCGACTGTTGCAATAAAAATGCGGACTGCGTTGTTACGTGCGCGGTGCCCAACCAGAACATTCCGGGCTGAGAACAAGCCGACTTGCACGTAGCGACAAACTGGTGAGTACTTTTACATTTGTATTGGTGCTGTTGTTAATATAGCAATATGCAGAACGCTGCTGAATGAGAAATGAGCAGAGGCAGTACTGGGTGGAAGGAGTACATGATATGAGTGTATGAGGGAGGTATTTGCGTACTGTCTGGTCTGGGATAAATAGAGCACCATGGGTCGGACCGGCCAGCTATAACTCAAATGCTTGTTAGCTAAAAGACGCGCAATTTGATTATATCAAAAGTCTACTCGACAGGGTATGCAATCATTCATACCATTTTTACCTGTGATTTAGCCGGTCCATTTAGCCATCCAATACGTCGAGGATTAATTTTGGGCCCATATTTCTCGATCTGGATGCATTATTCCACCTATGGAGCTTGATGTCCAGATCACGTTGAGTTGTGCACAATTAGCATCAACTCTGGCCGATGCATATACCAATCCTAGTAGGTTCTCTTTATATTCGGTACTTACGCCCTGACTAAACAGCAACAGTTGAGCTGAACTTCGACTCTTTATTCACGAATACGTGCGAGAAGTCATGTTGACCACAACAGTGGCCATTGCGTATATGCACATTATGGTTGCTAGTGTGCTAACATCGGGACCCGGTGGATGATCGTTCGATCATGATAAGAACTATCCACCTGATACGGTCATAAAATTATCATTTACACCCGAAATACTGTGAGCACGGTCATGGACTTATCGTTTGCAGCTGAAATGCTGTAACTCTGAAGAGACTTTATTCACGAATACGTGCAAGAAGTCATGTTGACCACGACAGTGGCCATTGCGTATATGCACATTGTGGTTGCTAGTGTGCTGACATCGGGACCCTGTGGATGATCGTTCAATTATGATAAGGACTATCCACCTGATACGGTCATAAAATTATCATTTACACCCGAAATACTGTGAGCACGGTCATGGACTTATCGTTTGCAGCCGAAATGCTGTGAGTATTTGAACCTGTCAGATGAATTAGCGTCACCTTATCAGTGTATCCAACACATAAACTGGCACCACTCATCTTGCTATCCTGCGACCAAGTAAGAGATAGCAAACAACCCGGTGAGAATCGATTTGAACTACTCCACCCACAATTGATCACGAACCGTGTCAGAGCGAGACTTGATACACCGGGAACCTTACCGGCGACAAGCTATGGCTGCTAGATTTTTCCGCAGGAAAGCTTCAACTCCTAGGAAAGAATTTGAGGGCCATGAGAACATTATATGGAGTCTCGTCTTCTTGCACGACAATGTTCACATCGTGAGCGCATCGCGAGATGGCATGATGCGGAAGTGGAATTGCGATACGGGACATCTTGTCGGTGAACCGTGGAAAGGTACGGGAGGAGATATAACCGCACTGGCATTGTCACCGAACGGGAAGATAATTGCGTGTGGGAGGGTGAACAGGGGTGTTGAGCGGTGGACCACCAACGGAAAGATGATTAGTAATTGGAGGGGTCACAGAAAGGCGGTGCGGTCGGTGTCGTGGTCTCCAAACGGAAAATATGTCGCCAGCGGGTCCAGTGATGGAACAATTGTCATCCGAAAAGCAAGAAGTGGAGAATTACAGGTTGCGATTGACATTCGGATGCTGCCAGAGCACCGATATGATATCGAATATAGCAGCTGTGGAGGAGGTGTGGAGTCTTTCATATTCACCTTTGGGTGATAGAATTGCATCAGGTTGGAGCGACCATACAATTTACATCTGGAACACAGCAAATGGAGAGTGTGTCATTGGACCTATTGGAGGGGGGAAAGTCGTGACTTCGTTAGTGTGGTCGGGCACTAAACTCTATTCCGCCTCCGACAGATTCGCACGTGTTTTTGACACTACCACGGGCCAACTACTCCATCGCTATGCGCACGACCATGACCTATATTCAGTAGCTCTTTCACCTAAGAACAACATCCTGGCTTGCGTGGGGTTGTTCGGTGTTGTACAGCTATGGAACACAAAACCACACAAACTCCGCCGATCAGTCAGCCAGGATCCTAAAACCATTCATTGTGTGTCATTCTCACAAGACGGGAGATACCTAGCTTACGGCGGATACGACGGGAAACTCACTCTGTGGATCGTCGATGTCAACGCCCCTAAGCTTTCGCAGCACCAAAATCAGCCTAAGTTCATACTTCATGTCAGTACTCACAATTGATTGCCTGCTTCGCCTTTCTCACATGAACATCATGATCACAGGCTGATACTGCAGAGCCATCGGGTTTCCCTCAGCCCCCCAATCCATCCTTAGCTCGACGCTTCTGGAACATGATATCTTGACACCGCTCCCCGGCACATAAGTCTGTTCCACAAGAGCCGCCCAAGCGCTCTCGCCGTGCACGCTCGAAGTAATTCTAGACAATTACATTCTCACCCAACGATGGAAATAACAGAAACTGGTCGTAATACCGCATCGGTAGTAATGTCGGCGCCACCCTCACTGCAGCTCATGAACGGCATGCAGCAGCAGCCGAGTTCATCCTCCACAGCCGTGTTGTTGCAAGCCTTGTCAGGACAAGGATCATCGCACAATTTTGTGTGCTCACATTTTGTCACCACTTACCATACCACTCACGACTCGGATTCACGTTGGAGCATTGAAGGCTCCTGCAAGAGGTTCCTGGACAATATATGTTTTCCACGTGGACACTACCGCTAGGATTCTCTAGTGCGACATGTCTTTATATTTCTCTGAGGACGGAATTCTGGCAGCTTTCTTCGTCTTCTCTTGCAAATTCCTCTATCGATCCTTACACTTCTATTTGCTTCAAAGTTTTATCAGTGTATATATGTTCTCATATGTTCAGCATCTGGATATTCTTGACACTAGGGCTATTTATCACGTATCTCGATTCGAAGTCAACGTGCAACGAATTCACGAACATAATTCACCACTGCAGTGAGGTAACAATTGATGAGTACCAACACTCTAAATCTAGGCCTCAGGATCAGCCACACCAGGAGACAAATTTGCAAGTCAAATCAACGCTCCTACCATCGGTAACCACTATGAGGATCGCACATGGGCTTTTAGAAGAGATGTGAGTTGGCCACTGCATTAGTTGCACTTTTACACAAGCAAGGCTCTGTCGATGTCACGACTGCCGGACTAATGCAACAACGTTATCACGACTTGCGGCCACGTATTTGCAGAAGACTTGACGACAGTGTTTCCGTCAAACGTTTCAATGACCGACTGTGACGCAACGCACTGGTGATGTTTGCACGAGGGTGGTAGTTTTGTTGGTCGAGCCTGTGGTGGATTTCCTATCCAAGAATATGCTGATCGCCTACCATAAAGCTAAAAGGGAAGTAAGCCGCTCTCTCAATTGAAAACTTGCCATTCACGTGGATTGCCGAACAGATCGAGGACTCGAGCATCATAATTCCAAATTAGCTTCTATATGACGTTTATGTATTAGAGCTGTCTCTATGAACAACGGTGTAGTTGGCCTGCTGGGATCACAATCAAACATGCAATCAGCTCGTACGAATGGGTCTGGGAGAAATAACTCGCACCTGGAAACGGTGCTCAGCTTTTTGATCTGCCTGGGAGAACATCGAAGGAGTGTAGGTGGGTTGTCCACCACTTGGGACACAGTGTCACGGATCTGTATACAGGAATACCCAGCCTTATGTACCCGAGGCTGCGCTCCCGCGATGAAGAGCTTAAATATTAAGTATATTACCGGGGATCATCTAGTCCAAGAAACCTGTTCAAATGTTGCACTTGAAAAATAGTAGAACGCACCTTTCACTGGCCAGGCTTTATCAAGCGTGTTCGAATCGATGCAAGTAATTAACAAAGTCGTCGCTTGTCAGGTAGGTACCGTTCCTTGTCGCTTGAAAATAAGCTGTTTATGATTTGGAACGCATTTAGCAATCGACTCACCAACGGCAGAACACTCAGCTTAGCTCGGATGGTAGTAATACCGCCTCATTTGGAATGATGATAGATTCCAAAGGTTCATACAATGATGTGTCGGTACGTGTTCTCGGTCCCCGAGCTCTGATCTAAAGAATTTAAGAACGTCGGTTACGTCGCCATTGTAGGCCAATGCATTGTATGCGTGTGAGAGTGTTATTCATAGATTGATGGGTAACGTGACTGAGAAGTTAACGACGCGTTATTTACTCATGTTTGGGTAGTGTTCGAGTGTGATATGTATATGTGAGACTGTGATTCGAATAAAGCTGTTCCACCAATTTTCTTGTTACTGACCTCGTTGGCTCTGACTCTGCTCATCACAGCAGACGACCACGAGCAGTGTTTCGTTCTAACTTCCTCTGATTCCCATTCACGTCTGCCAGTGTACTTGTATACCATTGCCAATCCCAAGTCTCATTAAATACCACAAGCATCTAACTACCAACTCATTAGCATCCAGCAAGAATGACCATGAACACCTCAGCACCAGAGGCCAACGACGTCTTCTCCCTCTCAGACCATCTTCTTGCAGAACGTCTTCAGTTCGTCAAAGAGGTATGTCTCGTATCCCCTCTTCCGAACAAGTTAAATGAACGTCATATAGATTGGCTTTGGAAACTGGGGCAGCGTTTGGCTTTGCCGTCCCAAATCCAGTTCCTCACCCGACAAGCATAAGGATGTCGAAGTAGCTGTTAAGCTCGTACACCGCTCCAAGACTAGCACAACGGCCGCACGCGTGCGTTCGCTGTAAGTCCGCTTGCCTCGTGGCCCGTCTAACACAGATATTTGACATATTTTCACATCTTCATTTGTGCGTAGATGGAATGAAATGAAGATCGTGCGCTCGTTCAAGGCCGACCCACATCCCTCGATCATCCCATTTCATTCGTTCATCATCACCCCGTCATATGCGCTTATCACGATGTACGTTACTTATCGCGTTTTTAACCTCATGGTTGACATATTACGTTGCTTTGCAGGGCATATCTTCCAACCCTCGTTCCCGTCGAGGTTTCCGAACCACGAGCAAAAGAATGGTTCCGCTCACTGTTGGGTGGTGTCCACTTCCTGCACGAGCGTGGGGTCGTGCATAACGACATCAAGTACGTTATCAACCCTTTCCGTCCGTACCTTTTGTCCTACACTTCACTAACCAAATTTGTACGTGCCACAGACCTGCCAACATCTTGCTCTCCCACAAGAATATACCCGTATTGGTCGATTTCGGGTTCGCAGAGAAGTACGACCTGTCTTCCCCCAAAGCATTCCACAGTAATTTGACATACGGCACCCCTGAGGTTCGCATTTTCTCCGCTCTATTTTTGCGTTCACGTGATATTTAAACTTTGTGCGACGTGCAGTACCTTTCCCCAGAACGCGCTCGTGGTCTTCCCCATGACACCCGAAAGTCTGATATCTGGTCACTCGGTGTGACCTTTTTCGAGATATTGGTTGGTCGCACGCCATTTGAACATGAAGAGGGCGAGCAGTTTGCAAGCAAAGCCGACTTGGAGAAGTACTGGGGCAGGACAGTGAGTATCTTAGGTTTTCAAGTCTAACGAGCAGATAATTGATGATGCTCATCGCATAGATGCGTGGTAAATGGGTAGGCGCATACACCATTCCCAGACCCGTGGAGAAGCTGCTCAAGCGCATGATTGTTCCCAATGCTGATCTGAGGTGTACGGCGAAACAGGCCATGGCTGATGTATATTGGCAAGTTGCAGGTGCAGTTCCGGACAAGCTTGTACATAGTGAGTCACACCTCATCTTCGTCAGAAAATGCAGTACTTATCATTATCACAGAGAAATCCGCCTCTGCTGCCGTTTCATCCGCGAAGCAGTCGCCCATCCATACACTTTCATCTTCATTCACATCTCCCCCGGCGAAAGATACCTCCACTCCAAAAGACGCCGTGCCCAGAGATGCGCCTGTCTCGCGGCGTCTTGACATTTCGCTCCCCTGGTCTTCCAATTCTCGTTCTCCTTCCCGTTCCTCAATATCCCGCTCGGTCTCTCGCACACCTGAAAAGGAGATCCAGGAGGACACCCGCGTCAACGAGAGGCACCACGCACGATCGAAGTCACAACCCAAGCTCCGCTCACCCTACCCTCACACGGATGGATGTCGCCAAGGACGGAAGTTGTCCACTGTACAAGGATCACCTGTTGTTAAGGGCGCAAAGAAGCTCGGACCTGCCCCTCTCAGTCCTGTCGATACTCCGAACATGAGTGGTAACACGAGCAACAACTCTGGGTTGTTCTCGCTCAATTCGCTCACGCCAGTTCGGAAACCGCTTGGATCGAAGACACCTTCAAATTTCGCTCTCAGAGATATGGAAGGTGGTAGAAAGAAGAGCGCGAGGACAGGGAGGGAAAACACGCCAAGTGCAAAAGAAAACTCGCCAATCACGGATAGCAAAGGCAACACCCCCCAAAACAAAGAAAATGGCACACTCAAAATGAGCGGTCGTAAACCTCGTTCGCGTTCTCGAGCGGGTGTATTGTCAGACCTGACGGGTTTTGCGAAGAATGTGGATTTGGGTGCGCATGGGTTGCCGAAGGCGAGGGCGAAGGGAACTTTGAGAAGCGTTTCGGACTTTAGGAATGTTTCGAAGACGGATGTTAGGAGCGCGTCAAGGCCGGACCTTCGTAATGCATCGAAGACGGACGTTCGAAGTGTATCACGGACCGATGTCAGTGTCGCACAGAACACGTCGAGGACAAGTCTAAACGAGCACCACACCCCCAAGGCTTCTGCTGCAGACCTCGCGGACGTATCAACAACCGTAAATGTCAGCGGCATGGCCGATACCACGTCCTCGACCGTAGGCAAAGGCAGCGTGCGTGACCGTATGCGCGAGTGGGAGCGCGAACGTGAACGGTTGCGGGAGATGGAGAGACTGACGGAGATGCAGCGTGAAGCTGAGTCCATTATGACGTCAGCCAATGGAAACATTAACGATGATGAGACGGAGTTGAGTGACGAAGAGGTGGAGTGTGCGATTCAAAGGGAGGAGGTTCAGGAGGCGCGTCGTTCCCCCATTTCGAGCGGCCAGAGGAGTCCCGTGAAGATGCAGGTCAAACGCGAAGTATCGACAGAGGAGACAGATAGCGAGATTGATGCGAATGTTACGAGCTATCGTGCAGATTTGAGCTCAGAGCATATAGAGATTGCGAGAATAGGTGTGAGGGCGAGCGCGCAGTTGTTGGAGATGAGCAAAGGAAGTGTTTCGGTGCTTGGAATAGACAGGAGCTATTCAGCGTCGACGGCACCTGGTGAGTGGTCCTTTGCATGCGTTTTATCTTGGATATATGCTGATTGATGACATACGTCCAGCTGAATGTAACCTCCCAAGTGAAATGCGTCGGGCGAGTGAGTCTGGATTTGTTGGACTTAAACACAGCGTGAAAGCTTCTATCGGTGCGTCCCTCCTTCTCTAATCACCTCCTTTGTCTAATTCTGAACTTTGACGATACAGATAAAGGTGTTCGGATGTACAAGTCCTCGACGCTTGGCCAAATCACGAATGGTCGCACGACACCTGTGTGGTGTGCTTCCCCGGAGCCCATCGAGTTTGAGCAGCGCCGCTCGGGTGAAGCTGGGAGATTCAGCTATGAGGATATTCGCCCAGAGGATTCCGCTGAAAAGGACCGAGAGACAGCTATAGATCGAATGAATCTCTGGATTCAGAATGTTGAGAGTAAGCGCAATTACTCTCGTTCACAGAGTGGTGGGCTCATGCAATTCATTTTAAGGAGTCGTTGAGGAAACGCGCCAGAACTTTGCTTTTGCATCCACCAGCATCACACCGCCTCCTGCGCTTCCGCTCTCGCCGCCCATTTCACGTTCTAGTTCTCAGGCGCTCAATGCCAACATGTCGCGTTCGTCTTCGCGCCTTCCAAGGCGGATGCTTGCCGCGAATGAGATCTTTTGTAATGACCCCAATGCGCCGTTGTCCCCTGGACGATCGGCACTTGCGGATCAGAGTAACTCGTTCTCGGGGTATCTCTCTCCTGATGACTCTGGGTTCACCCAGCGTGCTGGTGTGCCTACCATTAATGTGCCTGCTCAGACTCCCCGACGCCAGCGTCGTGCCACCATCTCGACGCGCTCGCCCAAGGCCGATGAAAATAACATGGATGGTTTGGGCTCGCCGTCGAAGAGAAGGGAGAAGTCACGGTCTCAGGGAAATTTAGACAGGCACATCAGGCCTATAGATAAGCTAGAGTTTGATCTTACGAGAGGTGGGTTTTCTGCTTATTGTGATGAGCTTAGTTATTGATTGTTCTTGAGCAGAAACAGTAGTAGCGCCTACGCCACGGTTGTCTGCAGTATTGGATCGGAAGATGTTCATCGCGCCTCCATTCATGCCATGGTCAGGCGATGTGGATGGGACTGACATGCAAACGCCCCACCCGATCAGACGACGGTCAATTCTGTTCGATGACAGTGATATTACTGCGTCTCCTTTCCATGTGGAACCTTATCCACCGCGCAAGTCTGGGGAGCAAATGGTCATCAACTCACCTGATCAACGTCGTGTGGAAGGCGTCTATGACCGCTTCCTCATGTCTACCACAGGTGTCAAGCGCCTCGGCAAGGGATACCAATCTGACAACCTCCAAACTGTTCCCACTGCGTCCTCCACTCTAGAGTGTAAACCAACAAGCAGCAATCCCCGTAGCTTCAAGGTGTTTAATTCTTCTCGACGGACGATGCCTCAGCCGGTGTCTAGTGATGACATGTGGGGCAATACATCTGTGGATGAGCTTGGTGTCGTGGCTTGCAGTGCAAGCACATCACGCTCGTCTAAGGAGGATGGCAAGAACACTGCTACTGCTGCAATCGTTCTCCGCGCGTTCAAGGCGATAGTGCCTGGAAGGACAGTCTCCAGAAGATTGTCCCGCACTATTATTGCCTGATTCTAATGAGTAAATTTATTATTCATTTGATTTCTTTACACTTCCTCATTTTCACTTCTCATTCATCCATTACGCTCGCATTACTTGCTTGGTTCTAATTTCTCGGTGCGCATGGCTGCCGTTCCCCATGTCATTTCTCTGTCGTCATGATTATTCCCCTCTTTTGGAGCATACATACCCTTCCCGTCATCAAGTTTTCATTGCTCTTATATATTGCTATTGTCATGATTTATCCTCTTTCACATTACCCACACCTTCGATCGATCACCCTCATGCTCACGCCATTTTCACGAGTTTGCATCACGCACTTCATGAACGTCTTGGTTATTGCTTCTTATGCTATAATTTCACCTCTCGCAACGTTGTCGCATTTTTCCTCGTGATACTTCGAGGTGCCTTCATGAGTGTGAATAATGAATGTTACATATATTTGATTCTGCTCAGATAGACGTCTCCCGTCCGCATGCATTGGGTGGACATGGCAGTCCGATGAAACAATACAGTACACTTTATATATCATACAGTATTAACAAAACCTTACTAAGAGTAGTTGTTTTTGCTTCGGCACCCGCGAATCAAATTATGCGGCGATCTTCTCCCAGCTTTCCAATCCAAAAATTCCAGGAAGTTGTGCCCATGCTTCTTGTCGGCCTTTCGTGTGTACGCTCTGATGTGGGGAGGCACAGTTTTTGCACGCCCCTATTTTCTCCCAATCAATGAATTGCTCGAGAGTGCACGGCCTCCTGAAATCCTGGCGCTGCAAATATTCCAACAAGAGCCGATCATTTCCTTCACAACGATTCTTGCAACGGGACCCAGATTTAGTTTTTTTTGGAAGTGTGTATAAAAACGGGTGAGTCGTTTGGCGTTGCACATTCAGAAGCTGTTCTTTGCCAAGCATGCAAGCGGTTATGTCTGGTAAGGCTAGGATAACTCCACCACTGCCCTTGAAAATTGTACTTGTCGGCAAGCGGGAGCAGTAGTAATAGGCGCAAGGAAACAGTTCCAAGCACTTGGTCTCCCGGGCAAGGTTGATGACCGCAAGGACATTTTTTTGCGCAGTTGCGCGGTCGTCCTGATATTCAGGATCATCGAAAGATGCAAGTGTCGTTGGAACGCCGCGTTTCAGTCGCTGAAGTGCTAAATCGCGCAATCGTTTCATCTCATATTTCGTGCTGAGACGAAGAACGGCGCATAAATAGACGAAGTATTGCGCGTTGTCCTCGAAGTACCTGGCTCAGCAGGTCAGTCGAAGCGACTGATCTTTGAGAGCGTAATGCATACGATATCTCATATATGGTAAGGAGGAGCTGCCGCAGCTCTTCAGCATCATCGCCCAGTGCAACCACAGGGCACCCTTCATGTGTTTCCGTGTTTTCTGTCTGACTTTGAAGAAGTATGGTTGCAAAAACAGAAGATTTTTGGCTTAGAATAGATCCATGCACACGGAAGAAATCATTTCCAGCTTTCAAGACAACGCTCCCATCATCATACCAGAGGTCATTCAGATGCGGGGGTGGGGAGTGGGACTCTTCTATTTCGTTCGGATGTGGAGGTTTTTCGATGTCAAACAGACTATGTCGCTCTGGGGCTAAGGAAACGCCACAAAATTCTGGTTTCAGCGGATACGAAGGAGGCCGACCACCGAGCTGGTAATCTTTGACCCGAAGTTCCTTAATGTTAATATGTGAGAACACAAAGCTTGTTCTACGATGAGTAGCAGCCACTCGCCTCCATCGAGACACCTTCGTCCAGAAAGATAGTTTGGAAGTACTCGCATGCGAATGAAGTCGTTCCGTCGATGACTTTCGGTGAGAAGAGATGACCGATGGTGCTAGTGATATAGTCAGGGAATGAGCTTGTGGTAGACATTCGGTTACGGTACACCAATTGTTAGTTACTGAGTCCTGACAAGTATACCATGTGACGAAATCTAACGGAACGGACTAACTGCCAGTAATAAACAATATTAAACATCAATAAACGTTGAATGTGGCTTTGTTAGTCATGAGACTACGGAATCCCGATTCACTTGAACCATGTCGCAACAGCTCAATTCTGCTCTGGATAAATTAACAATGAAGGAGATCATAGTTGCTGTCGACAACTTGAATAGAGCTGAAAAACACAAGTGCAGTGACTTAGTACTTAGTACTTATGTAGTGGCTAGGCAAGCAAGGTCAAATTCGGCAATGCCGAACCCTAGTTACAATAAAGTTGCAAACAGCTGAAGCCAAGAGGTGTGGGATCGAGTAGTTCAAGACACTAACCTATCGTACTAACTTGTGTACCCTTGAAATGGCCGATCTGGGACAAGGACGCAGAAGCGAACGCGAATCTTCGACGAGAATGCAAATCTCCACATGGGAGAGCACAAGGTGGACAGCCTGAACATCTTGCGACCATCATTCTGGTTCTCAATCGCCTTCGCATGGTACCAGTCCCTGGAGGATTAGCGCTAGCCTCCGGGACTGCTTTTGTGTTTTCCTGCATCCTATCAGCTTCGGCACCACACATTGTCCCACTGGTGTCATTGTCACCAGTGGCTTCTTTCCATTTCGAACCTTCCAGTCATTTGACATTTAATATCTTGCTCATGTGCAGTGTTACCTCACCGTTGTCTATCACGTCCTGCTGAGACTCTGTCTAGCTCCTACAACCTCTGGTTTCTCAACATCTCTCTGAAGTTTCCACAGCTTGAGGCTGGCAGTACGTTCTGTTCGGATGGTGCCCTGCGCACGATCTGCTCGGAACGTACTGGTCAGTGCTTTGGCCAATTGATCGTTCCAGTCAAGATGATATATCCTGTTGCTAAACCATGTAGTACAGTGCGACTTTCTGGATGGCGTCCTGTCGAGAAACTTGCAGGAAGTAGCTGTAGCGTTAATGAGTGATTGGAGGCAGAGTAGGCGATAGTGGGGATTGTAAATAGAGTCTGAGTCGGATCCTTACTTATCAATGACCGGAAAATATGCTTGACCAGTGGTGACTGAGGTCTTGACCCTCCCACCTTGAAGGAGTTGTATGTACCTCATTCATTTTGAGATCCGGTGGTCAAACTATTTCAGAATAGGAAAAGAGAAATGGAGCAGGATTGGAGCTGGGTAAGGCTGCGAGCTTCAGTGTCAGTTGCAGACAACTAAAATCAACAGAGAACCGACTCGAATATCAGCGGCAGTTTTGAGCATCGGTTGATGGCCAATGTTGACTTTGAAGAAAAGCCAAATGCAGGATAGGTTTCAAGTGGGATTGTGGGATCATCCAGACCACCATTCATTGCTGCCTGATCCCAACAACCGCCCGTGCTTAGCGCACATGCCCAGCAGCATGCCAGCAAATGCTGACGTGGCTCGAACATATGTGAACAACACCAGGAAGGCGCCAGGGCCCAGAATGAGAGAAGGAGTGGAAGAGGGCAAGAAGGAGATGAGGGAGACTCGAGAGGTAAGTTCATGTCTTGGGTGTCCATGGAAATGAGGTAGTTAGCAGCATAAAAACGCATAATACATATTACACGCACCTCTGCAGCTTAGAGAAAGGTACCCACAACCCCTTGGCCGCGTTCAACACCATCAACCTCCAGTAAAATGACACAGCTCATTCCAAGCACCACGGTCCACATCGCTTCGAGCTTTTGATAGACCGGCGGCATGTGTGAGTTTTTTGTGTCTAGAATTTTTGAACAGATCCGCTGAGCATCATATATGTTGAGTGAGTGTATGCCTACAGCAACATGTAGTTCGTGGTGCTGATCCTTATACTTAGCCTCTTACCAGGATATTTGTTCCGACAAATCTGATATTTCAACAGTCAATCGATGACAATGACTCGGATGATGTATTACTTAGTCTGACATGACTTTGCTATATTATCTCGCAGATCTCCGTCCATGCAGCCGATGTCAAGCAGGTGTTGTGTGTCTACTCTATCGAAGTTCCCATTCGGCAAAAGGACGATTTAGAGGAGGATCCAATTGTGGTGGAGCTGCGGAAGGTGAGCGTTCTAGAGCGGGGAACATCTACTCACATTAATCTTGTCAGGCAGGTGGGGCTAGTTACGACAGGGTGTAGCTTACATCACACAAAGTTGTGCTCTCAATTTCCTGGCCTTGCATGCCATTGGATTTATATGACTCATTTACCACTTGTACTGCACATCGACTGCGCCCGAGGTCCGATAAGTCTTTTGATCAGCTTGTGCGTCATACAGAGATACCCTGACATTGCATTGTGCAACGGTACCTATACTATTACTTGCCCCGGATATAGAAGACCCTATTTCAATTCTTTCAGCCTGCGTGGATGCTAATATTCTGCAGATTCTCGATTCCCTGTTCCTCCAGCCGCACACTCATCCATTGTTCCATTGCTTTAGCCTCCTTTTTTTTCATAAAATGTGATTGATGGCGTGTTCCGCTGAATGTGAGAATGATATACAAATACCAAAAGAATTAATCTGCTGGAAAACAGGTAGCACAATCAGCCAAGTGTGACTTACCTTGAATACTGACCAATCCAGTCGTGCGCAGCCCTCCCTTGTGGACCGGAGGCTGCATCAGCTAAGGTCCTCGGAAAGAAGCATGTGATGTTACCTTCTCCTGCGCTACCTTGCCCAGCTCCACGAAAAGGGCTTTCGCAATGCCCTTATTTCTTGCATCTGGGGATACATACAAGTCCTCGAGCTATATGTGAAGTATCAATAAAGAGGTAGTAGCATCGCGGTGCAGCGTAGGTGAATCAGAATCTAGACGCACAAAGAGGCCAGGCTTGCCTGTCCAATTGAAGGAATACAGTGCCATTCCTAATGCTATTCCGGGTGCCTCGGGCATCCCATCAGACGCGAGGAGGGTGTGTGCATGTTTCTTTTCGACTATATTTTCTCGAAACTTTGACGGCATTTGAGTATGACTCTGCGACCTTTTGAGCGCCTCACCAAAGCAGGGGTAGCCCTTGCGGACTCGGTTTCGTTTTCATACATCGCCTAGATAAGAATGGGAGGTTGCAGTGTATTAAAATATTGAGGCAAGGCAATTGTTTTGAATATATTTTCTCGAAACTTTGACGGCATTTGAGTATGACTCCTGCGACCTTTCGCCAAGCGACGCCCTTGCGGACTCGGTTTCGTTTTCATACGTTGCCTAGACAAGGGTGGGAAGTTGCAGTGTATTAAAATCTTGAGGCAAGTCGATTACCTACAAGATCCTGTACCAACTTGAGCATGGCGTCCTGAGCTATTAATCTTATCGCTGATAACAGCGCTAGCAATGCGTTATGTGCTCACCACATCATCTACGTTAGCCAAATATGTATAGGTTTGTGATACAAATTCAGGACCGCTGTACTAGTGTTTGTGTACACATATTTGTGCGTAAACCTTAGTCTGTAACTTTTCACCATTCGCCGATCGCCAAGCCAGAAAGTCTACTGACTATGATCAAAAAACAAGTTAACCCTTCTGAGTCACAGTGCCACACGTGGGGTGTCCACAGCATGGTGCCAACAACTTGAATTACCGCGCACGGTTAAATGGTGTGGCTCGATTGAAATATGGTCTGCATTCAGCATTCAATTTTTACTAACACCCCACCTGTTCTTGACAGGGTAATGCATAATTATGGCTGGTAAGAGACACATGGTTATGTATGGTTGATGCTAATCCCTCCACCCTGGCAGCTTTATGCATAATGGTGCCTGCATCACATTGAGCCTTTTGTGGAACTTTGAAGCTCAGCTACATTATGCCCACACTCCGCATTTTTGGCCACCTACTGTGGGAATTACCCCACAACACCCAAAACATCACCCATTTTGGAAACCTCCACAATATCAATTATTCCCACACCCTCCCCACCTCACTGCAGCTTCACCATCACACCACAATAGCTCCCTGTTCATATATAAGTAGTAGTTTAGTATATATATGTATAATATAATATAATAAACCGCTTTTTTTGTCTATTTGTGTGCCTGTTCCTTCTCCAGGGCCCTTTTAACATATGCTAGGGTAAAGAACACTTTCGCATTTTTGCCCCTTTGGTGGGGCAGTGTTCTATAATATTCAGAACATGTTTATGAGCATATATGAGTGGATTCCCATCTTTATTTCACCCCCTGAAGCGTCCTACATCAATAGATATAGCACATATGCAAGAAAACACAAAATATGTTCACATTTAATTATTTCTAGGTGGACAGACTTGAGAAAATAATTCCCAGCATCTATTTAACAATAGGAACAATGTATCAGCAGCCCAGGACCATAGGATAATACTCTGTTGCATGGTGTGCCCTCCCTCTCCTGATGGTTCACCCCCTGTGAAAATTTTTCCTGTAGGACCGGACCTTAATTGAGGTGAGGAGTTTATTTCTATGTATATTTGGAGCACATCTATCATATAGCTGGCCCAGGACACACATAGGATTCTTCTACAGGAACAAAAACATAGAAAATCTCACTTTTGACATTTATGATGTTTTTGAATGTCTTACTCTTGTATAAATGGCCAGCCTTGCTCATATATGATCATTAGTACATTCCCACATGTGTTTTATGCCAAGGATCAGCCCTACATAGGGCGCAAACCTGATATCTGATGTACAAGGGGTATTTCTACTGATAAGAAGCCTACATAATGATCAAGCCTGTGATAAGTGATCAGATACCTTGGATACCTCTCATATGTGTCCCAGATGATATATTTGAAATTTTAGAAAGATCCATGAAGGACTGACTGAATGACAAGTAAAATGACATATGTGTGAAAAGTGACAATTGACATATTTTTACACAAAGTCACATTTATATATGGTACAGGTCAAATTTATCATTCAAAATATGTAGGATATAGGGTAGACTACTAAATGAACCTATACTACATACTGCCCTGAGGTTAGAGGGTTGTGGAAGGAATGTAGTGTATGTCTGAGTTGACCCAGCATTAAAGTCCTACTACTGTCCAACTGATCATTTTCGATGTTTTGGGTCTTTGAACTTTCCCACAGTCAATTTCTTATCTATTTCACTTCCTCAGCACTCAATTCTTGTTGGATTGTTTTGTAAATTTAGCTATATAATAGTGAATGTATTGTAAATCTACCCCAGGTGTCTGATTATTAAATTTCGATGTTTTGAAAGTATGGGCTCCTTATCAGTAGAAATAGCAAGTATCCACACTAGCTCAAAACTCCGGCCTATTTTGAGCTGATCCTTGTCATACAAAGCAAGTATATATGATATGCTAATGATATGTGAACAGGCTGGATTATTTATGCAAGAGTAAGATACTGAAAAACATCATAAATGTCAAAAGTGAGATTTTCTATGTTTTTGTTCCTGTAGAAGAATCCTATGTGTGTCCTGGGCCAGCTATATGATAGATGTGCTCCAAATATACATAGAAATAAACTCCTCACCTCAATTAAGGTCCGGTCCTACAGGAAAAATTTTCACAGGGGGTGAACCATCAGGAGAGGGAGGGCACACCATGCAACAGAGTATTATCCTATGGTCCTGGGCTGCTGATACATTGTTCCTATTGTTAAATAGATGCTGGGAATTATTTTCTCAAGTCTGTCCACCTAGAAATAATTAAATGTGAACATATTTTGTGTTTTCTTGCATATGTGCTATATCTATTGATGTAGGACGCTTCAGGGGGTGAAATAAAGATGGGAATCCACTCATATATGCTCATAAACATGTTCTGAATATTATAGAACACTGCCCCACCAAAGGGGCAAAAATGCGAAAGTGTTCTTTACCCTAGCATATGTTAAAAGGGCCCTGGAGAAGGAACAGGCACACAAATAGACAAAAAAAGCGGTTTATTATATTATATTATACATATATATACTAAACTACTACTTATATATGAACAGGGAGCTATTGTGGTGTGATGGTGAAGCTGCAGTGAGGTGGGGAGAGTGTGGGAATAATTGATATTGTGGAGGTTTCCAAAATGGGTGATGTTTTGGGTGTTGTGGGGTAATTCCCACAGTAGGTGGCCAAAAATGCGGAGTGTGGGCATAATGTAGCTGAGCTTCAAAGTTCCACAAAAGGCTCAATGTGATGCAGGCACCATTATGCATAAAGCTGCCAGGGTGGAGGGATTAGCATCAACCATACATAACCATGTGTCTCTTACCAGCCATAATTATGCATAAATATGACAGTATAGCCTGAACACCCACAGTGGGAAATACTCTGTTGCTTGCTCAACAGCTACAGGTCATGTCCAATGATCTGATGGGCCACGTCTCTACAACTCTTCAATGCGGTTTCAGCATTTATGATCTGCTTTCATATTTCAGGCTAGTGGCGAAGTTACCTTTGACGTCTATTCGATGGTCGTACCAACAAATAGCACTCATGACTCTCCATTCGTTTGCTGAAGGCTCGTGCCCTAATCCACAAGGTGCCGTTCCGAATCCAGCCATCTCAGACTCCTGCCAGACCATTCCGAGAAAAGGTCACAACACTGACTCGGATGTTCCTGAGTACACAAATTACTTTTCTCAGAATTTATTGGCTGAATTTTAGAACAGCTCCATGAATTCATTACTGAATTCTTCCAAGTGGACACCAACCACTCGAGCTCCGGTCAATTTTCAGCGGCATCCTGCGGGAGAGTCTCAGTGTAACTCCGCTCCTGATCTCACCAGACAAGTCGTTCGTTGCGAGATATACCCCATGTTATTGGGTATGCACAGTGACGTTTGGCGATCAATGTGGTATCATGACAAGCATGAGCATGATGTAAGTGAACTTTACATGTTAGAATCCTCACAATATAAATGACTTTTTTTTTTAAGGTCGCGGTCAAGTCGCTGATGATGATTCCATTTTCCAATGAGGACAAAAAATGCAGGAATTGTCAAGTCCGTTTTTTCGTTTGTGTCCAGGAAACCTGCTTACGCATGACTTAGAAACTGATGGGCAAAATATCATCTTTCGCGCAGTTACTTCACAAAAATGTTCTGCCACTATATGGAATTGCACACGGTTTTGGGCACTTTCTCTCGCTGGTGACACCCTGGGTGAACAACAGGTCGTTGAATGAGTACATCGCTAATCATCAATTGTCATTGGCGAGCAAGTTTGATCTCGTAAGACTTCAGCCTCTTTGGTGGAAATGATGTTTCTTACTCTTGCACTTGGGTGGCATTAGGCCAAACAGGTAGTAGCTGGCCTTAGCTATCGTAAGTTTCCTCTCCTTCGTCATGTCAATGGTTTTCATTGGTTTCAAATGTAGTACACGCTCATTCTATCGTGCATGGAGATATATCTGGAGTAAGATAGCTGTCCCTAGAAGTATGGTTTGCTAATACTTGTCTAGCTCAATATTCTGGTGGACCATGAGGGTAGAGCACAATTATGTGACTTCGGAGTCATGTCGTTGCTCACAGAAATCCCATCTTTGGCACAGTCATCTGGAGGTATCCGCTCTGCAGTGCGATGGACCGATCCTCGGTTATTCGATGCGCAAGATGGCGAAATAAATTCATGCATACCAACAGAGCAGACTGACATCTATTCAATAGGCAGTGTTCTCCTGCAGGTATGTTACATCATGTCCTTGTGGCACGACCCGCTTACCATATTGCAATCCTAGTTGCTCACGGGATCAATACCTTACTATGATATCAAGGATAACATTTGTGTCCTTGTATTATCTTCGAGAGGCGTAAAGCCCAAATGTCCTCCAGAAACAAACATCACTAGTGTGCACTGGAGTTTTATTCAATGATGCTGGTCTCCTCGCAAACTGTCCAGCCGACCAACTATCGAGGAAATAGAAGAATTTCTTGACTCTGAGCTACGGATGGTAGGTATGCCTTAGTGCACTTGAATTACAGTACGTACATCCACACATTTCATAACACACTCCCAAACAGAATATTTCATGTAGACTGTGTTTCTTAGGTAGGTATTAAGAGGAACTTACGATTGGTATTTTGCAATTTCAGCTGCAAGAATAATGCATGGTCGCTAGTTCGCTTGCATGCAAGATGTAGGTCGGAAGAGCATTCGGGCGAAAATATAATATTTGAGTATCATGCTCACCTTGTACCACAAGGTCACTGTCACCCCATAATTGTGGGTGAAAGTGTACCCAAAGATTGGCCCGTGGGAAACGACCAAATAAATCACAGCCACACTCAGCCACAACACTATGTTATGTCGCACGACACACATTCAACTATACATGTCAATTGATAATAATATTTCTCATAAAATTAGCTTCCTCATTTGTTCTACACAACATTCAAGTTCAAATTTGTGCCAGTGGGACAAGGTTCCTGCTAGCGAAGCAGCCCTTCCTAGTTGGTAGTTCCGAAGTGATATTGGGTGCTGATGTGAATGCAAACTTTGTTTCTAAAGTTTCATTGCGGTAGCTTTTGGACTGATGGCCGGCCGCCTTATACAGCGGTAAAGGTGTGTTAGGTACAGTACAAGCCATTAATATTATAGGAGAAATCTTGCAGTGAACCGTATACATTTACTATACTGATGTACCTAGGTTCATCTATTTTAAGCAGATAGTTTGGATACAAGACAAGTGCAAGAATCAACTAATTCTGGACAGCGAGTCAATTTCATTCCTGATCATCACATCAGCTTCCTCCATCGATGGATGATCCCGAGGATCAGTAGACCAACATTGCTCGATAAATGGCCAATACTTTTCGGGGAGCTCAGGATAACGAATTCGGGAGGGCCTTTCTGACCTAGATATGTGCAGGACAACCATGTAGTTATGCCGGAGGTAATAATAAGGAATTTTGTTGGTGAGGACCTAGAGGCCGCGCTCATGACATCATCAACAAGTTGAGAATATTCTGGGCGTACCAGCAACATGATACCGCCGAACGAAAAGACGTCGCTCTGCTTGCTTGGCCGCACTGGGGTTCCGTCCTCTCGCTCTCCAAGGAGCTCAGAAGCCATCCATCGTGAATTGCCACTGAAGGTGGAAGTCCAGGAAGCCTGAGAGGTGCTTACGACCTCCGAATACATCAAGGAAAGACCAAAGTCAGCAATACACGCGGTGCCATCACCATATATAAGCACATTAGACTAGAAATCACGTCTCAATCAAATCAAAATTAGTGAAGGGGGTCGAACTTACCCCAGTGAAGTCACCATGGATGACGTTATTAGTATGAACTGTGAGGAATATTACTACTCCAGGTCTAGCACTGAGAATAACTAGCACGTATGATATTGCAGACCAGCTATAATATCCCTGAGCTGAGATTGCCATTAGTTTGTGGTCTGATGAAATACAATGATACAAGAGACTTACTATCCGAAATTTTCTAAGGAGAGTAAGAGCCGCACCCTCGCGCTTCAAATAGTCCGACAGGTTACCTCTTTCCGCCCAATGACTGACTATTGCTGGAAATGGGCCGAAGCCATACGTATATCCATAAATGGGTACAATATTTGCATGGTTGAGGTTGGCACATATTCTGAGTTCATGTATTATTCTCTATGAAGTGATAGCCTGTAAGTAATGAATGAAGCTTTTTGTTGAGAAACTCACCTTGGTCTTTTTTGTCTTTGCTGGCCCAAGTAGATCATCAGCGCATACCTGCAATACTTTCACCGTGACCTGCCCAATTGTTAATCTTGAACTGATGGACAAACAACACTGCAAACGAACTTCGGCTAGTATGCGATCAACGTAGAAGCATTTCCAGATATCCGCGAACCCGCCACGAGTAACAGGATGATCCCCATCCTTGAAGATATACTTTGAGAGATCTGGGACCACCAGCTTCAGGGGGGGGATTGTCGCCGTGAGCAATAGGATACATCACAGATCTTGAAAGTGAGTCAAATTCATTGCTGATCGTCACATCAGCTTCCTCCATCGATGGACGATCCCGAGGATCAGTAGACCAACATTGCTCGATAAAGGACCAGTGTTTTTCAGGGAGTTCAGGATAACGAACTCAGGAAGGCTTTGCCGATATAGCTATCTGTAGGACGACGGAGGCGTCATTTGAGATGTAATGATAAGGAATTTTGTTGGTGAAGACCTAAAGGCAGAGATAATGACATCATTAACAAATTGAGAATATTTCAGGCGTACCTGCAACATGATACCGCCGAATGAAAAGACGTCGCTCTGCTTGTTTGGCCGTGCTGGAGTTCCGTCCTCTCGCTCTTCGAGCAGTTCAGGAGCCATCCATCGTACATTGGTATGAAAGGTGGAAGTCCAGGAAGCCTCAGAGGCGCTTGTGACATCTGAATACATCAAGGAATGACCAAAGCCTGCAATACACGGGTGCCATCACCATAGATGAGCACATTGGGCTGGAGCTCACGTCTAAATAAAATAGAGCTATCGAGAAGATCGAGCTTACCCCAGTGAGGCCACCGTGGATGACACTGTTGACGTGAACTATGAGGAGTACTTAGAGCTCGGTCAGGCACTGACAGTATCTATCACATACGATATTGCAGACCAGCTATGATGTCTTTGAGCTAAGTGTTCCGTCAGTTCTGTGGTCTACTCAAAATACATGAAGAGAGGACTTGCCAGCTGGAATCATCCAACGAGCGTAAGAGCCATACCCCCACGCTCCAGATAGGTCGACAGGTTACCATTTTCTGCCCAAGGTGTGACTATCGCTGGAAATGGGCCGAATCCATATGTATAACCATAAACAGGTAGCATATTTACATGCTTGAGGGCGGCACAATTCCTGAGTTCATGCTTTATTCTCTACAAAGGGGCACCCTGCAATGTAAGTAATAGATTCAGTCCTTCAGTAAGACACTCGCCTTGATCTTTTTCGTGTTTGCTGGCCCAACTTGATCATCATTAGCCCACATGTGCAATGATTTCACTGCGACCTGCAAAGTTATTAATGTTAGATAGATAGATAGATAAAAGACAAAAGACAAAAGACAAAAGACAAAAACAAACTTTGACCAATATGCGATCGATGTGAAAGGTGCATTGCCAGATCTGCTTGAACCCGCCACGAGCAACAGGATAGTCTCCGTTCTTGGTGATATTATTTGAGAGGTCTTTCAGCATTGTTTCAGTGGGGAGATGATCAGGCTCATCATGACGAGCGGAGAAGGCTGTACTATGCATATAGGAAGACACTGCGGGCAAAGTAAGGCCGTTGAGATGAAGATCAAATGGGGTGGGAATGTACAGCTACTACCTTCATATCGATTCGCTAATTCGCTCAAGATATTGCAGTCCACAGCCTGCAGATCCTTGGTGCATTCCCATATGGGACCCGCAGTACAAGAAGTCAACAGCACACAGTGTTGATACACCAATGCATGAAACTCACCCCAAGCCGAGAGATTGATACGGAAGCTAGGGAATGTGTGATGACCATTGAGACACTATCAAACACTGCACAGTCTCAAAACTTGATGGAACAGGCATGACAGGAATGGTGAGAGCACGCATCCAGTCCTCAGTGGCACTAGTGATACACCTTCTTACTGGCATTGGGCTGACTTGGCTGTGGCCCGCAGCTTCATCTTGTCTTACTTTATCTGTTCCTTCCGATTTGAATCAGCCGTGGGGATGTTTCTGAAGCATCCCTGCTAGTCTTAGGCAACGTGTTATCATCATATTCAGGCCGATGAAAAATCGTATATTTTCGTCGTGTTTCTGCTTCTACAATATACAATAAATACTTAAACGCTGCAATTTCTCACGGCCATCTCCTTGCAGGCCAGAATGCAATCTCAGAATGGCTATGTCACGCATGCTCAAGCTCAAGCTTTTAAGCTTCAAGGCTCGCGACCATCAGACTTGGTGGTTGTGTTAAGATCACTCTGTTGACTGCCGTAGCATCATGCACTTCGAATTCATCGATCACTGCCAGACTCCAGTGATCCTCCCTGCTTAGTACTTTTTTAGTCTCCGCCTAGTCGGACTAATCGAAGGAAGAGCATTAAGTTGGCACTGTCACGGTATTTTTTCCGTGATGCCCTTGAGATGTGGTTCATACCATGCCGAACTCATGTGTGAACTACTAATCTGAATCTAGAGGTGGGTCTCGACCCAATTAAATATAAGGCATTGCTTGGTACGTGTCCCAAGTCCATTCGCGACCATAGCGCTGTTCTAACTATTCAATGGGGTAGGCACACTTGTCGTACAATATCTACTTCGCTTCACGACCCATTAACTTGCAAAATTTCTGAGAGGACTGTTGTTGGCCTCCTGTCCTGGTCTGCCACAGCACGTATAGACGTAAGTGGCGTACACGCGTGATCCTTGCACGGGAGGACGTCCCAGTACTTGGAAAAGCGGGATGGCCCGCAATACGGCTTTTCTCGAAATTCCACCTGGAATGAACGCGCGAACCAAGACAACGGGTTCGTTTGTCCTGGCGACGTGTTGTCGCAGGCGTTTCCAATTATCATTCGCGTAGTGTTCGCATCGGCACAAGAGCTTGAATGGGCTTGGGTTAACACCTCTGGAGTCGAAAGTGATGTTTGGTTCTCCATGAGTGAGGTCTAACTCTATGACGTTTATGTTGAGCCCATGGTTAGCGATACGTGCTCTGTGTTTCTTCAGCTCATCTTCTATAACACAGTCGAGGAATCTGAGGTCGCGATTTGATATGCCGTTCATCTCTCCGACTGTAAGATGATGCTAAGCTGATGTCGAACAAGCATAGGAGGACGCTCACGAGACCAAGCAGAACGTTCTTGAACTCTTGTACAGTATGCTTTGTGTTTTCCTCTCCTCCAGTCATACCGCTGACACGATTTGCTGCAGTAATACGTGTGGAGACATCCCCCACACCGCTTGAGCGTACCTGTCGGCACGGTTTTTCGACACTGATTATGTGTCAACGTAGAACCAAAAATATAGATGATCCAACGCACGTTATCGTTATGGCATGTCTGTACATGAACTTTTTCAGGACCATCGTAGTTGAGTAATTTTCGCCGTTCGGTCGTTTCTTGCAGACATGCCCAGCCCGCATATAATTTCCCATGTTTATCCAGCTGCTTGTCTAGTCCAAGGTCGATTATTTCATCCACTGCTTTTGCTATGGGTAGGAGTAATGAACGGTAGGCAGTGTATGCGGGGATGATCATGTGGAGTATGTCGGAGAGTGCATCACGAGCCTTGTCGTTGTCCATGAACGGTAAGTACCGTTCGGATTTGAGCAACCCTTTGATAAGATCAGACCGAATGGCTTCCGACATCCACGGAATGCCGTCATTTTCTTGCATACGAATCCGCAGAAACAGTGATGCGTTGGAGATACACCTTGCAGCATATGTGAGGTTTGCTCGATCAAAAGACCGTCCGACGATGAGGTGGAATAACGTGCGTGATTTTTACTATTGCTCCTAGGTTTAATAATGCCCAGCGCATGTCGTCGCGGAATGAAAGTGCTGTAACGATATGCACGTCCCATGCTATACACTCTGGATCCAGGTACTGCCGAGCCATTTCTTGCGACAAATGCATGAGCGCAATTCTCGACGCGGTCTCTGGCCGTCCGTCGAAAGGAAGCAAAGCTTTATCCCAGTCGATTGGTGATTTCGTCTCGTGCGATATTAGGAAGCAGGAGTTGAGGACAACAGATTCACGATACGCATTGAATTGCCCCGTGTGAGATGAGAATCGAGCATCCGTGGTTTCAAGGTTCCAAAGGGCAAATATCAAGGGCATTATTTTAGTATCAGTGACCACCTTCTTCGACCAACCACTCAGCATCCTATCGCGGGTCAACGCCAAAAAGGTCACGACGGCGGTCTTGCAGTCCCGGCGGGTGTTGATGGCAAATGACTCCGCTTGAATGAATTCTTCATATACATATAGGATCCAACGGCGAATGTCACCCCAGTGACTCAGCAGGTCTGCGATGAGGCCACTCGCCATCTTATCGTCTGATATCCAGATGAAAAACGTGGAACCGATAAAAGTGAGGGCAGCACATGGGGCTTCTACATCATCGACTGATGGATCTTCGAAGTATGGAATATGCATAGCATCAAGCAAGAGGTAAGCAACTTTAATCATGCGTTCATATTGGCTCGGGAGGCAAGCATGATCTGATGCAAGGGTTGCTAGTTGCGCGATTGCTTGAACAGATCCTTGTGTCGCATTTGCAATGAGGTTCTTGTATGGACAGCATAAGGTATTGACAGAGCGATTGCCGTGTAATGACTTACCTCGAAATTCATCTCGTTGAAGCGCGTGGTGGAAGGCATGCCAGTGGGCAGATGCATACTTATTGTGTCGATAGCTAATCTGTATGTCAGTGTGAGCATAATACTTCAAGCCGCGGAGTTCATGAATACGTAAGCAAGCCATCAATACACATCACGTGATGGACGCGGCGCCGTAACCAATTAATTGTGACTCGCGAAAGAGCCTATGCCTTGTCAGCCAACCAAATTTTCACCATGATGCTAGACTCTCGGTCGATACCAGGAGATAGCAGCGAAGAAGATTTTGAGTGGGAGGAGGTTGATGTTCCTCAGCAAATCCATGAAACCAACCCAGAGTTAGAACTCCAGTTGGAAGGACCGGCACCACGAGCGAATATCGAAATCACCCTACACCCGGGGACGAAGAAGGATGATTCCAAGTTGCTTTATATTCTTTACATATGATTGTGTAGGTGCTGACATACGACCATCTAGGAAGGCAGCCGCAGCCGCAGCACGAGCTGAACGCATCTTGAGGACTGGAACTCATAAAGTCCACACAGTGTGTCTTCTTGCAAATGCAAGAGTACGGAATAAGTGGCTAAACGACGAGGTTCTTCACGTAAGTGGCTTTTCTCTCCAATTGATTCGACTGCCAATACCTTTCAGGCTCGATTGCTCTCCTTAACACCACTTCATCTTCATAATGGTTTTGCTTTAATACACAAGTCTCGTGAACCCGACCACAATAAGCGAGGTCGATTATTTGAGGCCGCCGTCACTCGCTTGGCGGAATGGTGGACAAGCACATTTTTCAGCGTTCTTCCTACAGGACACATCAAAAACAGGACTTTCGACGAGAACGAGCGTGATCTTGCCCTACGAGGAAACGCAATTTTTGAAGACGAGGAAAGCGACGACGGGGAACGTATTCGAAGTCCAAATAGTCTTATGAAACACGCCTTGATGCAAACTGGTTCTCGTGATACAAGTGCGCAATTATTCACTGCGTTGTGTCGAGCATTGGACATCCCTGCTAGATTGGTTGTTAGTCTTCAGAGCGTTCCATGGCAGTCTAGTGTGGGAAAACCCAAATTCAAAATCAGCGAGAAAGGTCGTCCATCATCTAGACAGAAGGGGAAGGAGAGAGCCAGGGACACTGATGGTTTATCGCAAGACAGCGACTTCGAAGGAGCAAAAGAAATCAACTCCCAGTCACCAGCAGAAGTTCTAGGTGATACATCCCCTGGGAAAGCTTCGGCTCAAGCCAAAGGAAAAGGGAAGGCGCAGCCGGTCATCAAGCTCAGGAAAACTAAGCGCTACTCTGAAAATCGAGCGAGCACCAGAGGTATGCTAGATATCTCAACCTTCGACATAATAGAAGTCATGCCTGTGCTTGAATAGCTCCCTTCGATCCTACAGTCACTCCTCCTGTGTTCTGGACAGAGGTTTTTTCGCGCGCAGATGGCCGGTGGCTTCCTGTCGATCCAATTCGTGGTTTCGTCAACAAACGCCATGTTTTTGACCCTTCCGCTGAAAACTCATTCAGGTCTGGAGTACCACAAGAGAATCGCATGACTTATGTGGTTGCGCTAGAAGAGGATGGTTTCGGCCGTGACGTGACAGCACGATATGCCAAAGACTACACCGCTAAAGTGGCGAAGGTGCAAGGAGTTGGGATAGGCAGGCGAAAAGAGTGGTGGGATAGCGTCGTGCAGCTAGTGACCAGGCCCTATCGATTGGTGTGTCATGTCTTCTATGCTTGTAAATGTAGTCTCATGGATCATGTAGCAACGTGATGACACCGAGGATACAGAACTGCATAATCATCAGCTTACCGAGGGCATGCCCACCATACTTGCCGGATTCAAGGGTCATCCTTTGTACAAGCGTAATTTCACCTTCTTCACACATCATACTAATTTCAAAGTCCAGATATGTCCTCTCACGGCATCTGAGGCGTGAGGAGGTCATTGATCCTCCTGTCGAGTTGGGCAAGTTCCGGGGCGAACCTGTGTATCCTCGATCTTCCGTCATATCTCTGAAGGCCGCGGAAAACTGGATGCGCCAAGGGCGTGTGGTTCGAGAAGGTTGCCAGCCTATGAAGATGGTCAAGCAACGTGCTGTCACTATTGGCCGCAAGCGGGAAATGGAGCTTGCACTCGAGAAAGCAAGAACAGATAGCCACGGTGGAGATGGCCAGGAGGACATGCAAGGCCTATACGCAAAGTCCCAGACGGAGCTTTACAAGCCTCAGCCAGTCATTGACGTGTGTTTAGTCTTAATGATTCCTAGCACATGACTGATCTTCGTGTTCGCAGGGAAAAGTTCCTAAGAACGATTTTGGGAACATCGATCTGTATGTTCCGTCAATGCTCCCTGAGGGTAGTATTCATATCCCGTGTGCGTGATGAAATCGGCGATAGCTGCGACGCAGAACTTAATTCTGATCATTTTCAGTCAAAGGCATTGCCAAAGTGGCCAAGAGGCTTGGCTTTGATTATGCAGAAGCAGTGGTGAGTCTTTCACTTGTACGATTACCCGTGCGCTGACAAGCCCTCCAGACTGGTTTTGAATTCAGGAATCGGAGAGCTATCCCGGTAATTGAGGGAATTGTTGTGGCCGAGGAGAACGAAACTATCATAGTGGAGGTGAACTTGCCACATCACGGATCTTGTTGCGTCTACTGAACTCAACCTTGTCTGCAGGCGTATTTGGAAGCTGAAAATGATGCAGAAGAGAAAGCGCATGCCAAACGTTTGGATCAGGTTCACAAGCGTTGGATACGTCTCGTGCAAGGGCTTCGGATTCGAGATCGTCTCCGCAGGCAATACGCATCCAATACAGATGATGCAACGCCGCAGCATTGGTTGGATACGCATAATGCTGAGGCACATCAAGGCGAGCAAGTATGTTTCATTTCCATTCATATTTGTGATTTGGACGTGAACCTGATCTTTCGCCCCAGCAACCAGGAGGGTACCTCACCACCGCGGACGATGTGGTGAAGCCGTTTCATCTCCCAAAAGATCAGCATACTGTTTTGCCTTCATCCTTACTTTCTTCGACTACCGGTGACGATGGCGCCGAAATCGACGAGGCTGTACCCGAGCGTAGTGGTGCTGCGGTGTCTTATACACATCCCCGCGATTCGCCCCTTCATTTCGCCCAAGATGTGCAGATGGGCGAGGTATCCGCTGACTTGCCTTCTCGGCGGAGTAATGTAATGCCTAAGTCGATGCGCGAGCTGGCCGAAGACGACTTGAAGAGACAGGCCTCGGAGATCGCTCCTTCTGATGAACCTGAACGTCGGCCGCGTTCTACTCCCGCTGCGAGGACAATGAAAGGCGGGCGAGTGAAGATGCTAATGAAGAGTGGTACTAATACTCCTTCCAAGGGCAACTCGTCTATAGAGCGGAAGAATGGAAAGAAGCGGATCAGAGAAGACAGCGATAGCGCATCAGAGGACGATCATATCGACAATGCAGCTTCTACACGTGATGGGAATTCCAGTAAGGGAAACCCACCTACGACGGGCAGAGTCTTGCGGCCTCGCCCGCAGAAGAATGCTGCTAAATTGCGTGAAGAAGCTGAGTTAGAACGAGCATTTAGAAGAGCGATAGCAGAGTAGATCCGTTCGAGGGGCTTCTCCCTACTTTATAGCTATATGATTTATATCGTCAGAATATACAACATTATTACTCTTGAATTGCGACAGATTTTGAAGGAGCTGTGGGCACCAGCCGGGCAAAAGTTAAATACGATGTGTGACCCCGGACGTCGGGAGACACTTTTGAGACAGATAGTTTGATTGGTGATGGTTGGTTGGCAGACTGGCCAGGGTCTACCACAGCATCCGGGATATCGCGGATACTGACATCCTCATCTCCCGATTCTTGAGTTCTAAGTCTTTTCCCTCCCACATTGTCAGCGTCCGTTTCCTGTAAATCATCCCGCTTTCTTTTACTCGACCTTGCGATCTGATGCTGGCGTTTGTCTTCACGTTTTTGTTCTAATTTTTTGAGCTTCTCGACCGCTTGGGTCAGAGGCTGTAGTGATAGTTGGTGAACTTCGTGAGGTCTCAGTAACGTCTCAAACATCGTGATGTCTAACAGAGGTACACGGGTGAGACTTTCACGTAACATTCAACATCAAAAAACATACCCGTGAAACCCGAATCGTTTAGGGCGCTAACTGTCCGAAGAACTTGCTCCATGCATGGACTAAAACAGCATATACGAGTGGGGCTGGTTTTCTTTTCATTTCCGAGTAAATTGGATATGTTGATTGCTAACGAACAGTGGCGTACCTTCAATGCCTTCTTGGCGTGCTCAATAGCGTCCCACGGCGCCGGAAGGTCGAGGAATACTGTAGAAAAAGGGTAACCAGCTCGGGCGATCAATCTGTATGATAAGAAATAGACATGCCTGCATCGACCGTGTCTTCAACTGTGAAACCGTCCTTGCACACGTTGCGGTGTGTGAGGGTGACAATGTCTGCCATTCCGTGGAGCGAAAACTCCTCCCTAGAATGTGATTAAATTCTTTACTATGTCTTAAAGTAGAAGGCCGCATACCTCGCCTTATTTGCACGGGCCTCGTGAAATTCGTATGACCAAAGATGTCCTACCGACCCTATCGTCCTTGCGATGGAGTGGGAGAACGATCCCGAACCAGTACCTGCATGATGTACGTAGTGAATTAAGGGTTCACCCCACGGAGGTCAAATTTCCGATTGGTACAGGCGTTTAGGAAAAGGCAATGAAAGGGATATGAACACAAAAGAGATAGAGAATGAGTTTCAATCTGAGCCACGTTGTTAATCTGCTCATCAATCGCGAGAGGACACATCAATGCGGCGTAGTAAACAAGGATGAATGAAGACTAGAATGATGATCCACGTGTCTTTTCTTCGCTGTGACCAAACTAAAAAAAGTGGCGCAGCATCGTGGACGATAGCCAAGAAAAAGCAGCGTTTTCCGCTATAAGTCCAATTTTTAACGCTTACCAGCTTCGATGACACTGCTTCCACGTTTGATGTCAAGCCATGAGGTGATAAACGCGATATCGGCAAGATACAAGATCTGAGTACGATGGGGAAGCGCCATCGTCCAAAGCTCCGGAGTCGGTCGAAGGACATGGATGAATCCTTTGCCATTGCGAGATCCGACTTTGGACCCATAGGGAATTCCAACAAGGTCTGCATGCCGGTAATATCCAAACCTGGAATTAAGATCTTTTCCTGGAGTGATGAGTAAAGGTTGAATGAGTTCTCGAGTCTGACATAAATCAATTACAGGTATGTGAGCTACCCCAAAACTGCAAAAGGTGAGGAACGTGCCTGCCAGATGATAACGAGGTCGCCTGCGGCGACGTCTCGAGCACTCGACCACATCTAATATATTTGGCTCAAGAAGAAGAGCACAACTGAGCCAATGACAAGGTGACTACAAGCTTGGCCGGGTCGAGATTGAGTGGGCTATTACCTGTGTGAGAGATCTGGTAAACCCACGATCATGAAATTAAATGCTCAAGGCACAAACTGACAGCAAAGGGAGCACTAGACGTGGATTCCGCTTCTAGTCCTAGGCGACTCCGATTCCCACTATGACCTCCCCGCGTTGTTCAGGCGTTGCACGGTTTGAATGAACCTGGCGTATGAACGAGGATAATGTTACCTTATGTTGTTCAGATCCATCGTGTTTATTACGGAAGCATATCCTTTCTGGAATCAATGATAGTAATACTCAACTAATACCACTACATAATGACACTCAACCCAATCACCTCAATCTCCAAAAAATAATACCATGACTCTGGTAATTCTGTTCAAGTGTCCTCGGGTTTTGAAACCCTAAGTCTTCCCTGCAATGGAGAGATAAAAGCACTGTCGACCCCCGACCCTCCGTAGCTTCACTTCTCTCCGTCACTGGTTCTGACGGTATTTGCTGGTATAACAAATCAGTGTAAGGTTCGCCTATTCCATTCGCGCCCACACGCGAACCATAAAGGCCCTTCTTTTTGGTCAAAATAATCCATCAGACCGAGGCCATGGAATCAGAGACACCACGCGTATCATTCAGTACGTGCTTCCTTACCTCAGGCCGTACGACACCAGCTCAACGTTGTACGAAGTCTCCATCGTAGACTTCTCGGAGGATGTAAGTTTAATAATTTACTGCGTCTGTCGCTGGTCCCGAACAAAGTCCTTTTTGTCTAGGCTCGCTGGTTGTTCCTTACTGAATCAGTCTCCGACCTGCTAGGTACGACAATTACCATTTAGTGTTCCTCTGACGTTAACGTTGCTGTAGGCTTTGAACCCCGCGAGCTAATAGGCCGCCCTGCTTTGGAGCTTGTACATCCAGACGAGTTCTCTCAGGTAAAGCAGATGCACTAGTACGTTCGCGGATAATATTTTTCGCTTGCCGATGAATGACCAAATCTTGCATCGATTAGTGATACTATCCGCGAAGACAAAGCCGCTGCTCTGGCATATCTTCGATTAAAGCATAAAGATCCCTTCAAAGGATACATCCTTTGTGCGGTCGTGAGTAGTAGTCTCGATCCTTCATTTGACGTGTTTGATTTAAACTTCGGTTGAGTCTCGGACCGTCGTGCACAGCGTTCTGGTAGGCAGCGTATCCTTTGCCACACCAGGTGGAAAGGCGCTCCAGAATACATCCACTGCACAAGAAGTTGAGGTTGTCACGCCTTCTGCGAAGAACTTTGAGCTTAGGGTAGGCATCATACTTTGTTCATCATTGCTTGTCTAAAAATGACTAGCGATGGGGCGACCCATCACCGATGACGTCTAGTCCTAGTACACCCGACCTCGCTTCACGGGCTGCCTGCGCTTCCACAGACTCGGATACCAGTGATGCGTCATCAAGCCGCAGCCGAAGCAAGAAACCAACAATAATTAGTTTCAATCCGCTGCCCTGCCAGTCCCCAAGGTCGGCACTTATCCTTGACCGGTTCTCGATTCATTGCACGGTCCTCTACTGTTCCAATGACCTTCTCCTGTCAACTACCAGGGTTCTGGGTAGGAGTTTCTTCGATTTTGTCACTAGTCGCACAGAACATAGCGTGCGCAGCTGGATCGATGTCATTAAATCATGGGGCGTCAACGATCGAGGGCAACCGAGCGATGGCGGCTTCGGTTTTGGTAAATTTGTGCTGTTACTTGCTGGCAGAAATTCAAGGTATTGACCGGCTTTCTCCGCCCGTATCTTGTTCTCAACTGTATTGAAGGGGTGAAAATGAGCAAGATACGCCGCTATCGCGGCGCAGACTCGGAGACGCAAGAATCAATTACCGAATGCCGTCAAGCCCACGTTGCGCCTCCCATTCATCGCCCGGGACGTCATCCCGTTCACGGCCACCATCTTCATCATCCTCTGATCAGGAAATTTCTGTTGACGCTATTTTCTCTGGCCACTCGGACGGAATTTTACTGGTACTTCGGCCAACTTCAAAAGTATGATTTCGGGCATCTACGTATTTTCTCTCTCACCATTCTCTCTGCACGTATATCGTGTGATTGTGTTTTTGATACCATGTTTACCTTCGTTCGTCTGTACACTTTTTGTTGTGTCTTTTTGTTTTCCTGATGTACCATTTGAATGCGTCTAGTGCGTCGCAATTTGGAGTTCATAATTTATTCTCGCGGAGCCTTCACTGCGATAACTTCCTCAACGCCATCGCTTCTTTGTTGTAGGTATGTTTATTGCATATCGTAACATGTGCTGGCACTTGAAACGACAGATCAAGTGTAATGACGTTCCCAGCTTTCTGGGCGTCTATCTTGCGCTCACAAAGCGCCTGAACGGCGTCCCGTGCGGCTTTTCACTTTGAGCCAGATCGGTACAGATGATTCACGTGCGTGGAAGGGATTCTGAAGATCAGGTTCACACTGGCAGGAATACAGATTCCTGATGGGGCCAGCATAGGTATTGCATAGCCCTGCTGTGCTGTCAGCTCTTGTTCTTTTTGACAGAATCGCTATGGGATTGGTTTGTCCTTGCTGATGATCAATACGCAAGCGTGCTTTCTTCTGAATCCTAAACCGGTTTGTTGAGGCGATTATCTGGGTCTTTCGGTGGTGGTAGGCACAGGCACGAAGCTTGAACAGCAGTGCTATTTTTATCCTCTCTCACACATGACGACTAAGTCGAGTCAAAGTGGCAGAGGATGAAAACTGAAGAATAGAGTAATGAGAAACAATTCAGAGGACTAAACCCATACCGGACAGCGCATCTATGACGGCGCATGGTTACTACACTACGACCGTTCTGCTCGGTTTGGTCCGAATAATAGAGAAGTGTGACTGCCAGAAATAGGAAAAAAGAAAGCGGTAGTGGCGTGGCCCAAGGTTCCGGGAGCAATAAGATGGTGAAATGATGTGGCAGACTCAACGCCGTGGCAGATTCGCCGTGGCAAAGTTGACAAGGGATCTCGAGAAAAAACACCAAATTCCGTTGTCGTCTTCAAGTTTCAAGTCGATAAATCTTAAAAGAAAATAGGGTGCACCCTTGAAATTATTTGATTACGAACAACCGGAGATAAAGAGAGTTTCGAAAGGCTGAATCTGCCGTCAATGTGGTGGTTTGACGTTGACAAAAAAAATGGAGTCTTGTTGGGCTAGGCTGTGTAGTCGTGTTTGAGCTTGGTTGGATTTTACCTTTGCGCGCTTCTTGTGCGGGTCTCTCTTCCACTTTTCACACAAACTTCATGTCTCGCCGTCGCTCATCGTCAACAACGATGGGCCCACCCGCTGATGTCGTCATGGGCCCCCCGCCGCCGCCAGTCACCCAGCAGCCACCACCGACTCCTCTAAAAGAAACTCAGGAATCCGCCTTGGATAAATATCGAAAACTAAAACGAAAGTTTTTCGAGTTGGAGGATGTGAGCAGTTATCTTTCATCGTGGTCTATCGAACTAACAAATTTGTCTCAGAAACATAATGAGACGCAGCACCAGTTAAGGCTCTCTGGGGAACGCAATGCGAAACTTCGGGAAGAACGGGAGTGCGTGTAACTGCAATATCGATATCTCATATGTTGGTCTGACTCTCTACTCCAGCAAGATGCTCGACCGCATTCGTGAACTTGAAACACACTCTGAGCCGAACATCTCGGGTGTTCCTTATCTGCCGTCCAGTGCCTTTCCTCGTTCCCTCTCAACTCTGAAAGCCCGTTCGTACTTTGTATCGAACCTCCGTCAGGCAATGGCGGAGGAAGAGGCTGACGATCATGAGGTTGATCCACTACTTACTTCGCGGCATGTCGGCCCGTTGGCTCGCAAGCGCGCAGAAGACGAACATCGAGACCGTGCTGAGGAGGAGGCTCGTGAAGCTCGTCGTCAACCAAAGCGACCTCGAGCTGCTGTTAAAGGGAAAGAGGCCATGGGCCAAACTCCCCATGGGCAACCCGCTATGGGCGTGGTCCCTGCTCCGGAAGGAGGTGGCCCAGGAACCCCTGTTCTTGTGTCGACCAAGGGCACCCGTCTTCGTCTTAAGCCTCCCGTGCGGCCTTCACCTAATGACCCTCTCCCTTCAAGTAATCCGGCGCACTCCCAATCATCACTATCTCCATTGTTATCTCCTCGCGACGAGCAGTCTCATTATGATCCAGTACGGTTTAGTGCCAATGGTGGCGGACAGTACCCTGCCTTGGTTCCTGTCCCTGGAAATACGCCTCCACTTGTTGGTCCGTCTCCTTCGTTACCCCAGCACATGGGGCTTCCCACTGCACCTCCTCCATCGTCTCGTGCAACCGAGGTTCAGCGTCATGCTAAGCCTAAACGTTTGAAGGCCCATACTGTTACAACAAAGAGTTACAGCATCCCTACTGTTCCACGTGATAAACAAGGACGTCCAATGCTGCCACTCACCGTTGGCATCATGACAGTGAACCAACTAGGAGAGGTATGCATGCGAGAGCATTTTCACACGGAGCGGTACATCTTCCCTGTTGGATATGAGGTGACACGGTGAGCACCCATCGGAATCAAAGTGATGCTCCCAATTAATCTCTTTGTAGGAAATATTCATCAACGGTGGATCCCACCGCAGAGGCTATATACACTTGCTCAATCCTGGATGGCGGAGATGGACCCAAGTTCAAGATCATTGCATCTGATGTCCAAGATCGTCCTCAAATCGCAGGCACCGCCACCGGTGCATGGTCTGCTATCGTGAAACAGGCCAATACTATCCGCAATCGCCAACACTCGAATTCCGTCTCAGGGCCCGATTTCTTTGGGCTAGGACAGAACACCATCAAGCACTTGATCCAGGAGCTTCCAAATGCCGATCGCCTGCGCGATTATGTATGGCAGAACTTTGTCGAGGGAGGGTGAGTAATTATCATTATGGCCAGTGTAGTATCTAGAATTGCTGGAATGGGACGCGGACCAGCGCGTACCGCGGGCTGTACTATCGTTCATGCTGGCCGCTCTTTTTCTTTCTCGTCTCATCCTTTTTTTCTGAATTGTGACACGATATAACACAGACCTTTAGGCGGTAGACACGCGGCCGTCGTTCCTGCACTTCCGGAAGATCAGTCTGGCGTGGCCGATGGTCACGCTGAAGATATTCCTTCCTACATACACCCTCCTCCACATCTGCAATCGCAGCCTTTCACAACCATCGTTCTTCCCCCACCTCAATCCGCCGACACTTTAAGTATCCACGAGTACCGTCCTCCTTCACAGAGGGATGTTGAAGATAGGCGACAGAGTAACTCTCATTCACATGGCACCCGTCAGCTCGCAAATCCTTCACCACCAAACATGACATCCACTTCTAAAGCATCACCTCCCCCACACCAACAGCAATCGCCATATCTTGCCGGTGCCAATGCGTCATTGCCGGTGCCTCAAACATTAGCAAGCATAATGAATGCGTATCCTGCTCCCTCAGCTGCAAGAGAGGAGCCTCATTCGCGTCCTGGATCCCGAGATGAGATACCTCCAAACGGTCCCTCATTGCGGTCTCGTGAGCAGTGATAACTGATCTACTCGCCTACATCTACTATGCAAGTGGAGTCCATTATATTATACTTCTTTTGGGTTTATTCTACGTTGAACACTGTGTTATTGATCTCCAGTTTTTCGCATTATCGTGGCTTTCTTGGCATCTTACTTCACTTCTGTTTTTGGATGGTTTCGTTTTTGCAGATATTCCCTCTCCAATCCAAACAAGTAACTTCCAACCGGTGTGATCGACTTCCCAATCGTTGACGGATAGCCCACCACCTCTCCCCCAGAGCCCCCCACACTGTGGGCTTCTAGCTCTGGGGGAAAAGGTGACGGTCTTCTGGGATGAGATGAGACTTGTTCTCGTTGACTAGATGACCATGAGGCGAGAGTAAACCAACGTAAGAGTGGAATCACGACTTCTTGACTGTAAGCCCTCGGGCTGGCGGTTAGGAGATCGATTTACGGGCCCCTGTGGGGACTCCTGCCGTGCGAGGAATGTGCTGGCAATGGGGTAGTATGTGGGGCCGACATTCGATTGAGTTTCTGCGCGTTATCATGATCATCGACAGCCACTTTCACATCGATAGACCAGATTTCATCTTTTCGTCTTACCGCTTCTATTTACTTGTGGAGCTGGACAAATGTGACAGGGCTCCACCTTTTACGATACTACACATTCGGGCGGAACAACGCAGCATGGCTATCGATATGAAAGTAGCTGGAACGTACGTCTACTATTCCTATCTTTCGTCATTTGTACGTTTGAGCTAGCACTGCTATTACCATTTGCGCCATATACTCAACATGAGGTTGTGTTTGTGTTTGATCGCAGCGCTAAACTTTGGGGTCAGAACCGTGACAGTAACAGTTCTGGTCAAGTTTCTCCCACCACACTCATGATCTCATGATGTCTTCGCAGTTGCGTGTGGCCGTCGTACAGTTTGCACCAAAGGTCAGTACACATTTCCTCGGGGATGAAAACAGCAATCATAATCGAACGTCATCTACACTTAAGCTCGGCCAAGTGCAAGCCAACATCGCCAAGGCTCGAGAATTATGCAATGGGTATGCGGCCTCACGCACTAGTACGTTTGAAGATGGCCTCACGGCCATTGGCAAGGTTGAAGCCCCGATCAGTTGATCTCCTGTGTTTCCCAGAGATGTTTTTTTCCGGTAAGCCGGTTCTCGTACTTCCGAATTGTTACTGCATATACACACGAAGGTTTCTGATCATGCACATCAGGCTATGTATTCCCGGACACGGCTACTATCACACCGTATCTTGAGCACCCACATACAGGGCCCACGGCCACCTTTTGTGCGGAGCTAGCACGCTCCCTTGAATGTTTTGTAGCTGCCGGGTATCCTGAGAAGCTCGAACCACATGAACATGCCCCTCCGCTCGGAGGCAATAGCTTATCGTTTCATCAGCCCCGTATCGGTGCAAACAGTGCATTCATGTATAGTCCTACGGGGGAGCAGTATCGGAGCATATCGCAAGACCAACCTCTATAAACTCGATCTTCCTTGGGCTGTTCCCGGCTCTGGATTTACGACGATGACCCTACCGCATCCACTGGGTCCAACCACGCTTGCGATCTGCAATGACCTTAATGTGCAGGACCCTGCTGTGTGGGAGTCGCTTGAAGAAGGTCCATATGAACTCGCTCAACACTGCATAAGATCGGGCACGCGGCTTTTGATACTTCTGAATGCATGGCTGCATCCTGACGAAGACGGAGAAGTATCAGATAGCGATTCTGCTGATTGCACGACTTCGGAACAGAACGAAGACACAGATGGCACGGAGCCAAGTTGGGAAGTAATAAATTACTGGGCGATGCGTTTGAACCCATTGTGGGCGACGATTCGGGAGGCAACACATGAAAACGAGAAGAAACCGGGCATCCCCAACGAGCTACTCGTGCTTGTTTGTAACAGATTTGGAAACGAGGGCGGTGAGTGTTCAGAAGCTTTTGACTCTATATTGAGTGAATCGTTTTTGTTCAGGGAGCGTATTTGCGGGATCGTCTGCTCTCATGTCCCTTCGCCGAGGATCCGGCCGACCACGACTGTTGCAGATGATGGGACAGAGGGAAGAAGGTATTGGTTTTTGGACTGCGAACATACCAGGACGGTAGCATGATTCATTTGGTGCATTTCCTCCCATCACCACCCCTCTTTACTCATATGCACATATTGGTAGCTATCTTGACGGCACTCATCATCCGTGTCTCTTCATATCTTTGTCTGATTAAATTGCCGGTTTACTACCATTTCCCCAAATTTCAATAGATAATCGTCCAATGATGCCTTATAAACCTTCATTGCGACCAGCCCCACTTACCGCACTCGCTGGCTTCCTGGCTCCCCAGCCGAAATTGAATGTTATAACCATAGTGACTGCATAGAAGAGCATTTGTGTAATCAAGCACCTGCGCGTCGATGGAGCGCATGCAGTACTGTGGAATGCTAGAATAAAAATCAGTGCGAGTTGGTACAGGGTGCTGAAATTGAGTAGTTACATGCTGCAGAGTAGCGGCCATCTCTTTGTTGGAAGCTGATAACTTTGCGGTGGAATCTTCGAGACGCCGGATTTTCCTGTGCTGACTCCGGAATTTCTTATGCAAACTCTGGATTTCCCTGTGCTGACTCTGGAATTTCTTATGCAAACTCTGGATTTCCCTGTGCTGACTCTGGAATTCCTTATTCAAACTCTGGATTCTCTCATCCTGATATTTTATTTTGTTAGCTTGCTCATTGAGTAGTTCCAAGTACATACCTGTTGCGCGAAGGAAGCTTTGAGCTGATTGATCTCGCCCATTATTTCCTCGTACAACGTGTTCATCCGAGTCATGATCTCTATGTTGGACATGGTCATATTACGAGCACAGGGGTAGACTCTATGTTGGACATGGTCAAAGCATAGGAGTAGAAGGACAACTGTATATAAACAATGACATAGGGAGCACCCAATAGCCGGATCGGATGCTGTTTGTCAGCAATGACGCGGACCAGAGACAAGTCCGTACTTACCAATCCATGGACCGGTAACATAGTAGAATATTTAGTTTATAGTCAGTCGAAATAATATCTCCCATCATAGGGCGCCTTGAACTCGTGGATTCGCCTTGGAGGGTCCCGAAGGTTTCTACGAGAACGTGTGCCCCGCGGGGTATAAGTGGCTTGTCAGGATAGGCCTCGTCGAGGTATTTGGCAATTGCATGGGAGTCGGAGACCAGTAGACACTGGACCACTATGCCAGTGTTGGGGTCTTTAATTGCTGGCACGGCGTACCTTTTCCCAGCTGTTGGAGATGCGGCAATATCTTTCATGGTTGCAGCAATATCACGAAACTCCACTCGAATAACTTCATACGGATGGCCTTTGTGGCCGAGACAGAATCTGACGCGTAGTGTGTGAGTCGGTTATCAGGTCTTACAATGCGCCCACAGCACCTCGTCTTTGATGAATTGGGTGCCCAGTTTTTCTTGGGGAGCTTGGATGGTATGTCATACAGGATGATTCTGCATGTAGCCGTACTTACGATGTGACTCTGGTTACTGTTGGTATTTATAATCTCGGAAGTTTCGAGTGTCTCGTCACCGGTTCGCTGACCCGTGAAAGGTGTCGTTTGCACACATGTCATAACTGCAGCAGACAGGTCACGGGAGGTCATATTACTGCCCCACTCATCGATATCCTTCTTCAAGATGTACTTGTATCAAACCGGCTCGGCTCGCCATGTTTTAAATTTGGCTGGAGGAATTCTCGAGCACAATGTTGGAGATATGTGTTTTTCCAAAAATCACCGTTTCCCTCACTAAGTCATCGCTATTCAAGAATTTAGCAGATTTCTTGATGTCGCTGATGCTCCTGGCAGGTGTCAAGCTACTGGCAAGATTGTCCCACCTCCGGAGTGTCTGCACTGACGGAAGGTGTCGCGGTTCGTTTTCACTACTCATAGACAACATTTATGCCTTAAGACTTACGCAAACGGAACACAGGAACAAGACCAATCAGCTATCAACGTCTTCATCTGTTGCAGGATGACGTCTCCATGGATTCAAGTTGTCAGATGCCCATCTCTTCTCTGGAAGATTGCTTAGTATGTAGTACAGGATGATGGGTCACATAATGTTGTTGGCAGCTGTAGCACTTGGTATGTGATTCTGGTATCCATAACTTTAAGATCCCAAGTCACCATATCACGCCAGGTGACATTCCTGCTGAATCTTATCCAGCACCTTTGCCCATCTCCCTCCATTCCAAGAGCTGATCCTCGCCCACTCATCCTCCTTCAAGACGCGCTTGTACCAGAACAGTCGACTTGCCACGATGATGTCCGCATACGAGAACGTATCTCCCATGACCCACTCCCCGCTGCTCTTCTCGCGTAACGCTTCTCCCTTATTGAAACTCTGCTCAAGATATGCCCAATCTCCATCGCGTTTCGGGCCTTCGGGTGAAAATTCCTCCCACGGAAGTTGAAACCTCTCCGAGCGCGTTCGACGGAAATACTCCACGCTTGCGGGGTTCAGAATCTCTGCGACGCGCACATATATTAGCTTTATGGGGGGGTGCACGTCGTTAATATATGCAGAGTCGAATACGCGAATGAGCATCTGGGAGCCGTGCGGGAAGATTGGCTTTGCGGGATATGTTTTCTCGAGATACGCTGCGATCTCGAGGGATTCATCGATCAGAGCGCCAGTGTTGGGGTCACTGAGGACAGGAACGGTGTATATATCTGTACCGTCAGGTCTCTTTTTGGGCGCCAGACCGAGACCCTTGAGAACAGTCGCAATATCTGGGTACTCGACCCAGACAGTTTCGAAAGGTAGCTCTTTGTAGCCTAACACGAACCTGACACAAGAGATAAGGAAGTCGGATGTAAACTCGCGCCAAGCACACTAACCTGGGCTTCAATGTATTTGGAGACCAGTAGCTTCCAGGCAATTGGGAGGGGATGTCGTATAGAATGAGGGATTTCATTGTTATCGTCAACTTATTCCACCTGATGCTATTTATTTGGTGTCTATGCCACAGCCAGTACTATTACAAATGAGCGCCTTTGAAAAAGCTATGTGTTTCATATACCTTACATATCCATTAGTCAGGGTGAGTCATGAAACTCACCTGAAACGCGCATTAGTCAGGTAGCATTGCGAATGAGTGCTGGTTGAAACAACATAGCGTACAGTCTAGCTGTATGATCGGAACTACCTCCGGCACGACCGGCACCTATCACTCCTCACTTCGCCCTGCCACGCCACTCCGAGATCGACGGTCCAGCCTGGCTACACCACTTGTGCAGCCGTGGTAGTATACGCCAGGCTGGTCACGAGCCTAGATAAGTGTACGGTTGAATAAATAGTGACATGGCGCTCATCAATTAAAATATTAGGAGCCCCTAATGTTCTCATTGGTGAGCTCTTGCACAAGCGTGCGAACTATATCTTCTGTCCAGGCGTCTTTGTTGACGCGTTGACGACCCGTGTGCATGAGAGACTGGGGATCCTGACATGTTTACGATAGGAACGGAGGGGGACACGAACAGTACGGACTCCAACCACTTATTATATACATCCGCATAGTAAGGGTCACGTGCAAGGTGCGCTGCTGCGGTTTGAACTGGACGAAGTCCGATTCTCCATGGCTTGGTCCATGGTTCTCACACCAGACTGGAAAACGGTCCTCCCGAATGGTTCCATTTTCACCCTTGGCAGAGTGGCAGCCCAGGATGATCGGATGCTGCCTGTGCTTCTGAGACACGAGTTGGCTTCATTGTTATTGTCAACTTATAGGATCCACCTCTGGTTGTACGTGCCTATAATATTTGGTGTCTGTGCTACGCCATATCATGCCAGTACGATTACAAATGAGATGTAGGTGCACCTTATTCCGAGATGATATCAAAAAACGCTCAAGGACGGCTTGATTTAGCTGTATGTTTTATATGGTGTACCTTACTTATCCATCAGTCAGGGTAGCATTGCGAATGAATCATGGAACTCGCCTGAAAAGCGGACTGGCATCGCCCATGTCCTTGAATTCGTATCTTCTATCGTCGCCAATGTTTTTCCGGCAGACACTGCGCTTCTTTCTTCAGCCGGTTGTAGTTCCATTTGAGTGTCTCGTCACTGGTTCGCTGACCCGTTTCGAAAGCTGTCGTTTTCACACATGAAGAATATCTTGATCAGATAGCCATAACTGCAGCAGACGGGTCACGGGAGGCTGTATTCCGGCCCCACTCATCGACATCCTTCTTCAAGACGTACTTGTATCAAACCGGCCCAGCTCGCCATGTTTAAAATTTGGCTGGAGGGATTTTTGAGCACATTGGAGGTATGTGTTTTCCCGAAAGTTACCGTTTCCCTCGCTAAGTCATCGCTGTTCAAGAACTTGACACACTTCTTGATGTTGTCGATGTTCCTGCCAGGTGTCAAGCTACTAGTAGGATTGTCCCACCTCTGGAGTGTCTGCACTAACAGAAGGTGTCACAGTTCGTTTTCACCACTCATTGACATCATTTACGCTTTAAGACTTACGCGAACGGGACACAGGAACAAAACCAATAAGCTAACAACGTCTTTCATGTGTGTGTTGCGACATGACGTCTCTATGGATTCAAGTCATCAGACGCCCATCTCTTCTCTGGAAGATTGCTTAGTATGTCGTACAGGATGATGGGTCGCATAATATTGTTGGCAGCGGCAGCACTTGGTATGCGATTCTAGTATTTATAACTTTGAGATCTCAAGTTACCGGGATCCCATATCACGCCAGGTGACATTCCTGCTGAATCTTATCCAGCACCTTTGCCCATCTCCCTCCATTCCAAGAGCTGATCCTCGCCCACTCATCCTCCTTCAAGACGCGCTTGTACCAGAACAGTCGACTTGCCACGATGATGTCCGCATACGAGAACGTGTCTCCCATGACCCACTCCCCGCCGCTCTTATCGTGTAACGCTTCTCCCTTACTGAAACTCTGTTCAAGATATGCCCAATCTCCATCGCGTTTCGGGCCTTCGGGTGAAAATTCCTCCCACGGAAGTTGAAATCTCTCCGAGCGCGTTCGACAGAAATACTCCACGCTTGCGGGGTTCAGAATCTCTGCAGTACGCACATATATCAGATTTACGATGGGGTGCGCGTCGTTAAGATATGCAGAGTTGAATACACGAATGAGCATCTGAGAGCCGTACGGGAAGATTGGCTTTGCGGGATATGTTTTCTCGAGATACGCTGCGATCTCGAGGGATTCATCGATCAGAGCGCCAGTGTTGGGGTCACTGAGGACAGGAACGGTGTATATATCTGTACCGTCAGATCTCTTTTTGGGCGTCAATCCGAGACCCTTGAGAACAGTCGCAATATCTGGGTACTCGACCCAGACAGTTTCGAAAGGTAGCTCCTTGTAGCTTAACACGAACCTGACACAAGTGGTAAGGAAGTCAGATTTAAACTCGCGTCAAGTATACTAACCTGGACTTCGATGTATTTGGAGACCAGTAGCTTCCAGGCAATTGGGAGGGGATGTCGTATAGAATGAGCGGTTTCATTGTTATAATCAACGTATTAGATCCACCTGCTATCATACGTGCCTTATTTGGTGTCTACGCTACTTCACTATCACAAATGAGATGTTATAGGTGCATCTTATTCCCGAAGTGATATAAAAAAACACCTAAGGACGGCTTGATTTCACAAAGGTATCTAAAACGAAAGGGTTTCATGATGCGTGAATGAGTAAACTTTACTCATTCACGCATCATAAACCCTTTCATTGTTCTTCAAACTTGCTACCTGCGATGGTGTCAAGTTCGGCAGCCGCCGGCTCCCTGGCTGAGAGGGCTTGTAATACCTTCGAACGGATCCCTTTGCTCATGGTCAATTATATATGGCGTTGTTGAGAGTCAGAACACGAAATGACGCGCTGTGTCTGTTTGGAGAGATAAACGAAGGACAAGACCGTATTTCTACTGTGAAAGAACCGACTCCTTGCACAAAGGTATGTATCTAAAATGAAAGGGTTTCATGTTGCGTGAATGCGTAAATGTTCTTCAAACTTGCTACCTGCGATGGTGTCAAGTTCGGCTGCGCGATGGCTGATTTCAGGTCCTCTGCGGAGGCACTGTGAGCCCTGAAATTACCCTCTCCTCGGATGGTAAACCGACCACTGCCGAATATCATCATCAACGCCTCAAGGTGTAGTAAGCACCGATCCTCATTATTGAGCTTCGAATGGACTTCTGTCATCAGTTGTGGCATGGTCTTCGCTGGCTTCCCTTCGACGGATTCCTGGCTCCCCAGCCGGAAATCATCGATGTTGTATTTGTACCGCTTGCATATAAGATCACGGGCGTCGTCAAGTACCACGCGTCGGTGGAGAGCATGGAGTGTTGTTGAATGCTAGAATAAAAATCAGTAGGAGTTAATGCAGGGTGCTGAAAATGAGTAATTACACGCTGTACTGTGGCGGTTAAGGATTTGTTGTTAGTCGACAACGTTGCGTTATTAGCCGACAACGTAGCGTTGGAATCTTTCAGCTCCCGAATTTCCTGGGTTAAGGTTGCGTTGGAATCTTTCAGCTCCCAGATTTCCTGGGTTAACGTTGCGTTGGAATCTTTCAGCTCCCAGATTTCCTGGGCCTGATTCTTGTTAGCTTGCTCATCGACTCGGAGTACTGGTTCCAGGTACATACCTGTTGAGCGCGGGAAACTTTAAGCTCATCGATCTCACTCGTAAACTGCTTGGAAAACGTGTTCATCGCCATCTGTACGGCGATGTTGACGGAGGCTGAGGCTGATTCCGACATGGTTGCTGAAATGGATTCCGACATTGAGACGGATTCCGGGATGGGTGCTGCGACCGATTCTGAGACCGGTGCTGAGCCTTCTTCCGCCAAACGAGCTGAATGCGATTGAGTACCAGAACAATGGTGCAAGAATGTTGAAACCAGCTACCTTTCTTTCTTTTCTTGCGCCGGGAAGACTTTGATGTATTTTGCTGTGCTCGTTTCGAGTCTTCTGCTTGTATCACCCATTCAGCGTTCGCCACTGTCGTCCGTCTCTCCAGTCGTAGTCTGTAGTCCTCCAAACTTGCCTGCTGCTTCTTGTTTGCTTCCACGAGAGAATGCGTCTTTGGTATTATGAATAGGGCGGTCAAGTTTCTACCTGTGGATAGAGGCTGCCCTACAGCCATGTTCGTATATTCACCGTCTGTATAAGACGAGCATAAGTATACGGTTGAATAGTATCATGGCGCTCACCGATTAAGATCCTAGGAGCTGTTAGCTCGATAGGAGATAGGGGTTGAATCTCGTCGTTGTACTTGACGGTAAGTTGTTGCACAAGCGTGCGAACTGCCTCTTCTGTCTGTGCATCTCTATTGACAATTCGTGTGCATGAAAGAGTGGGGTCTACAAGGACCCCAGTTATTTGGACTGCGGATGATGACATTGCGGAACGGAAGGAGATAAGAGTATGAACTCCGACTACCTATTACATATACACTCAAATACGTCATCATCGTCAGCCGCATAGTAAGGGTCACGTGCAAGGTGCGGCTGACTCTGCTGCAGCCTAGTGGTTTGGACTGAACGAACCGGACTTTTGGTCCGGTTCTCCATGGTTTGGTTCATGGTTCTCACACCAGACTGGAAAACGGTCCTCCTGAATGGTTCCATTTTCACCCTTAGCAGTGTGGCAGTCCCATGCTGGCTGTGCTTCTGAGACACGAGTTGGCTTCATTGTTATTGTCAACTTATAGGATCCACCTCTGATTATACGTGCCCATAATATTTAGTGTCTATGCTACGCCACATTGTACTATTACAAATGAGATGTAGGTGCGTCTTATTCCCGAGGTGATATCAAAAAACGCTTGAGGACAGCTTGATTTAGCTGTATGTTTTATATGGTGTACCTTACATATCCATCAGTCAGGGTAGCATTGCGAATGAGTCATGGAACTCACCTGAAAAGCGGACTGGCATCGCCCATGTCCTTGAATTCGTATCTTCTATCGTCGCCAATGTTTTCCGCCAGACACTGCGCTTCTTTCTTTCTGTTCAGCCGGTTGTAGTTCCACATAGCGAAGATACTCATTATGATTCTGTTAGAAGATCGTGTTATTACGTTGCAGTTCGGAAGACTGATGAGACATACGAAAGAGAAAGAAATCCCATGTTGGTGCCATGTCCGACGTGGAAACGTGGCGGATCAATATAGATGAAGGAGGAGCAAACACTAAGACAGGCGTGAGCAGGCAAATAATTTGTGGTTATGATAATACGACGTACCCTCCGAGGTTACTAATACCAATGACCATTGCTAGTACGACTCCGCGCTTTAAGTCGCCTCCCGCATTTGAGCCAGCCCAAGCAAGAATGACTGCGACGGTCGGATAATTTCCTGCAGCAGCTAGACAAACTCCAACGTATGACGGACCCGCTTTTACGGAGCAATATAGTAAGATGTATCCCACAAGAGACACGAGCGCACCGCCGATAATGTACGGGCCACGAAGATTGTGCTTGTCAGAATGGATGCCAACTATGATTGTTGCGATAGCGCCGGCAACGAATGGTGGGACTGAGAGTAGCTGGGCATTCGCAGCAGAATAGCCAAGCTCGTTGATGATGGTTGGCGAAAAGAGGGCGATGGCATAACCGGGGACAAGTAACCTAATGATCAATTGAGATAATGCATGCAAGATGACAGGAGGACTGAGTACCCTAAATAAATGAGAATTTGGACGTAGGTCTTGTAATCTTTCATGGCTTGCCAGACGAACTGAGTGTCGAAGAGAGAGGAAAGAGAATTCGAATCGTGTTTGAGCACATCTATGATGTATAATCTCTCTGGTTCGGTCAAAAATTTGGCCGTTTCAGGATACTAAGTAGTCTAAATCAGCATTTGAAAGACCCAGGATAACCACGAACTCACATCATGCATGTAGAAAAAAGAGAAAACTGCGACGAGAACAGTGACTGATTGAAGTTTAAGGTGAGCATCCGAATCGTCTCAGATCTGGTACGACTGACCAATGCCTTCCAAGCAAAACTAGGAGAGATAATTAGTAAAGTCTCAGATTGAAAACATGCAAACATGCCATCCACTGCCAACCATACAATCCTCCGACTCTGATTGGCGGATCAGTGGTGGCTGACAAGGCAAGCAACCCGCTTACCCATTCATCCGTTCGATACCGTACCTATATGCGCATGAAGGTCAACAGCAGATTGATAGGTAAAACCAAGCAACTTACGCAAGGAGTCCACCGAAGGCAACTATAAAGAATAAGATTTCAAGGAGATCAAATCCGGCACATATCAAGACACATACCTGCGACTGACGCTGCAGAGAAGAATATAGCAATACGTTTGGACCGCTCCGAACGTGGATACCAAAGGCAGATGTAGTAATTTATTCCTGGATATAATCCTGCTTCGGTCAAACCGAGGAACGCTCGGGCTCTGTAATTGTTATGGTGTCCGTCTCCACTATGCGAATACACCTCACGCACATAACGAGAGATCGATATGAATTGACGAGACACATAAGAGTCATCACAATGCCCCATGTGACCATGATAGACGGTACTAAATCAATATTAGATGATGAGAAAGAACAAGGTAGATGTGAACGAACGTACTCCATCGCGATGGCCTTAATAGCTTGAGGATGATGTTCCTACACAGACACTGAGTACAGACTCGCTATTTTGATGTTGTACGTACGAGGGGACTTCAGCAAAGCTATATGGGATCTAAAATAACTCAGCACTTGATAGAACAAGCATAACGCACGACGTACAAAAAAGACGGCTGCAGCAATGTTGTACTTGAAGCCAGTCAATTTCAGGTCTGTAGCCATTCCAGCAACCGTCGCATTTCCTGGTGACCGGCTCAGCCAGCAATCGACGGTGAATGGTCCAACTTACCAATATTGGCCCGGTCTCTGAATGGAACATAGAATGTGAAGCAGCATCAGACATTACATACATTCAGAAAACTCACAAGAACGACAACAAGAAAAACACCGTCACGAAAGGTAACAGGTGCCAATCCATCTTGCGCAGAATGCGTGCTTGCTCTCTCGGATTCACTGGTAGGACACTGAGACTATCGGACTTCAGCTCGATGTCATCATCGCGCAACGAGCCCATGATATCAGGCTTGGCGACAGTATAGTTTGAACGGAGAGACTGGTTGGATGCCATGCGCCTTGTCGTCAAGATATGGCGGGTTTTATATCATAAATTGACGTCTTGAGCGCCAGTAGCCCGGTCACCAGCAACCTTGGAATCAACATCCCAGCGGATCAAGTGCAGCGATACCTTGGCTATAGTATACGGCATACCTATTTAAAAGTCTTAAGACACCATCCACCGGGATAGACAACTTGGACATTTCGCCCGTTTCCATTTCAATATTCTAACCTAGTGAGGCCTAGTTCGACATGATGTTCGAATGGTACCCACCACATGACATGACAGTATCACGCTTCGAGCTTGTGTTTTCGGAAGCAAATGGTTGCTGCATCAGTGAAATTGCTCAAAGTGAAGACAAGTTGACAGCGGCGTAACAACTGCGCAGTTTCGATAATGGTACCAAATTCTCACGGGTACGAATGATGCATTTCCTTCCGGCCAACTCCAGTGACTCCCATGAGTCCCATCACAGTGGTTTGCCGGCTTAAAATCGAATTCTTAGTCACGGTACTGACATGCATCATATCGCGACGCCTGATTTCAACGCGTCAGGAACGATGCCACGACTATACGTTACATACCGCTTTCTACACTGACCCTCAGGCTCCAAGTGCTTTGACTGGGCAAGACGTTACGTGGTACAAAGGATCCGATTGGATTCAATTCGACAAAAATATATGAGAAGTACAATTATTTACAAAGACAGGCATAATACATCGCAAGACTGATCCCCATTGTGACATGCTGACATTCCTCGGACTCATTAAGCACGCTTATGATACATGTATAGGTACAATTTCATCCGGATTCCGGAGTAACTCAGTAGCCTGACTATAAAACTATAAATCATCTCATTCTGTGCAAGTATAAGTTAGGACATACCTTGCGCTGCTCGCCCCTAGCCTCAAGTGAGGGGTCATTCGAAAGTTTGCCGGCTAACTTCTCTGCTCCGCCTATGCACGAATATGAATATATTTACAAAGTCAGATAAATAAAGACCAACCTCTAAGTTTGGAGCCCACGGAGGATAACCCGCCAGTTGGAACGCGGCCGGTACCAGCACCTGCGCCTTGGCCACTACCAAGCCCAGAGTCATCAAAATCATCGGTGTCACGCTCATACCCACGGCTACCACCGTCACCGCCGGTGTTGTGGCCATAGGCACTGTCGTATCCGCCACCAATTTGCCCAACTCCAGGGGCATTCACTTCCTGAATGTCCTCAACGCGGCGATTACCATCCGTCCCAGAATCCGTGTTGCAGTATTCATCGCCTTGATCTAAGCCCTCCTGACCTTGTCGACCGACGCGACTTGCATTTCCTGTGTATCCACCAGCTTGGCCAGTCCCGCTACCCCCGTATGAATCTGAAAATGGGGAGTCGGTTCCTCCAGGAACAGAGCGTTGATCGCCGGTTAAGGTATCATTGTTTAAGTCGTCGTTGAAGTCCCCTGGCAAGATATTAAGTCTGACTGGCATTTGTAAACGGATTCAACGACGTACGACGTGAACCTTGGTTTCCTTGATCGTAAGACATTATTGATTGTGTGGTGGTTGAGAAGATGAGAGAAAGTACGTTGATGGGGCCTTTTATATATACGATAAATCGATGATGCAGCGATGACAAAGGTTGGCGCTATTGACATATAGCTGGTTAATTGAGGAGCGGGCGTGGAATCTGGCCGCTCCAGCTGAGACTCGATGGAGCCTTCTGGCAGCATCCGCAACGTTTAGCATTGCATGACGACAAGGATGGATGGTACTGTTTCGTAAAACCTTAATTAGCGTCATGTACAGAAGAAATAAATGACATCAGGCTCCGCTTTGTTCTATTTACATCTTTCCTGTTCACGACTGCGGATATAAGCTCGGTCCCAATGTATTTGATACAAGAACCATGAGCCGAGCTGGTAACGATATTACTACGAAAGACTCACTAAATTCGGCACTCTTGCGACGCATGCACAATTCGCTTAGGGACTGGAAGCTGGTTCGAACTATTCGAGGGCTAATAATTAGTAGTACATTTACGTAGTGGAATGCGTGTACATTCAATGCCAGAATAGAGTATAGATACACCGTCAAGAGTGTAAAAAGGATAGTGATGGAACATGACGAGTCCGACATCTAGCGGAACAAAAAAAAGAGCCCCAAGCCGAATAGAATAATAGAAAAAACCAAAATGATGGCATCCATAGGGAATAGATATCAAGTCAGAATCTGAGCCATGGCTGGTATGTGAGGTGGCGCAAAAATGAGTGTGATGGGGAATGTGTGACGATGTCCAGTAGCTCACAAACTTAACGAGAAAACGGAAACTTAGCTCAAATCCTGGAGCCGATTTGATGGAACTAGGCTCCTTCGCTCAAATGTGCATAGCCGTCTCCAGAAGCTTCTATTCTCTTCGCTGCGGAGCTCAGCAAGGGGAGCAAGATTATAGGGAGGTGGGCTCTGCATTATCCGTCTCCAGGAGTTTCTATGTCCTTCGCTGTGGAGCTCAGTATAGGGAGTGAGATCATAGGGAGGTGGGCCCTGGATGTCGATAAGAGAGTCATTCCCTTGCTTGCTTCCACATTCTCGTAGTTTGCTTGTTCCCGTCTGAGTATTCACGGAAGGCTGGCGTTGAGAGGACAATATGCGAGAGCAGGGACAAAACTTACATCATCTTTGTCATCTTCCTCCAAATCGTCTTCTTCTAGTCTGACCTTCCATGCTGTTGTCGGTTGGCTGGGTAGGATAGTTACAGGCGGATTTGAGCGAGCACGACGAGCGAAGAAACTACGGTTGGGGCGTTCTCGTGAAAGGATGTTCCACAAACGGCGAATGAAAGATGGGTGGGAGAGACGGGTGACATATGATTCCGGTGGAAGAGATTTCTGAGAATAATACTACAAGGAATATTTATCGTGAGTACTAGTGCCTTGCCAGATAAACACGAAAGTTACCCAGGGAAATGAGTCACATGAATCGTTGTGTCCCTCGTCAGCGACATGATCACCCCATGGTGACTTTGTAATTGCTATAAGCTGGGAAGCTATGTCGTTGACAGGCCACATAGCGAGCGTCCTGTCATGCCCGCCACATGCTAGGTATCTCCCGTCTCGAGAAAACGATGCACAGCAAAGGATTTGGCGATTCTGGACAGATGGCTGTCCAAGTAGCTGGTGGGACTCTGTGTCCCATAGCTGTACAAGCACCTTGATCGCCCACGCACACCAGGACATTGTATGTGGGTGAAAGTGCGATGGAATACAAGATATCGTCATGCTGGAAACAATGGAGTAGTGCGCCTGAGGTGCTGTCGAAGACACGTGCTAATTTGTCAGATGCGGAGTAGAGCTTTGTACTGTCCGACGACCACACCACCGACGTCACTTCATAACCTAGGTCTTGGATGAGCCCGAGAGCAAGCTCGCCGGTCTTGCTGTCCCATATGCAAATCGTTGTGTTCCACCCGCCTGAAGCTATTCTGTTTCCGGAAGGTGAATATGCAAGAGCACACACCCGGTACTGCTTCGTCTTGATTGGGCCAACTTCTGATATTCCGCTTTTCACTCTTCGAATGAGGATTGTTCCATCATCGGACCCGCTGGCAATATGACCTCCGCAAGGAGACCATGAAAGCGACCGCACCCAGTCGCTATGACCTGTCCAAGTACCTTCAAGCATCATCTTTCCATCTGTGTTCCATCGCTGAACGGTCCCATCTGCCCTCCCGCACGCAATCGTCTTGCCGTCCGGTGATAGCACCAGTGTATATATGCTTCCACCTTCCCCACTCCAAGGTTTCCCGACAAGAAGTCCTGTGTCGTAGTTCCACTTGCGCATCGTGCCGTCCTCTGAACCAGTCACGATGTGAATGTTGTCGTGCAAGAATACGAAGTCCCGAATAGCTCTCGCATGGCCCTCGAAGTTCTGCTTCGGAGGCGTAGGGGCTGGAGGAAGCTGACGGATCTGCCTTGGAATGGACCTGGCAGCCATAACTCGGCTACTAGTATCATATGGGTGCCCAGTCTTGAGATTTGTGATCAGTTATTGGGGTGAACAGCTAACCAGTAGTTACTACTCACCAGGTTGTCTATTGTCTCTCGCCTGGCAGCCTCTGGCAAGCTGCGCGTGTTGTTATATATGTTGTAGGTTGGTCATCTGACTCGAGATGATCGGATGCTGGCTGTGCTTTAGACTAAGTTCTGAAACACGAGTGTGATCCTAAGTTATTTTCGTATCGTACCAATTCGGATCCAATAGCAGGCACGGCATGTCCCATTTAAATTTACTATGTTTTGCTTTGGCTCTAAGCCCACGCCCGAGTCGCTGTTTCATGTCTGTTTATTAGTGTACTCGCTACTCAGGCCTGCAGGCCTCAGGGCCAGCCATTCGCTGATTCACCAGATATCCTGAGGGTGAACGATCATGCCAAACCCACCAACAAGACGAGGCAGTTCAACATATCTGTAGCAACCAGCGGAGACATAGGTACACGAGGCGAGTACATCCCCTGTATGCGTTACCTCACATCTTCAATAGCATTTTCGCAGGAGCTACGAATGAATTGGAAATGAGCACGAACGAATGTAAATGTCGGTACGTGTTGCAATGACTCGTCCGACGGATGGGCTTTGTTCCCTCAACTAAATATATATTGTAACCTCTTTAAGTTTGATCATTACCAATGCATCGACTGAAGGACACGCTTCCAAGTCAAATCAAGGAAGTGACAGGCCCTAGGCGTTCGTTCAAGCGCCATCGTTGCAAGACTTCTTTTCACATTGTCGGTCGAACCGAATTTCAGAATTTTGAGTGCTTGTGCATTTCATGTCAATTACTGATGGCCTGATGTTCGCAGGAAACATGCCCGTGTGGTAACGTGAAGAATTCCCTGGTCATGTCACGTTGCCAACACCCTGTTCCGCGTAACCTATAGTCAACGTTCAGCTGTGACTTATATAGCACATTTGGAACTCATCAGCCACCCATCTGCCACGGGTGCCATCGTTCGAGTTCTGTGACTGATGGACGTCAAGCAAGACCCGTTCTACTCGAGGCGCTGCACAGTCTTTGCATCACGCGGGATCTCATATCCGCTGAGCGCTTGGACAAGCCAGTTGAGTTATTGGTACGCCCTACCTGATATTGATAGTTGCACCGCAGGACGAAAAAAGCCTCACTGCCCACTAACGAGTTGAATACCCGCGTTTCTGATGAAGCCAAAATAGTCGAATTTGTGAGTTGTATTTGCAATAAACTCCACGGTCGCTTTTGCACCCAACCAGATTTGTAACGCTTATTCTTAATCTCGATCATCGTCTAGTCAAATAATCAATTCTATAATTTGAGTTCAACCTCATGTTCAGAATGTTGCAAGATAGCGAGGACCACGACCGTCAATGTTCATCGCGATTGGAGATACCGATACAATGAACAGGTGCACACATTAGTAATTGGGGCTGATCAGTGTGGATTCCAAGCGTGTACAGCGCGAAGAAGTAAGAATTAGATCAAAAACAAAGGTGTGAGAGACAAAAAACTGATACATCACCTGTATCTATGTATAGTCCGAGAGAGAAACATAAAAGCAGTGCGATAAAACTCTACTAAGGTGTGCATTTACAGGTCATGATCATCAGAGGCGATCGTAACGTGAAGTTTGGAGGACGATGTAATAATGAATTGAAGATAATTACGAAGACTGCGCGAGATGAGATGGTCCTGCCTCTGGTTGCGACTGATTGGTTATTGGGTTCGATTCTAACTCTTTTTGCGGAGTAGATTGAACGTTATCAAACTACATCAGGTTTCGCATTTGACAAATGGATGAAATAGTTTAATGGATGTTGTAGGCATTTAAATGTATGATTGTTGCAAGTAGAAGCGAGGACTGAACGGCGAGGTTTGTGAGGCATCAAGATGGAGCCAACGTCCTGTACATTTGGCGATGACACCAAAGTCATCGCAAAATGGACAGGACTAAGCTTGATCCAATGGTTGATGTAAGATTCACGTGCGATGTAAAGTTTGAGGGGCAAGACCGACCGTGTGTGAATACTGCCCCGGGTTGGAATGGCGTTGCGATACCAAGATAACATCCTTGGCATGGTTTCCTTTCGGCGGGCACAGTGAACTGTGGACAGCCCTGACAACTTGTCAGTTGATTGAACAGTGCAACAGTTGAAACAGCACTTACATCATCAATATGTTGACCTTGTTCGCCTTTCGCATTCTTCCACTTCACCTTCTGGCACTGGTTTGGGTTTCGTGGTTGCGAGCTCCAGGGACGAGTCCGAGCGAACGCGACGACTGAAAAAACCACGTTTGGAGCGTTCTTGTGGAACGGGCTCGTCTGGCGGTGGACGATGTCGAGAGAAAATATTCAACAAGCGGCGAGCTGAAAACAAGGGTGGGAGATAGAAGCCAGGTGATGGAGATGGAAGAGATTGCTGCGAAAACTACAAGTACTTGTTGTCAGTACCAGTGCTCTTGCATGAAAAAGAACGTTTTACCTGGAAGAAGTTGTTGTATGGATCATCATCCGCCTCCTCAGTGAAGCCACCACCACCTGTAGCATCAACCTGTGACAGCACTGTGAGAAAAACAAGACAAGAAGTCTGACGTGAAAGTACTAACATCCAGACAAAATGATAACGTGGAGTTAGACCGTATTTCTTCCTTGGTCACAGTGCTTTGCCCATCACTTTGTTGGGGAGGCATGGGCGCTGGGAGCTGAGGAGCTATGTCTTTGAGCATTCAGAGAGTGACTTTCCCGTCATCTCCGCTATATGCTAGATGGCTCCCGTCTCGGGAGAACGACACATAGCAAAGAGTGTCGCGATTCTGGTGAAATGGCTTTCCGAGTGGCTGGTTGGACTGTGTCCCATAGCTGTACAACACTATTGATGCCCACACACGTCAGGACATTGGCTTCAGGAGAAAGTGCAACCGAATTTAAGTAACTGTTGTGCTCGGAAGAATGAAAGAGTTTGCCTCAAGTTTGCCTGATTTGCTGTCCAAGACACGTGCGAATTCGTCGGATGCGAAATAGATTTTAGTGTTATCTGACGACCACACCAACGACGGCACATAAAACTTCCCCGGGCCTTTAATGGGGCCAACGACAAGCTCGCCGGTCCTGGTATCCCAGATACAAATTGTATTGTCCCCGCCTGATCACCCAAAGGCGAATATACAAGAGCGCAGACGCCGCCCTGCTGCGTTTTAATTGGGCCTACTTCGACCTTTCCACTTTCTGCATTTCGAATCAGAAGTGTCCCATCGTCGGACGCGCTGGCAATATGACTTCCGCTGGGTGACCATGAGAGCGACCACACCACTTCGGTATGACTTGTCCAAACGCCTTCGATCATCTCACCATTGGTAGTTCACCGCTGAACGTTTCCGTCCTCCCTCTCACACGCAATTATCTTCCCATCCGGTGAAAATGCCAGCGCATATATCCTTCTCCCCTCACCTTTCCATGGTTCCCCAACAACAAGTTCCGTGTCGCAGTTCCGCTTGCGTATAGTGCCGTCCACTGAACCACTCACGATGTGAATGTTATCGTACAAGAAAACAAAATCCCAAATCGCTTCCCTGTGTCCATCAAACTCGCGCTTCAGACTTGGTTCTTCCCATTGCACTGCGGTCAAAGCTTCTTTGCGGGTCCGCCTCGCAAAGAACCTAGCAGCCATAGCTCGTTGCCGCAATCTGGTGGATCGATCCGACTCTACCGCAGGCAGGTGGTGATCGATTATGGGGCGAAAAAGTCAACCAGCACTCACTGGGTGGTATACCGGTCTGTTAGTACTTGGTAGCAAGATTTTTCATGTACTGTAGGTGGAAGGCATTGATCCCACGAGGCAGCGCTAATTGTCCACTCAGGTTCGTGTCGCAATACAGCATTTCGGCCGGTTTAATCTTTGCACGTCACGATTCTTATTATCCCATTCATCTACTTGCAAACATCATACCATGGTAAATCGTGCTTCGATGGGATATACTCAAGACAACATAGTGGCCATTCAGTCAGACAACTTCTCGCGTCTATAGTTTACTTCACGACCCATGGTGTCATGGAGTCATTTATTGTACTCTGCACTCCGACTATCTCTAGCTTGTTGAAAGTATTAGTCTCGCTCAGAAGATGAAATAAACATCTTTCAATACTCGTTGACGTCAGATGAGTAATCATAGTATACGCAAGGGACGCCAGGTGAGTGCATTGTGCTTCTGGTGTCTGTGACGTATATTCATCTGGTGCACGACAGTATCTTCACCCTGAATCAATGTTGCGATAGAAGATGACCTTCCTTATTGTATTGTCCCCAGCTTCACGTTCCCCTTGGTCCAATTTTCTGCTCACGTAATCCGACTACATATCTTGTCTCGTCTCGTCTCGTCCGTCTGTATGTGCATCATGCTGACTTGTTTCTTTTATACAGTTACATCTTAACAAGTACGTCGACCATGTCGCCTGGCAAATGATGACACTTATTTAAGCGCCAATTGTCCTTTTTCATGTGCCAGCTCCATGTTTATGATCCTCGTTGCGACACTGCACCGAGTTCTGGAACTTCAAGCATCTGAACAGTCTATCTTAATCACTGATAGTCAGATTTGGGCGAGCGCAACGTTCGTAGTCATTTCACGCTGAAAATGACTTGTTCCATCTAACCTACACTGATGTTTAGACTGACCTGCTAGCTCGAGGCGATCCTTAGCTCATAAAGTACATTCATGGGCCCAGGCGCGACTGCCAAGTACTTACCATCGTCAATTTGTGAATGCCTGTATGTATCTGATGAATCGATATCAGAGAACATTAGCTACAGAAATATCGATGCTAGCATTAAGGATGCTGTCCACGCGATGATAGCAGCCCTGGAGAGGGAGAGAGCTGACAAGGGAGCCTAGCATGTAGGGGGATGTGAGTATGACAACTCTAGAGAACGATATTGTGTGTACTGAGTAAGCACCACCCAACGAATCTGGAAGGGACAAAATCACTAAAGGAGATCACGACATGTTCGTTCATTTGAATGCTTGCACTTCAAGATCTGATGGAACGTTCCAGCCTCAGCCAGCGTCTAGTCCCGAGGAGTAGTTTGTAGGAGCCTCGCTCGTTTGTACGGCCTAGCCATACTACAGGATCTACGGACCGAATATCAGTCCACACTACCTCAACGCCCCATTCTCAATTTGCACATCGCAGATACGTGCAATATGGCATAGTAACTATCGTGAGCAGATCGTGCTCGAGACGTTCTTAGCGTCACTCAGGTGAGCAGCTCATCATATGATAACCTCATTATGACAAACCGCCGTATCACCCTAACTTGGACAATCTGTCTGGACACAGATGAGGTCTCCGCCGTCCGGCCTGCATTTGTGCGGACAAAGGATCGGGTTTCGCACTGAAATTTGTCAGGATTGGATATACTTCGAAGAATTGTCCGAACCGGTCTCAGGCCTCTCCACCTTCTAGTATATTCGGGGGTCCTGGCGTTGCTAGCGGTCACCAATCCTTACAGTATCGTGTCATGATGACTCTTCGTGTGCGTTACACCGGAGAAAGACTGATGATGAATGTGAGTGTGCCGAAGAGACAGCTACATGTTTTGGGGTTAAGAGCTGAGTGACTACTTCGTCACGAAAAATTCGAGGGCTCTGTATACCTTTTTCCCTTGCGCCTCAGGCTCGGTACGCTCGAACCATCTGAGCTTACCGTAGAACGAGGCAATAACTTGTGCAGATCAAACTGCTCTCAAACGCATGGTCGATGTGGCGCCTCAAGGGATTTCAAAATGCACTTGTGCCATTTCAAGTGTCTTATCCGCGGGCTCATGGAAGATATGAAATGTCCGTCAGTAACACTCTGGCAAGGTGGAGAAACTTAACTTCGAGCCACCACGATCCATCCTTCCATTGTAGCTTGGCAAAACTAAATTGTACTTGACGACTGCAAGAGATGCTGGCAATGATATACTGATGGCATGACAAATTTGGATTTAAATTCATGTATAACTGACATGGCAGCTCCTCTCACGCTATAGAATGGTCAATTGCGAATGCACCATGAATATTGAATCGTGACGATTATTCGAAGTTTCAATAGCAAACTCATTTGCATAATGTATCAGTCACCAGTAAATTACCATGCAACCCATCACGGCTATTGAATATTGAATGCTATATCGCGGCGATGTCGCGGCGATGCCACGCTTTCAACCTCGAAAATTTGTCCGGGGCCCCGGTCCTGATTTACACATTTGTGAAAGAGGCCAAAATGGAGCAGGCCTACTAAAATGTATAAAAGCCTTCAGTGCAGTGTATCGACGGTCCTCTTATCTCCAAACATGCAGCTTTCTGTGCTCTTTACTGCACTTGTATCTTTTGTCATCCTTGCGGCAGCGTCACCCGCTGTGCCAGTAGCCATCTCGAAACGTTCCTGTGAGTATTCACAATCACAAGCAATATTATATTCACTCAAATACTACAATGAATATTTCAGTTGAACGAGAGAACCCTGACGCCAATTTTAAACGTCATCTCCAGAAGACTCCTGGTCTTGATGATCGGCCATGTGACCCATCGGACTGAGAATGAAAACGAGGACTTGAGATTGGGTCAAAGACTACAGGACATTCGACGGGGAGAAGTATTAATACGATGATTGAGATGGAGAATCAAAGGAGAACATGTATAAGGCATGCAGCGAAGAGTGATTGCGTATGTAAAAGAAAGAAATGAGTACGTACGAGAGTGTCGTCGATAGTCGTATCTTGACAAGCCAGACAAATGTGAGCAGCTGAAGACTGGTCTTGATGATTGGGATTAGCCAGACAAGCGCGGGCAGCTGTGATGACTACGATGAACTGAACAAGAAGCGCACGCTCTAGAGGGATCTTGATGATTACGATTAGATAGATTAGGAAAACAGACTACACAGCACGAGTTACTGTGTGCGACAAGTCCTGCAGTCCGGATCTAGTTGTTGAAATTGTCCAAGTCTCTGTTGTGTAATTCCGTCTCCAGTAGAGACAGCCCAGAATATTCGACTGAAGCTCACCTGAAAACACTGAACTGTAGATGCCTTAACGACCGGGGGACTTCTCTTTTTGGACCCAAGTTGACGGGTGTGGAATCCCTGCCTCGAGCGTGCCATAATTGTCTCAAAAGTTTCCATTTTCAAGCTCTCGATTTTGGCGGCGTGATCATCAGGCAGTGGGTTCTGCGGATCGGTTTGAAAAAGGAACATCGAGCTGAGGATGGGTTTGAAGGCTGAGAAAGACCGTATGCCGCAGCAGGAAGAGATGTTTGGGACGACTACAATTTATCATTAGTACTGGACCCTTCGTGAATGTTGTATTGGTCATCGCATGTTTCCTCGATGATCATTGATGCCGCCACCCCCATAGCACGAGCCTGTCATAAACTCGTAGGTATGGTGAAACAAGTGCATAGCCAAGTGTGAGTACTCACGTCGAGGTCAAAATAATATTGGGGACTTGCCGGTTTGAATTTCACGTTGTGAATCGAGTCCAGCTTCTTCCTGTATCATTGATCGGGCCATGCTTCCTGCTGTGAATTGGTCTGTGGTCGAGTTTCCAGTTGTGTAGCTCGAGTTGACCTTGTCGAGGTACGGACAACGTAAGCAAGGTCAAAAACTATGTCTTTTACCGTTGAAAGAGTGAGCACCCTGTGGTCTCCACCCTATGCTAGATACCTTTCGCCTTGCTTTCAGCTAAGCCAGATATCACCACTCGCGTACATTACGAGAACGTCGCAAAGCTGGGTGTGAGATATGTAGACCATATACAATGTACATGAAGAAATAAGTCACCGAGTGATAGTGTCTCATCAGATGAACTCATGGCTGATGTGAGTTGAAACGATGAACCTAAAGGCGAATCTACAGCAGCTCACTACAATTTATTCTGGCCCGCTTGTTGAGGCTTGTGCTTGTGTGGGCCATCCTTGAGACACCTGTGCCACCATCATAGGCTGACTTGGTCGTGTTGAACTATCAGCCACATCATCATTCGCACGTAACATGGCTGGAGCCGCCTCCGTATCAGATTCAGAGCATCACTGAAGAGTGATTTCAATAACATGAAGGGGAGTGATGACAAGTTACTCGCATCATCATCGCGGCAAGCAGCAACATTGATGGGACATCTGGAAGATCCTACTGGAAACAAGCTTGAAGTCCAGTGCCAGAGATTGTGCAGCATTTGTTCGGGCCCACTTGCAGGTAATGCTGGAATGTAGAAAACTAGACGTGGGGTCTTTTCCTCGAGGTTACAGTAGCCATTTCCAGAGTGTTCGGTGGTCTTCGTTATCGAGGTGGGCGGCAAGATGCTATCATTTATGGTGCTGATCAAATGATTCGCAGACGCACACGGACAGCCATCGTGTTGAAATGACACTACGCGAGAGCCGAGATAGCATGAATTTACATCATCAACAGTTTCACCTTGTTCGCCTTCGCCATTCCCTTCTCCTACTTGGTCACATCTGGCACTGGTTAATTGGATTTAACCGGGGTTGCAAGCTCCACGGACAAGCGCGACGACCTAAGAAACCACGTTTGGAGTGTTCTTGTGAAACAGACTCACCTGGCGGTGAGCGACGACATTCACACGCCAGGATATTGTCTTTGGGAGAAAGTGCGACCGAATACAGGAAATTG